ATATCCTGTAGACAGGCTCTCAACTCGTCCATCCCAAAGTGAACTCATTTCTTTTCCCCCAAAAGATCTGCCTTTTCCTAACTTTATTATTACTATCCTTTACTATTATTGTGGAGAGCATCATTATCTTACTAGTCACCAAGGCTCACAATCTAGATGTCGTCACTCCTCTTACTTCCCATAACCAACCTACTGCCAAGTCCTCTGACACTGCCACCAGACTGGTGCAGCCCCTCATTATCTCATGCCTGGAACTGCAGTAGCCTTCTGGGTGATCAGCCTGCCACAAGTCTCTCATCACTCCAGTCCATCTGCCACTTAGCTGTCAAAGTGATCTTCCTAAAGTGCAGGTCTAACTATCACCACTTCTCCCCTCCTCTCTATTCAATAAACAACAGTGGCTCTCAATTACAGGATCAAATATAAAATCCTGTTTGGCTTTTAAAGCCCTTCCTACCTCTCCAGTTTCCTTACTCCTCCTACTTTACTATCTAATGACACTGGCCTTGTTATTTCTTGAACAAGACATTTCATCTTTTTACTCCTGGAATTTTCAATGATGGCTCCCCATACCTGGAATTCTCTCCCTTTTCAACTCAGCCTTCCTTCAAGTGTGAACCAAAATCCTACCTTCTGCAAGAAGCCCAGGCTGATTTTGCTTAACGCTACCGCCATTCTTCTAGTTGATTATCTCTGAGTTATCCTGTATATTTCATTTATACACAGCTGTTTTCTGCCCCGTTAAAATGTGAGCTTTTTGAAGGAAGGGCAGGGACAGTGTTTGCCTTTCGTTGTATCCCTAGTGCTTGGCATACAGTAGACGTTTATAAATGCTTGTTGATTTTACTTGATTTGTTAACTTAAATCAAGGTAGCGGGTCATGCCACACTTCATGTTCCTTGCCCAAGAAAATGACAACGTAACTCACAGTTGTCTAGCACCTTAAGGTTTATAAAATGCTTTCTTCTCAACCCCTCGAGGTAGGTAGTACAAATATCTCCATTCTGCTGCTGAGGAAACTGAGGGTCAGAGAAAAGTGACTAGCCCATGGTCACGTTAGGAAAGACAGATGAACCATAAGGAATCTTGGGTTCGAGTTCTGGCTTTGTTACTTGCACGTGCCTTGGGGCAAATCTCTCCCCTCGAAGCATTTTATTCTGCTGCAAACTGCCCCCAACCTCCATCTCAGGCCTCCTTCCTCCTCTCCGCCTGCGCCTCCCCCTCTTCACTTCGCAATTCACCCACCCCAAACATTTATTCCGCTTTGGTTGCCTTCCCGCCTCGCCCCAAGGTCCTCTTCCCCCTTCCCCTCGCCCCCATCCAGTCCCGCCACCTTGGAGCGTCGCTGCTCACCTTCCAGCGCCAGGGGAGCCCGAGGAAGGAGCCTGCTTAACTGTCTTCCGGCTTTGAGCGGAAGTCGCTCCACGCCCCCCCGCCCCCCTCCCCGCCGTACCGGAAGGCCCGCCCCCGGCTGCGGAGGGGCTGGGCTAAGGTCCGCGCTGCCGAGGGACGCCGGGGCAGAGGAGGAGGGGAAGGAAACTCGGAAGCCGAGAGCTGGTGGGGACCCAAGGCGACCCTCCCCCAAAGTAGAGCCTTTCTGTTCCCCGAGGAAGGCCCAGGCCCCGGGCAGTCGCAGCTCACATCCCCCGCCCGGCCCAGGACGGCCGCTTCCCATCTCCACGGGGATGGCGCCGAGTGAATCGCCGGTGCTTGGGAGGTCGCGCGTGTCCTCGTGCCTGCTGCACTGGTCACTTGAAGAGGCCGCCTCGGGCGGGCAGCGGAGAGCTGGCCTCAAGTCCATGAGATTTTTCAGCACGGCACCTCCCCTTTCCCTGCTTAGGGCTCCAGGTTCTGGAGCAAATGCTGACTTAATTGGTCCAGGGCTTTTCCCCCCGGGCGCTCTCCCCGAACCCCTGAAATCACAATCCAGGCCTTATGCCCTGAATGTGAGGGGGGCTTCTTCACAAGCCCGTGAGATCGGGAAGCAGCGCTTCCTTTAATACTGCTGAAGAAAAGCCCTAGCCCTCAGCCAGTGCTGCGGGCAGCCCTCGAAAGCCAAAGCCTCCCAAAGCACCCGCCTGGCTAATCTTAGGCTTCAGAGTCCCGTGGAATTGGGGCGGGGTGGGGGGGCAGTCTAACACCTAAATACTTAAAGAACTGTAATTTCAGTAGTTTGGGTACTATTCCTTCAGCAACAAAGGGTGTAACCATTATATAATTCAGTAGTCTTGGGAAACTTCTGTGGCTGAAAATTATTCACCCTGCGGCCATTCTTGTCCATGAGCTTCTCCAAACTGAACTGGATTGGTGCTGGAACCGGAGACCTGTAGTCCATCAATGGGCCCGTATCCCCAACACTTTCCAGCTTGATGAAATCGCTGCCACTCATGACACAGCTTTCAAGAACTCAGGATCACTTCCATGCTATCCATTTTGAGTCGTTAGAGTAGGACTTAAGTGGAGAGAAAGGAAAATGTGTAAAGGTTAACAAATAAAATGTGAGTAGGCTTGGAGTGTTGAAAAAATATTAATACTAATACTATGAGACTTAGGTTTAAGTCTTCTAGAAATAATTTAATTCAACATTAATCTGTATCTGAGCATTTTTTAGTTTGGAGAAATATCCAATCTGGCATAGTCCCCAACATCCTCAAACAGAACTGCCGCAAGATTTCAAATAACATAGGAATCTTGTACTTGGAAAAGAGATCTTAAAATACGTCCTGGGTTAACATTCCAGAATCAGGTAAACAAGTTTACTATCCCATTCCTCCTGGACCACTGTCCTTTTTGTTCAATCATGTCTGACTCTTTGTGACTCCATTTGGGGTTTTCTTGGCAAAGATACTTGGAGTAGTTTGCCATTTCCTTCTCTTAAATCATTTTACAAATGCGGAAACTGAGGCAAACAAGGTTAAATGACTTGCTCAGGGTCACACAGCTAGTGTCTGAGGCTAGATTTGAACTCAGGTCTTTCTGACTCCAGGCCAGGCACTCTATCCACCTAGCTGCCCAACCACAGCCCTTACTCCTGGAATTAAACTAAGTGACCTTTTCCTTTCCATAGATAATAGAATCCTTTCCAAATGAAGATTGGGTACTAACCAGCATATCACACAGGTCAAGAGGAGACTGCCCATAGATGAGTCAGTGATCAAAATACTTCAGGGGGAGGGAAGGCAATAATTGTAAAGATTAGCATCTATTCTTTGTTTAAAAGATTTGGTACCACCTTTAGTCCATTTCCCTAGGAAAACGTAGTTCATTCTGATCTATCATCCATCTTTCCAAGGGCCTTTTTTCTGGAATCTGGAAAGGGAAATAGTACTTTTTGACATTTTCAACTTTACTATAGACAAAGTTTTAGATACGTTTCTACAGGGGTCAAATTCTTTTGGGATTGGAATGATGAGGTTCCTGGGAAAGAAGGGAAATCTACCAGAAACACAGAATGTCAAAGCTAATCAGGACCCTAAAGAGGCAGCCTGGCCATAGTGGATATACTTGGGAGCCTGAAAGACCTGGTTTCAGATTCCAACTCTGACGCTTTGATAACAGAATTTATCACTTAACTAGTAAGTAGCAGAGCTAAGTTGGAATCCAAGCCCTCTAACTCCAAATCAAGCATTTCCTTCCTTAATAGTTTCCTAGCTGATATTCCTAGAAGTTTACAACAGGTCCTTCTGGTTGTTCCTACAGGATGTGGCCAGAAGCTACCTCAACAGTTTTCAAGTGGTGCTTAATAAATACTTGATTGACTAACAATGGTGGTAGTTTGTCTCTGAAATCAGCTGACTGCTTGGGAGTTGGGGTTCAAGAGGAAAGGGGAAATTAGTATTTGGTGTTGATGGGGCCCAGTTAAAAAACAATTCTATATTTACCCTAACTACTCATCTTTTGTTAAATGTATCCTGGTAATTCCTGCCAACTGCTAAATGAAAGCCTGTGAGCCTGAAGGTATGTCTTTGAAGTAAGATAACTGAAGAGAAGAGACATCCCATTACCATTATACTGCAGGACATTCTTAGAAAAAACTGTCTGATTAGAAGCAGTATGTGGCAACCATATGATAAATACTTACTTTGTAGCCTTAGCCCTTTCACACGGTCTCATTCTCATTCTATCAGTAAGGGGACTTAGCTTAGGTACTATACTCTTTTACAAATGGGCAAAGAGTCCAAGAAGTTAAAAGTATATCATCTTAGATGGAACTGCTTAGAACTCAAGTCTCCTAGACTCTGGTTCAGTGCTTTTCCTACTAGAACACACTGTCAGAGACAGAAGTCCACTTTGATAACAGAAACATTATATTTTAACAGCTGTATCCATCATGTTAGGTAGTCTATACTCTGTATTCAGCAGTCAGTGTACTTTGACTACCATTTCTGTAAGCCAGAATTATAATGCCTAGCAGTAGTGGGTATGTATACTGTGTATTTTACACACTGTTGTTTGAAATCCAATTTCTTTACTTCAGTAAAACCAATCTGATCTGCAAGAATCAAAAGTGCAAAAAGTTGGATACAGCACAGTGCTAATAAGGCCACCGTCATGGGTTAGACATTCCCATGTGGATCAGTTAGCTTCACTATTCTTTTTTCTGTGAATGTTTAGTTTTTTTTCCCCTCTATCAATTTATTTATTTTTAGTTTTCAACATTCACTTCCACAAGATTTTGAGTTCCAAATTTTCTCCCCATCTCGTCCCTCCCCCCACCCCAAGATGGCGTGCATTCTGAATAAGCTTCACTATTTGATAACCAGACTGTATTTCTAGTCCCAACCAGCTGTCTTGCAGATTCACCTTGCTGGTCCCAAGCATCAGACAAAGTCACAGTTAGTAAAAAATCAATCAATCAATCAATTTGTGAATCAACAAAGTAAATGCCCTTCTGGTGATGAAGTAGTAACATAATGTTTGAACATGAAGGGCAGCTGGTTTTGTAAGAAACGAAGTTGCAAACACATCGTAATTTAGCAAATATCAAAGCTGTCACGTTATACAGGTGGAAAAAAACTACAATTTATTTAAAAAAAATTCACATCAAACAGCAAAAGACCTGTAGAATTTTAGTGCCCTTATCCACATCATAGAAAAGTTGTGGAAAGGCGCAGGATAGAATGTTCCCATGCCAACCTGGAAAGGTCTTAAAACCCTTGCATCCTAAATTTTGTTGTATAAAATGTCATTTAAAAAGTTTAGCAATACACCACAGCAGAAGAGTTGGTATTTAAATATTAAGAAACCTGGTAAAAGAGTACACTTAGAGTTCAACATTATGGAATATTAACTGAACAATTCCTGCAGCAAACTTAGAAGAGCAGCACATTGGTGCTTAGCAGGTCTGTTACTACTTGTAGCACTTTAATTGGTAACTGGTACTTATAGCCTGCATATATGTATATAACTATGTTTTTAAATTATATTTTTTGAAGGCACAAGTGTGAACCCTCAAGTTTTTAGAAACATTGGGAGATATTTAAGAGGCACAGATACCCTAGGCAAAATTCAGTAGTCTCTATTATGTACATTTTGTGTTATGATTTTTATTGTTTTTTTTTTCTTTAAAGGAGTGTTAACAAAAGACACTCAAGTTAGGCTCATCTTGCATTAAAAATTAATATCCAGGAAATACTATAACAGACAGTAAAAAGTAATACTTATTCCAGAACTCATTTTCATGTTTAGAAAATTCCCTAGAAACAGATTAATATTCCCCTTTCTCAACTGTTGGTAAGAGACTCTTTGTTTATCAGTATTTGTGAAATATGACAGTTCACTTAAAAGAGTTAATATAAACTGTAGACCCACCTCAAGTCCAACAATTGCCACCCAATTGAGTTTTAAGGCTAATAACCCTGTTTTAGGTCATGAAATCTGTATTTCATGATGAGTACTGAGCAAGATGACTGTATATTTAAAGACACAATTGTATTCCCCAAGCAAAGCAAAAAGTGATTTCAGCATTTAAGTAGAACTTTAAGCTAAAAGACATTTCAGCAGTTTGTCAAGGCTCTTCTTTAATTTCGGAAATTCTGTCTATGGATTTAAGGATTTCAGCAACAAGATTCAATGTTTCAGCTCCAGAAAGCAACTGCCTAGAACAAAAACATAAAAAGATGTAAAATGTACAATTTTCTCTCCTTATTTGATTGTAAGCTCCTTGGGGCAAATCTCATTCATCTTTACTTCTTCCACCCTGGCAGAGCCCTGTACATAGTAGGCATGCAATAAATATTTGCAAAGTTAATCCATGTATGTCATTTACAGTGCCCAACTGTAATAAGAAAGACATTAAAAGCAAGGCAGAGAATTCTAGAATCCAAGAAAAAGATCAAATAAAATAGAAAAAATTTAGATTAGCTCATGTTTTTTAAAAAACTAACAAGATGGATTAATGAGCTCCCTCAAAAGATGACAATTATACTATTCCTATTTTCCTATGACTAAAAAAAATCACCAATTCCATTTTATCTATCTTTGAGTACATCAGAGGTGACATAGGAAGAGCAGTATATTTCTTATTCCCATTAAGCTTGCTCACCATATCAGCTGTCCTAGGAAGACTTTTTTTTAAAAAAACTGAACGTCCCCACCATTGCAGCAATGTTCCATATACCATATAGAAAACTTACTTTATCGAACTATGTGCATTGTTCATGACCACTCGGAGATTTTGCAAGGCAACATCTGTGTTTTGTTTAACTACTGTCAAATCGGCACACTGACCGGATCGCAGGGCTTCATTGTCTCTCTTATAATTAGTAAGCTGAGCCTTTAGAAGAAATATGATAGGGTTTAATTAAGATTAGTTAGGACAATTAAGACATATGATACAAAGTAAAATACTGGGCAAAACAGCAGGCCTATGGTATCTTTCTCATTAGAAACCTCAAAATAGAGCGATCCAGACTTTGTCATTCAGAGTAGTTATGCAATTTTGCTAGCTGACAGCTAGTTCATAAACTTGTTACTTTATTGTTCCATTGTCATAACTAGCTTGGCTCGTGAGATATGTGGAACAGCTTACGTTTTTTTCTTGGCCAGAGTCATTAGGCTCAATGTCTGCCACCTATCCAATCAAATCTATATGTTAAAAATATTTTCCACATGTATATGTAGCTAATATGAGAAGCTAAAATTAGGTCCCCAATTCTCGCATTCTCACTTTGAGTGATCTTTTTCCCATTTGAACTCTTAGGCACATCCACATTCTACCTGTGTACATATCTTATTACCTCTACTAATTTTTTTAAGTTTTTTGTGGGCAGGGACTACCTTAGTCATCTTTAAAGCAGTACGATATAATGACAAGAGCACTGAACTTAGGTTCAGAAGATATAAGTTAATCCCACCTGCCACTTACTATCTGTGTGACAGTTAGCAAGTTATTTGCCCAGAGTAGGGACTTTATATGTCATTGATTTGAACCTCTCCAGATCTGTTTCCTCCTCTGCAAAATGGGAATGATTATACCTGCTCTATTAACCTCATAGGGCTGATAAAAGAACCAAATGAGGATGTATATGAAAGTAATCTGTAAATTGCTGTACAAATGTGAGAGTATTAGTGTTATTATTTGTATTCTCTTCCCTATCTAGCACAGTATCTTATACATATTAGGTGCTTTGTAAGTGTTGGTAGAAGTGAATTTGCTGAAGTAAAAATGAATCCTTCATAGTTATGGAATCTTAAATTCTAGGACTTATCCCCAATTCCTTTGAACTTAGTCCAACTGAGGAAAAAAGGAAGGAGGAAATATTATTAAAGGTCCACTTCCATGTTTCCTTTCTTGCACTGATTTGTAGCATATTGTAGTGACACATGATATACCTTCAGGGAGAAAATACAAATGTATTTTACCTGGAGCATATTTATTTCCTGCTTCAGTTTTGTAACTTGGTTTTCTGCTTTCATTGCCCGCTTCTGTTATAAGAAAACCACTGACATTACAACAGTAAATTCTGAAAGCCATTTAAAACATATGGTTATTAATTTACATTTAAAACATATGGTTATTAATTTATTCATCCAACAAGCATTTATTAAGTGCCTACTATACTGCCAAATGCTGAAGATACCAATATAAAAACAACATGTTCTCCACACCCAAGGAACTTAACATTCTACTGAGGGAAGTAAGATTCACATTAAAAAGTTAAATATAAAATATATACACAGCAATTTCCAGGAGGAATCATTAGCAACTAGGGGAGGTTAAGCTCCTAGGTGTGGCATTTAAGCTAGGCTTTGAATGAAATCAGGGCTTTCTAGAGATGGAGATAGAGATGGAGGAGGGAAGCCCAGGTATAGAGGACAGAGCCTGTGCAAAGGCACAAAGAGGGGAGATAGAATGTCATATCTGAGGATTAGCAAGCAGGCTAATTTGGCTGGAATGCTGAGAGTGTAAAGGACAGGAATATACAATCAATCTCAAAATATATAGGCTAGAGCGAGATTGTGAGGGGCTTTAAAAGTCAAATGGAAAAGTCTGTATTTTACCATGAGGCAAAAGCGGGGCCCTGGAGCTTCTTAAGCAGGAAAAATGTTATGGTCAAACTTGTACTTTAGGAATAGCACTTTGGCAACTATATAAAGGACAGATTGAGAAAGGGAGAGGATAGAGGCAGGCAGACCAATTAGGACACTATTTTAATAGCACAAACAAGAAAATGATGAAGGCCTGAACTAGAATGGTGGCTATGTGACTGGAGAGAAGGGGTATATGGAAAATACACTGTGGAGATAAAATCAATAAGACTTGACCAACGATTGGATGTGAAGAGTGAGTGAGAAGGAAGAGTAGATGTTGTTAATATGAAAAGATGTGATAATGCTAGTCATGCGAATTTGGTGAAGTTTCCTGATAATTTAATATGGTTTCTCCTTAAATACCCACACAGTTAGCTATATCTTTAAGGAAATGGAGACCTGCTATTTTACAACTGGTTACCAGATGACCTGCATGAATATTCTTAATCTAATTTTGAAAAAGTTCAATTTGAAAGCTTTTTATCCAGGAAATAAGTTGCCTGAGAGATAATCTCAACTCTCAAAGAAAGGTATTATAGGTCTTTGAAAGCAAAGGCCTTGTCTTTTATGTTATCCAGAATCTTGATGCTTAAAAAATACTTGTTGAATTGAATCACATTCAATTGTCATTAGCATCTACCACAACAGAAGTACTTAAGCATTAAAATAATGTATGTTGCAGGTAAATCCCAACAGCAAGTTTACTAATTTTCAAACTAAAATAGTAAAGTTAAGTGAAATTGATATTTTACCCAAGAAACCCACCAAAACAAGTTTACACACTTAAAATCTGGTTAGACCATAAAATTTTCTAATTATTAACTTAGAAGGGACCTTAGAACTCCTTTCTAAACTGCCTGTCTACAGTAGGAGTAATTTTTACAACATTCCAAATAGGTATTTATCACTGTCTAAAAACTTCCGAATGACAGGATATTCATTTCCTTACCATTCCATTCTACAATAGCTTGGATTGTTAGAAAATCCTAACTTTTATCAAGCTGAAATTTTTAAATTTTTACCAATTGATCCTACTCCTGCCCTGCTGAGCTTACACAGAATAAGCCAACTCTTTTGTATTCCATAGCCATTTTGGAAGGTCAAAAGCAGCTCTCCTATCTCTTTCCCCAAAAGTCAGCTTTATAAGATCTTATTTTTAACCCTATTTTACATAGATATTGTGAGTCAAGTGAACAAAAAAACCCCAGGAGTACCTGGCACTTTTTGCAGTGACTAAATCTCTAATTTCATGGGTATAGGGAACTTCTAGTAAGGAAACATCCACAACCAGGCCAGATAAGACACCCCCTCAGCAACTTAACCACTATAAACGACTGTCTGGAGCATTATGATGTAAAGTGATTTGCCTAGGGATACTTACAACACTAGCTATATTACTGCTCAACAAAAAGCACAAAATACTGAGATGATGCTAGATCCACCTTCTAGCCAACAGATAATAATTCATTCTCCAAAGGAATTTTCCTGACATACACATACACCTTATAGTCTCCCACAAATTCAAAGAAAATTAAAAATTTTTACAGTCATCAATTCAAGATTCTGTTCCACTTGTTGCACCACCGATTCAAGATCATGATAGTCGCTTTCTTCTTTTATCATTTTTGCTTCCAATTTCCGCTCAAGTGTTTTTACCCTTATTGGGACAAGGAAAAAGACAGGTTATTTTAATGACCATGGTTCCTTCAAAGTAGGTTGCTCAATAAACCTAAACTGTTTTTCAAAGAGGATTTAACATAATAGGGAACAGTTGTAACATAACTACTGCTTGGGTCACAAATAACTTGTTAGCATCTTTCAGTTAACTTTTTTTAAAGGTAGCTGATTACTATTTTAAGAGTTCAAATCTCTTTACATACATTATCTCATAGCTTCTCATACCAACTTTGTGATCCCTATTTTACAGATGAGAAAACTGAGGCTCAGAGAGCTTAAGGGCCTTGCTCAGCATGACACTGTACCCAAGACAGGATTTGAAAAAGATAAATTATATCTAGTCAAAGGACTTGAGTTCAATTCTTGGCTCTGCCACTTACCTCCTATATAACCTTGGGCAAGTCATGTAACCTCTTGGGGCCTCAATTTCCTCATCTGTAAAAAGAGGACGTTAAGACTAGATGCCTTCTGACTAATGTGGAAATATGTTTAATATGACTGTATATGTAAACCTATATCAGATTGCATGCCTTCTTGGGGAGGCAAAGAAGGGGAGAAAATTTAGAACTCAAAATCTTATAGAAGTGAATGTTGAAAACTAGAAATAAATAAAAATATACATTTTAAAAAAGACTAGATGCCTTCTAAAGTACCTTCCAGCTCTAACTTAATGACCCCGAAATCACTCGAGTCCAAATCCATTGTCTCTCCACTCTGCATAATGCCTCTTGTTTGGTCAGTTTGTCTTTTCAATTTTATTATTTAAGGAGTGAAACGTTCATTTCAAATAACAGCTGACATGTATGTACAGCTTTTAAAGTTTGTAACACACTTTATACATTCTCATTTGGCCATCAGAAGAGGAAACTGAGGCTCTGAAAGGTCACCCAGGTAACGGCAAAGGTAGGATGAGAACTCCTACATTCTTAACCCTAAGGTTAGCACTTTATCCTCTCTGCCATGCTGCAACTCATATAGTAGCTCTAGTATATAACTCAACAAAAAATTGGATGAAGAATTCCACAGGAAATCTTAAACAGAAAGGAGATTTATCATATGTCATCTCTTAGAATGTGGAATATAACAGCAAAGCTGTTACCCTCTATTTACATAAATCAATCCTTTGGAAAGAGAAATGAAACTCATATTTCTGGATATAAGTGTACATACATTTCTGTCTGAGATTCAGAGAAGTTCTGAATCTCATTAATTTTTCTTCTTAGCTTAGAGTTTTCTTCTTTAAGCTGCAGAAAAAGAAAATTAAAATTAGAAATTCAAGATTCTAAACTGGTAAATAGCCTGCATATAATTAGTCATAAAATTTCTTATTTGTAAAGGTAAAGAAATCTAAGACAATGGATAAAGATGTTTAGATTTCTAAGATGTTTTATCTAGCAATGACACAAGTGTTCTATTGTACTCACATCTCCTGTACTTGCATTCATTACACAGTACTGTTTAAAGCAGCTGCATTCATATCTGTGAGCAATGCCAAAATAACTAACACAAGCTGCAGTAGCACATTAGGACTGATTGTGTCCTTTGCTCCAAAGGCATAGAGGCCATTAGAAAAGCAAGATCACTAGTTTTTTTCCATGAGAAACTTCCCAAGGTAGGTGAAGAACATTCCATCCACACTTACTGCTTCATAGCTTATCTGCAGCGACCGAAAATGCCTATCTCCCAAGTATTCTCCATGAGCAGCAAATTCTTTGTTTGTGTTATTCACTTGAGATTTAGGAGAAACACATGAGTCACTATCATTTAAGGTCCATGGAGCAAGAGACTCGATGCCTGACAGTTCAGATGTGTTGGAAAAAAAGGAAATATATGTACTCCGTGGTGACCCACTAGTAGCAACTCTGGAAGCATGAGTTTGTTCCAGGGCAGATGGCCGATAAGTCCCACTCCAGTCATCATCTTCGTCTTCATCCAACAAATCTCCAGCACCAGTTGGATCTTGGAAAAAAGGTTCCTCATAGTCTAAACCATACCCTACAGTTTTAGAAGTTGGGGAATTATTTTCTAGTCCTAATGTATGTCTTGTAGATTCCTAAAGAAGAAGAAAGTCAAAAGTTACACTGAAGAGTTTCTTTATTAGTCTAGGTTAATAATACCAGTTTAGTAATTTTTTATAGTCTTATGTTCAGTGTGTTTTTGATTTCAGAATTATAACAAAACACTACCATTTAAAAGAGGTAAGCTGAGAAGATAGATGGAACACTGTAAGGATAAATCATCTGCATGTGGCATCACTGTAAAACTTATCCATCTAAAATAAGTTATATGATTTGATTTTATGACAACACTGATACCAAACTCTTCCATGATTAACACTAAGGGAAAATGTAAAGCAGTAGCAAAAATTCATTGAGATTTTTTTCTCCCCTTATTGAACTTAACTGCAAATTCCTTTAAGTTACCTTAGTGTAAATTCTAGTATTAGTTGTCTCCTCTTTGGACAGGCCAAGGTTCTTGGTTTTCAAAAATTCTTTAAAGGAAAATGGATTTGCCTCATCCAGATCTTCAAGATTATCATCTAAAATAAGAAAAGCATATTTCATAAATGCTTAAAAGTGATTCAGATTTATTAGAAGGGAACTTTCCTTCTAGTTTTTCTTATAAGCAATATCATCTAATCCAGATTTAGGAACACCAAGCCCCACACTGACCCAGAATAACTGATTTTAAGAAAATAAGGGCTGAACTAAAGTGAACTGAGGTGCCATTAAGACACAAGAAACTTAACACTTACTAGCAACATGACACCTCTACATGTTAAGTCCATTTTAAATTCTCTCATTCTTTTTCCTTTACCTCAGAGGACTTTACTTGGCAACTGTCTCAAGTTTCCATACATACTCTATGACTTGCTTTACTTTTCTACTTCTTTACTTCTTTCAGCCTCCCATATATAGTTAACTGCACTATCCAGAACCTCCTAAGCCATGCTGCCTTTTCAGACCTTCCTTCTAGCCCTTTCACGCATTTTTATCAGTTGCCACATATCTCCAATCTTCTTGCTTTTCTCATCCCTCAGTTTCCTTCTACCCCAAGATCCAAGATCTCATTTTCAACTCTTATTGTTAGTTAAGAGTCCAGCTCCATCCCACTCTCAACCTAGGGTATCCTCCCCCTCCCCAAACTCTGCTGAAGACTCATTTATTCACTATCTCCACCTGCTTTGTGTGTTCCCACCTCCATACCTTTGCCCATGCCTTTCTCCTCCCCCTTATCTGGGCCTAATCCTACCTATATTTCAAGGCTCAACTCTAATCTCCCTTTACCCATCCCAGACCTCACCACCTTATAACAATCTCTCCTTGACATGAATCCCATTCACACATACATATGAGAAAGTATAGAGTGTGTTTAATGTTCTGAATCTCATTAATTTTTCTTCTTAGCTTTTTACTTCATATGTACTATGTACATAGTGCAGTACTAGGTGCTCAAGAGGATAAATAAGGAAAAGACACAGTCCCAAGGGTTTAGTTGGGGGAATAAGACATGTCCAAGTAAAAAGGTAAAGAATGTAACAGGTCAGCAAGTGCTTCAGGATTAATGCTATGTAAATAATAGGGGCAATAAATGCTTTTAGATTTTATGTTCCTTGACAACAGAGGCAGCATCTTTCCCAGAGTAGCCTCTCCTAAGGTAAATATTTGAGCAACAAGTCATAGCTGCAGTCCTGGAAGTACTTACAATCTATACAATCATATGGTATACATAAAAGATTAAATAATTACAAAAGATGTCATAAAGCAACACCAGAGAAGCCAAATGGGCCATTTAAGTGTTCTATCCCTTCTTAAGCTACGGGAAGCATATGGCACACAAAAGGAACTCAAATGACTACAATATAAGACACAATTCAGTTTGAACATTTGAATACTCCCATCTGAAAGATTCCAATACACAAATGTGATGGGGATAAAAAGATAACGCTGGACTGGGAAACTATTGAGTTTAACATAGTTCTGTCACCAACTACTTACGTGCTCCTGTCTTTTCCCATCCTATCAGTGAGAGGAGCTGGGTCTAGAATCTAGATTTTTCTTTTAGTGGGTGATTTTATGGCACAGTATGGACCATAAAGGGTACCAGGCTGAGCACAACCAAATGCAATGCCCTTGGGGGGGCTACATTATAGCTTCAGAGAAGGGGCTCCCTGGAGAAGCTCCAACTAATAACAATCTGGGCAAGACCTTTGCCTCTTCTGGGCTTCCTTTCCCCATCTGTACAATGATTGAGTCTTTCGGGCTGGGTGACTGTGATTCAAGACTCAGCTGCAAAATTAAGGGACGAAGGGAAATCATAGGAGTTCAGAGAAATGTCTTTAAGAAGGGTCCCAAATCTGGCCAGCCTAGTTCCCCTTACCAGTTGTTTCCTTCTCTATAAAACAGGCAGCCACGAACATTGGGTGTCTAAAATAATTTGCAATTTAAGTGACTCCCTCTCTCCCCCCCTTCCCCTCCTCCTGGGTGAACTTCTCATACAGATAATCAGAGGATAGAGTTAGATCAGGCTTGGTGCTAAGAGCCTGGAAGGCTCCCTGGAGGCGGAAGAAGTCTAAGCAAGCCTCCTTGGAGGAGGCGCGTCCCCCATCTGGGCCAATCTTGGACCTCAATTTCCACTTCGGTACTCTGAGCGGATTGCCTAGGAGATGTCTAAGGGAGCAGCCTTCCTTCCAGCTCGAGCGCCTAAGGCAGAGCAGCTATGCCAGTCAGGAGGTGGGGCGGGAGGGCGGCTGTGCCAGGATCGGTCGCTAGGTCTCACCGTGCTGGATGACAAGGCTCCGGGCTCGGGACAGCGGGGTGAGCCCCGTGCGGCGAGTGTAGCCGGACATCCCCGCACAGCCTCGATTCTGCCCGCGGAGGGGGCCGGACCTCCACTACCTGGTCTCCATAGCCTCAGCTCAGCCAGTCTCGGCTCACCTCAGCTCGCCTCGGCCTGGCTCCGCCCGCTTCAGCTCCTCTCCGGTCTTCCGGTCCCCTCCCTCCTCCTTCCCCTCCGCGGTTCCTCGCGAGGCCGCTTCCGCTTCGCCCACCGGGCGCCGGAAGCGCGATCTCTCGCCCCGCGAGAGCACCGCGGGGGCGTGGCCGGGCTGGGGCGAGGAAGCGGAAGTGACCGCAGAAGCGCTGGGCGGAGGCGCAAGATGGCGGCGGCGGCGGTGGCTGTAACGGGGGCGGCGGGAGCTGCTGTGCTGCGCGGACCAGGCGTCTGGGGCCGCTCTCGCATGAGGTGAGAGGGGTGAGGCTGGACGCCTGACTGACGGGCAGAGAGAAGGAGGGACCGGGGCCAAGTGTGGGGGAAGGCCAGGACTGCCCGGCCCTGCCCCTAGCCCCTCGGGCGGGACTCCGACGGAGTCTCCGAGGGGCCCTGCCAGTGACTGCAGCCTCGCCCCCGGCCCTCGCGGCGCCGCCCTCGGCAATCTTCATCCTTTGGAGCCCGCCGGAGGTTATTTCGTCTGCTCCCCTGCTTCGGGCAGGCCAATCAGAGCTGTTTCCACCTGGAAGTGGGCACGTGGGAAAACAGGACCTTTCTGTGTGACCATGTGTAAGCCGCTTAGATTTAGGACTGGGAGAACTGTAAAGACCAAATAGTTCAACATTTCCTCTCCCCCCATTTAACGGAGGAAAAAACTGAGGCACGTGTGTCTCAAGTGACTTGCCCAGGGGCAGCTAGGTGGTGCAGTGGATAGAGCACCGGCCCTGGAGTCAGTAGGACCTGAATTCAAATCCGGCCTCAGACCAGACACTTAACACTTGGTAGCTATGTGACCCTGGGCAAGTCACTTAACCCCAATTGCCGAAAAAGTAAATAAATGAAGTGACTTGCCCAAAGTCTCTATTTGGTAAAATTTAACGCCTCTATTTAGTTTCCCTTAAGATTAAACTTCCCCGAAGACATGCAGTTCTCGACCAATATGTTGCTTATCTTTTCCCATTAAAAACCTCGGTGAGTCCAAAAGGTCCCTAGCCCGGTTCAGATACAAAGATAAGACACAGTACCCTATGCTTACAGCAGTGTTTTCTCAGTACATCCTGTGTTTTCCCATCCCATTGCCGTTAGTTATGTAGTTACTTCAGCCTAGAATGTCCTTCCTATAATCTCCTTCAGAAGAAATGGTAATACTGTTTTGCATGCAGTCCTCTATAAACGACTTCTGTTCCCCTACCTTTATGACTTAAAATTCTCTAAGCTTGAAATAGCCTCCTTCCAACTTCCAGATTGGGCATGAACCCATCTTCCTAAAATTCAGCTCAAAAGTTATCTCCTCCATGAAGCTCTTCCTTCATTCTCCTCAGATGGTAGTGATTTCACACGTGGGACTTCATTTAGTATATTGTTCTGTACCTTTCCTGGTTTTTTTTCCAGATAATGTGCATTATTGTTATTGATATATGTGACTTATTTATTACTTATATGTAAACTATGTGTTATAGATCCTGTGATATTTAAACTTTGTATCTCACATCACCTGGTTTAATATTATACACACAGTAGGTGGTTAATAAATGCATGTTGAATTAAACTGGACTTACCAGAGTTGGACTAGATGATTCCTTCCAGCTATAGAAGGCTATGATTTCTTCTGTGTCAATTAGAGTAAATGACAGAGCTGGACCTAACAATTCATGGTTATGTTTAACTATGCAAAATACTTTCTCCACACAACTCTGTGAAAGAGGTAGTGTGAATGTATTCCCCTTTCGCATATGAGGAAAACTGAGATTGTCAGGTGCTCATGCTCATCTTTTAAATATCACAGCCAGGATTAAAACTTGGTTCTTCTGACTATTACTGGCTGCTCCCTATTTTCTACTGCTTGTCATAGAATTTAAGCTGACTACAAATTTTTGTCATAAAAGTCTTCCTATTTCTTCCGTGTCATACCCATCAGTGTTTTGTGTCCTACCTTACTTATGCTCACAGATGCTATTCCTACTGTTACTTATGAGGATTGTGTCCTCATAAGGCTGGAGAGCCAGTTGATTGATTAGTAGTTTTGTTTTGTTTTTTGGCTAGGCAATGGGGTTAAGTGACTTGCCCAGGGCCACGCAGCTAGTAAGTGTTATTTGTCTGAGGCTGGATTTGAATTCGGATCCTCTTGAATCCAGGGCTGGTACTCTACCCAGTAGACCACCTACCTGTCTCTGATTAATAGTTTTTTTTTACCCTTGTACTTGTGCTGTGTAGTCTCTCTAAATGAGTCATTGTTCACTCCTATACTTTATGACTTAGATCAAGAACTGCATTCCTTGTTCTAGTTCTGTAAGCCTTCTCTGATGCCTCCTGTATGCCAAAAACTTTCAGATGCAGTCACTTTTCCGTGAGACTGTGCTGGTAACTAAGATAAAGAGAGCCAACTGCCAGAGTTGATTGCTCTTCATCCATCAGGTTAAGCAACTTCTTTGGCAGGTAGGTTGGATTGCCCTCTTCTCCTTCAGGAAAGTAAAAGTCAAGATCTCTAGGCAAACCCGTAAGAACATTGAACTAGAAACAACCCTAGAGAGCTCCTTGCCCAATGCCCTCACTTTTACAGAGGAAGAACCTGAGGTGTTAAGTGATGACAACATAGCAAATTGTCAAAACTGTGACTTGAATCTAAGATTTCTGACGTCTAAACTATTGTTCTTTTCACTGTGCTACTTTCACCCTCAGGAATATCAGTTGACTTGAACTTAATCATAGGGACTAGTGACTTAAATATTGGGGAAGAATTCTCACTACGTGTTGTGGGAGGAGAATGCGGTATAATTTGGTTCCAGAATGCCTTTGATTTTTTCATTGTACATAATTCCAGGATGTGGTCAGAATGGTTATTTGAAATGATAGGATCATAGCCGTAGAACTGGAAATGACTTCAGAGCCTGTCTAGGCCAGCTCCCTTATTTTACAGATGGAAGAAACTGAGATCTGAGGAAGTTAGTGACTTACCCAAGGCTACAGCTTGTAAATGCCAAATGTGGTATCTAAACTGCTGTCCACCAACTCTAGAACCAGTGCTTTTTCTAACATTCTAAGTTGCTTCAGTTTCTAGAGTGACCATAGCTGCCGCTCCTGAGCAGCCCTTCCATGATTTAGAGAAGACTAAACTCCTAATCATGGCAACATCTGTTTTATACATTGTATAAAAAACTTTGCCTTATTTCATCACAAATTTTTCTTTAACAAGGTCTCACTGAGACTTTGTACAAACATGTCTAGAACTACATTTTTAAAATATACTTCAGTCTTTCAAGGATCAGTCATTTTGTCAATTTGGGAGCTCTCTCCACTGACCCTCTCAATTCCTCACAATTCTTTGATTTAATAGATTCTGTTCTTTGATTGTTACTACGGCCAGAAAAATCACATTACAGTCCCTATGGTGATGAGCTTTTCCAAATTTAGGTAAGCACATGACAGTATATACACACACATATATACATATATATACACACATATATACATATACATACACACACACACACACAGAGTCCATTATCAGGCCCACGAAGTTTTTTCAGTTTGGTAGAATGTGTCTGAGCTTTCACTTTGTTGACGTTAACTGTTGAGAGCATCAGGTCACCACTACTCATGATTAAGCTTTCGTGTAGAACTCAAAATAGTGGTTTTAGAACATATATACTGTAACTATTGAGGTAAATAGGAGTGCTAGACCCTCTAAGTTACAAATGGAGAAATCGAGACTAATAAATGAATTGTCTACTGTCACATGGTTAGTCATTAAAACAGCAAGAATTAGAATTTGGATTTCTTAACTCCCATTCTGATATTTTTTTCATAGGATTTGGACCTAAAGGAGATCTTCAAGGTCATCTAGTTCAACATCATTTTGCAAATGAGGAAAATTAAGTCCAGAAAGGAAAGGGATATAAGTAGTATGTGTCTTGGGCAAGGAGTGATAAACATGGAATCTCAGAGCTGAAAACAACATCCAAAATCATCTGGTCAGTCTCGACCTACATAAGAATCCTCTCTACAGGATGTCAGTCTAGCACAGATTAAGTATTTACTCTGTGCAGACACTGTGCTTTTCACTGGGAATGCAAAAACAAAAGGAAAATGGTTTCTGCCCTCTTGGAGCTTACATTCTTTCACAGGAAACAAGCTATGCCCATAATAGTAGATGCAAATATATACAAAGTAAATAAATATAAACTTAGGAGAGTGGGGTTGGATCAGGATAGTACTAGCAAATCTTCAGGACTTGTGAGAGGATAAAATCAGGAAAAGCTTCATATAGAAGGTGGTGCTTGAGTTGAACTTTGAAGGATGCTAGGGATTCTAAGAGGTGAGGAAGGAGTACATTCCTGGCATAGGACAGCCTGTGCAAAGACCCAATAATCAGAAATTTAATGTTGTATGTAAAAAAACAGGAAGCAGGCCAGTTTAGGTGGGATGGTGAATTCATAAAGGAGAGTAATGTGAAATAAGGCTGGAAAGGTACAATAGAGCCAGGTTGTAACAGACTTAAAAGCCAAATTGAGCCAAAATCCACTGGAGCTTCAGCAGGGTAGTGACTTGGTCACAGGGCAGCTAGATGACACAGTGGATAGAGTGCCAGGCCTAGAGCCAGGAAGACTCATCTTGTTGAGTTCAAATCTGGCCTCAGACACTTACTAGCTGTGTGACCCGAGGTAAGTCCTTTTACCCTGTTTGCTTCAGTTCCTCATCTATAAAATGAGCTGGTGAAAGAAATGGCAAACCATTCCAGTTTCTTTGCCAAGAAAATCCCAAATGGGGGTCGGGAAGAGTTGGACATGGCTGAAAACAAGTCAACAGAACAATGAAAATGTTATTTTCAGCTCTGAGATTCCATGTTTATCACTTCTTGCCCAGACACATACTACTTGTGTCCCTTTCTTTTCTGGACTTAATTTTCCTCATCTGCAAAATGAGGAGGTTGGACTAGACGACCTTGAAGATCTCCTTCAGTTCCAAATCTTGGTCAGGTAAGAAATAGGGTTTCCCTACTTCTGTTCTCTCTCCACTACAATCTGTACTCCATACAGCTGCCAGAGTGACAGTTCTAAAGCAGAACTGTGACCTTGTCTGTTGTTGTTCAGCTGTGTCTGACTCGTGACCCCATTTGGGGTTTTCTTGACAAAGCTACTGGAGTGGTTTGCCATTTAAAAAGCGCTTTCTCTACAAAGCACTGAGGTAATTTGTACAGACACCATCCCTTTATATGGGTGAGGAAACTCAAGTTTAGGGATGTGGACTGACTTGCTCGTGGTCATATTCTTAAGTGCTAGAACTGGGATTTAAAATGAGGTTTCCTGATTCCTGGCCTAAACCTCATTCCCTTAGGATACAGGATGTTTGTAATATCCTTTAGAAAGGAAAATCTTTGTCTTGCATATATTATCTGCATAAAGGTGACTATCACTGGTTATTTGTAATATCATAAGTGACTACTGTTTTAATTGAGCATGCATCCCTGCTTTAGATTTGGACTGACTGCATACAGAAGGTTTAGTAGTGGCAGTGCGTACCCCAACATTCCTCTCTCTTCTCCCCTACCTGGAGTGCCCAAACCTGTTTTTGCAACAGTTGATGGACAGGAAAAATTTGAAACCAAAGTCACAACACTGGAGGATGGACTTCGTGTGGCATCTCAAAATAAATTTGGACAATTTTGTACAGTAGGAAGTAAGTATATTTGCTGATCAATGGCCAATTATTTGTCTCATTTAATTTGTACATAAGTGTCTTCAAATTAACAGTTAATTGTATAGAGGATATCCCTTATTTACTGGACATAGTAAAAATGGAAAGGGTTATTTGATTTAGTCATAGTTAAAGTCATTAATTAGGAAATTTTTTTCTTTTATTCTTTCTATAAATTGTAGTTTAACTTGTTAATTTTTTCTTTTTTTGCTATCAGTTCTGATTAATTCAGGATCAAGACATGAAGCAAAATATGTTGGTGGAATTGCTCACTTTTTGGAAAAACTGGCATTTTCGGTCAGTATATGGCTTGTAATTTGGGAGAATGTGCTTGTAGAGGGTTACTGAATAGAAAGTCTGGCTATCAAGGCCTCTTCACCTCTTGCCTTGATTATTGCAATAGCTTCTTAACTGTTGTTCGTGCTTTAAGTCTCTTCTCTCTCTAGTCCCTCCTAAATACAGCTGCCGAAATGATCTTCCTAAAGTATAAGTCTGATTATATCATTTCCCTACTCAATAAATTCCAGTGAACCCCTGTTGCCTCAAATATAGGTTCATCTATTTGGCTTTTAAAACTCTTCACAACATGGACCCTGACCTACTTTTCTTATCTTAACAAACATTATTCTCCTTTCCACATTCTGTAGGCCATCCAAACTGGCTTTGCTGTGCCTCAGACATAACATATTATCTCCTGTGTCTGTGCCTCTGCACTCACTGTCCCCTGTGCCTGTAATCTACTTTCTCTTTATGTTGGCCTCTTAGAATTCTTGGTTTCAAGAGCAGCTAGGTGGCGCAGTGGATAGAGCACCGGCCCTGAAGTCAGGAGGACCTGAGTTCAAATGTGACCTCAGATCAAACACTTGACACTTACTAGCTGTGTGACCTTGGGCAAGTCACTTAACCCTAATTGCCTTTAAAAAAAAAAAAGAATTCTTGGTTTCAATTAAAAACTGCTCAAGTACTACATTCTACATGAAGCTTTCCTTGGTTACTCCCAGCTGCTAGTTCTCCCCAGCCTTCCAAAATTATCTAGTATTCATTTTCTATGTTGTTTGGATATACTTAAGTATGTTCTTGTTGTCTTCCTTAGTAAAATTTGAGGGCAGGAACTTTCATTTTTTTCTTTGTATCCTTGAGGCCTGCTACAAAGCTTACCATGTAGTAGGCTTAGTAAACGGTTACTGTTTGGTTGATTATCAAGCCAAACTCTAATAACAGTAAAGAGCAGATGTTGATCGCTATAAACAACTTTGGTGAAGTAGGAAGGATATATTTGGACATAATTTTCATCTCAGCAAAGAAAGCCAAAGAAAAGCAGTAAAGAAGCCAAATTAGATCACTAGATTAATACAAAAAAAAGATGAAGCAGTTTAGCTGGAGATACTTATTTTTATTCCTGGAGGTTTCATTATTTTTATGTGCTTTGAAATTAAAAGTAGATTGTTTTTAAAAATATGAACTCACAAGGAATGTTTTTTCTCTAGTCTACTGCCAGGTTTGGCAGCAAAGATGAAATTCTTCTTACTTTGGAAAAGCATGGGGGAATTTGTGACTGCCAGACATCAAGGTATGTCAGCTACAGCCTAAAATAATTTTTTAAAAGAATTTCTTTTCAACACAGCTTGTTTTTTTGTTTTTTTGTTTTTGTAAACATAATTAACACTTCCCAAGTGCTCCCTAGATAAACATTCCCTTCAAAGCACTTTCCCTGAAAGCTACTAAGCAGAACTGCCTAGTAGCAGGTCGTATGTCTCTTTACTTTTGTAGTTTACTAATTATTAATAGAAAGGTCCGCTGCTTTAAATAATGCTTAGTTTCATATTAGACAATGATCAGATGACCATAGATTTAGAGCCAGATGGGACTGCAAGAGGTTGCGACTGTGATCATCACTCAAAACCACATAGAAGGCTCTTCCTTTTGTAGAACTCTTGAAGATACCACAAAGTTTTCAGAGTGATATGGGGTAGACACTGCCTGAGTTGCAAGTTATGTGGGGTAGGAGAGAGCAAATAATAATACCATACATCAGTGTGGAGGAATAGATCTATAGAATGTTATGGACTAGTGAGCACAGAGTACAAGAGAGAAAGTTATAAAGTGATTATCAGTGTGTCACAATCAGTTTTTCTTGACTCATACCTTCAGGAACTCCCAGCTGCCTGCATGATAAAATTTATACGCAAAACTGAGCACTCATATTCAAGTCCTTTCAAAATTTGGCTTCCTCCATTCCAGCTTCACTTATTTCTGCATTGTAACGTGAACTTTATACTCAGCCAGATTTGTCAGTTCACCATCTCCTCAGCCACTCCAGGTTCCTTCGTTGCTATGGCTTGCATTTTTCTCTGTCCCCTCCACTTAGCACCTAGTACATGTTCTTCATAAATTTTAACCAGTGAATTTTTAAGGTACAGAATGAAAACGTCTTTGTTGATAGAAGGAAATATAATGTGCCAGTGTTCTTAAAAATACTATCGATATTTATTGACTCCTTTCAGTTTTGACCTAATAAATAGTAACTTTATTGCGAAGAATGAGACTGCTTCCGCAGAAATAACTGATTTCCTCTAGGATGTTTCATCCTAAGTGACAGAACCTAAAAAGCTAAACATCACCATCCAAATCCAAGTCATTTTCTGATCACAAATTCCATGCAAAAATAATTTGTGATTTTTCAGGGATACTACCATGTATGCTGTGTCTGCTGATACAAAAGGACTGGATACCGTAGTTGGCTTATTAGCTGAGGTAGTGTTGCAACCAAAGTTATCAGGTATGATTCTCTCGTACTTCTGGAAGAGCCAAACAACATCAATTTGTATTGGGTGTCTGCTATTATGTAGCATAGTATGAAAAAAGCCATTATTTTATAGAGAAGGGAGCAATATAGGAGTGCCTTTATGCAAAAATTGCAAGCAAACCAGATGAAAAAAATTGATTTGTGGTGTGATTATGGTGAGTAATGGAGTAGTTCCTTACGTTTTATTAATTAATAAATAGATCTATTTGTTGGTTTTTAGTGAAATCTAACTTTTTTATTTAAAAAGCTATTGAGGCTGTTTTTACATACTATGATTGAGGTGTGACCACAAGATTCAATTTGATCTTGGCTTTAAAACCTTTCTTAAGACTTCTCTTCCTATGTACACAATAACAGCCACGTTGTACGATGACTAATAGTGATAAATTTAACTCTTCCCAGCAATACAAGAATCTAAGATATTTCCAGAGGCCTTGTGATGGAAAATGCTATCCACGTCCAAAGAAAGAACTATGGAAGTTGAATTGCTATTTTTTTCTCATCTGTTGAGTTTTGTTTCCTCTTTCTGATGGTTCCTTCTATTGGTTTTAATTTTTACTTACAACATCACTAATGTGAAAATATGTTTAATAGGAATGTAAATGTATAGCCTATATCAGATTGTGTGCCCTCTTGGGGAGGGTAGTGGGGAGGAAGGGGGAGAAAAATTTTAAACTCAAAAGCATATGGAAGTGATTATTGATAAATCAAAATAAATTAATAAAAAAAAAGTGACATAAAAAAAAAGACTTCTCTTCCTGGTTGTAGATAGATCCTGATCATTTTTGGTGGAAGAGGTTCCCACAGCCCTGAAACTATAGATCCTTGATATGTTGACAAGATTGATCCTGTTGCTGCTATTACTTAATTATGCACAGCACTTTAAAGGACTTTCCCGTTTATCATTTCACTTAAGTCTTCAATAATCTGATGAGGTAGGCTATATAGGTAATATCATGACATTACAAATGAGGAAAGTGAGGTAGGAAGAGGTTGACTTGCTCATGGTCATACAGATAGGTAGGGACAGAGCTAGAAGTAGAATCTGCCCCAGTTCACTGATATTCCTCTGATACTACAGGAAGTACTTTCTGCTAATCTGTGTCTGGAGCACATAGGAACATAGTTGGAGAACCCAGAAATTAAATAACGTGTCATTTGACTACTCTTAATACTATGTTTCTTTGTATAAATGAGTCAGTTTCTTACACTTAGCCTTTTCTTGGATCTAGGATAGTGGCTCTTATGCTGTGGATTCTTTGTGTTTTTGTAGATGAAGAAATTGATATGACTCGAATGGCTGTCCAGTTTGAATTAGAGGACCTAAATATGAGGCCTGATCCAGAGCCACTTCTCACAGAGATGATTCATGAAGTAAGATAAGCCACAGTGGGTTAGACCTATCATCTATATGGCCTGTACTCTTTCCTATTGTTAGCACCAAAGAACAGTTTGATAGTTTATGCCTGTGATTTCATCCATACAGGTTAACCCATTACAGATCTATTATCTACATAAGTAATCAAAACTTCCTTGGAATTAAGTTATACAACTTCTTGTATAAAGAGGTTAAAGACTTCCCTTTATATGTCCTTAAAACAACTTCCTTCAAAAACATTTTAACATTTTCATCTGGAGAGGTAGATTCAATCATTATATTGATAACACATGCTTCTACCAAAGACCAACTCAGATGCCTTATCGTGGTATGAAAATGGAGTTTTCAGAAATTATTGCAGTTAAGTACAAGCTTTGAAAGATTCTTCGAAGCTAAAAGGGCTTCAAATACAGGCCTTCTGGTAGAATGTGTGTATGTCTGTCGTGTAAGGACCAGCCTATCTAGCCTCAGAGAATGTCATCACCTGAAGGTTGATCACTAGGTGATCAGTGTTTTTTGGCCACAAAAACCTGTGAAGACTGTCTCCTGTCTTATCATGCCATACCTTAGAATGGAAGGGTTATGATTTACATAGATAAAGGAGTCTTATACCGTCATGGATTCTTGAAATATTAACTGTACATAAGTAGGTGATTATTCTTTGTTAGGTAGACTTGAAAAACTCTTCTAAATATATCTGATATACTAGAAATAGCCAGAGGATGCTACACATATAATGTAATGTATTATAATGATAAATGCATTGTAATGCATTGTAATGATAAAAGTCAGAAAAGGGGTAAAGTTTATTTTGACATTTTGGCAGACAAAAAGCTCTGATTCCTATTCAGTTCCTCATGCCTCTCTTCTCTTATCAGGCTGCATACAGAGAAAATACAGTGGGCCTCCACCGTTTCTGTCCAGCAGAAAATATTCCCAAAATTGATCGAAAAGTACTCCATTCATACCTGAGAAACTACTACACTCCTGACCGGATGGTACTGGCTGGTGTAGGGGTAGAACATGAGCAATTAGTGGAGTGTGCCAGAAAATATCTCCTTGGAATAAATCCAGTTTGGAGTAGTGGGCAGACCAAGGATGTTGACAGATCTGTTGCACAGTATACTGGAGGGATTATCAAGGTAATGCCAAAGTGAATGATCAACTATTTTGTGGCATCACAAAACCTTTAAATTGCATTCTGATCTAAGTTACTTTTTACGGTTTATTGCTAAGGGTTTGAAAAGTAAGAGGTAGTGAACTATAAGGACAGACTGTTGCATGCATTCTTAGACTCAGTCACTGCTGAATATTATAACTATTATTTTGCTAAACTTTTTCTTGATTATAGGAGATGGTTTAATTCTGAGGAAGGAGATAGGAAGAAGTAGATCCAGAAATAGCTGTAACATAAAAACAAAAGGTATCAGTAAAACTTAGGACATTTTGTCAAAGGAATTAAAAATTAGATGTCACCTTTGGAAGGGAATTTTACTCAGTATTGAAATTGGTTACAGACACTTGGAAAAGAGTTTCCATGCAGTATTGATGGCTGAACTACCATTGCTACTTACATATATATGTAGCACTTTACGAAGGACTTCCATGTTTGTCATAAACCTGTGATGTGGACAGGGTTTTACAAATGAGGAAACTGAGGTTGGACAGCTGTTCAGTGTTTAGGTGACCTTAGAACCTGGGTCTTTTGATTTGTAATTCAGGATTTTTTCCATCATACTATTATATTGCCTATAAATCTTTAAAAGTTTTAAAGTTTAACCTAGATGCATTTACTGAAATTGGAGGAGTCAGCTGCAGTATCATGGCTAAAAAACCATTTCAACTTGGGTCTATTTAAAGTGGCTCAGATGATGAACATTGTCTTCACCACCTTTTGTTTGTAAGACCTAGTTGTTATTGAGGCATACTTCATTCATTTGTACTTGTGTTCCTCACAGATAGAAAGAGACATGTCAGATGTGAGTCTAGGGCCCACACCAATCCCTGAACTCACACATATCATGATAGGACTTGAGAGCTGTTCTTTTTTGGTAAGTGTTAAGAAAGACTATGCCTGAATTTGTGTTGCCGAATGTTTAATCCACTCACTAATTTGATTCTTTTTCTCAAATCTCCTGCAGGAGGAAGATTTCATCCCTTTTGCAGTGCTAAACATGATGATGGGAGGAGGAGGTTCTTTTTCAGCTGGTGGACCAGGAAAGGGAATGTTTACCAGACTCTATCTCAATGTGCTAAACAGGTTGGTGGGAATCTTAGAAAAAGTTTTTCTCAGAGTTATTAAGCCAAAGTGATTGATTACATTTTAGGACACTGATTTTTTTTTACCTTGTAGGTTTTATTTTCTTCACATGTACATTTTGTGTTTGACAAGAAAAGCAGCACTCACATTAAAATTTGGGTTTCTGTTTATAGGCACCATTGGATGTATAATGCAACCTCTTATCACCACAGTTATGAAGATACAGGCCTCTTATGTATTCATGCTAGTGCTGATCCTAGACAGGTAAATGAGGTGGCTTATTTTTCATTTCTAAAGCTTAATAAAGCCTCTGAGGTTCAATGTTTTACTAATTTTTATTAGTTTAATTTAGTCAGCCACAGTCATTATAATATTAGAGTACATTATTTAGTACTTATATGACCTACCTGCCGCTCTCCGAGGGAGTCCCTTAGAAATACAGCAAATCATCTGTGTTGTAAGGGAATGACCACTGGACTTGGAAATTAAAAGACTTACACTTAATTCTCAGCTCCACCATTTATTAGCTTTGTGACCTTGGACAAATTACTTAACTTCATGGTGCTTTATTATCTTCATATGTGAGATGAAGTTGATAATATATGGAGAGTATATATGTGTTTGTGTATGTGCGCACACATATCTTATAGGGTAGATTGATTATCATATGAGATGTATTTTGGCAAAGTGCTTTGTAAACTGTGAAGTACTGTACAAATGTTAGTTATACAGTGAAAAGTTAAACTATTAGATTGCATTTAGAGATGTTATTAAGATTATTTAACTACTTAAGAATAAATATCACATTCTTTTTTAGGTTCGAGAAATGGTAGAAATCATTACAAGGGAATTTATTTTAATGGGTGGATCTGTGGGTGAGGTAAGTTATGCTTTTCTCTATATCCTCTGATTGGAGGAGTCAGCTACAACATCATGGCTATTAGAATAACACTGAAGGCAAAGAAACGGTTCTCACTACTCAAACACATATTGCTCATTTTTAATATTAAATGTAAATAAGGTATAGGTAGCAAAGAGGATGAAGTACAATTAGAATAGAGATTCATGGTTATATGTAATTTGGGGTTAGAAAATAAAATTCACCTTACTAGAATTTATTTTTAACTCAGTTTATTTGCTTAAAACTGAAAAATAGAATGCCTCTTTATACATAATCTCACTGAAACATAAACTAGAAAACATGATTTTACTTGTGAAAATTCATAGAACAGAAAATCAATAAAAAACAGCTGTAGTATATTGAACTACTGTTTTTCTTAGGATTTTGACAGCTTCCTGAGAGAGTCTTTTCTAACCTGTCTCCTTTCTTATGTCCCGAATTGCCTACCTGAAGCTTTTATATTAAAGAAAGAAAGCTTTTAAATCCCTCTGAAAAGATGATATAAATATGCACATTGTAGTCATAAAAGGGACCATCCTTGATATTTCGTAACTTGTCATAGACTCAAGATATTAAGCAATCTTGAACCTAATTTTACTTCTAACAGAAAAGCTAGAAATTGAAGACAGTAAGTCAGCTCTGTGCCCCCATCATTTAACCACCTTCCTTTTATCCCCATAGTGCACCTTGATCTCAGACACTTAGGAAAACAGCATAGAGAAAACAAGACAAATTTTGCGTCTGATAAATGAAAGTTTGCCCCCTCACTTGCCTATTTGGGAAAAAACCTTCATGGTTACATGAGTTCTTTGAAAGGTAATGATCCAGCTGTTTTCGAGTAACTCAACCTAATAAATATCCATTAAGAACTTATATACAAGCATTATGATAGGCACTTCGGATACAAGTACAAAATAAAAATGGTCCCTGTCTTTGGTGAACCTTCGTTCTACTAAGGAAATGTAACACGTAAATATATAAGTAAATAAGGTGACTTCAGGAGGGAGAGCACTAACAGTTGGGGGATAAGGAAAGGCTTCACATAGGAGGGAGGCATGTAAGATGATCTCAAAGAGGTGGAGTTAAGATGTGAGTGCACTCTAGTCATAGAGGATGGACAGTCTGTTCAAAGATGGAGACAGGAGATAGACTGTGAGAGAACTGCTAGTTTACCTGGAGCATAAAAGTGTGTGAAGGAGAGTAATATGAAAGGTAGATTGGGCTTTAAATGCCATAGACAATGAAGTAATATCAGTACTTAAACATGTAGGCACCAAATGGCTTAGGATCCATATTTTCAAAGGAAAAGTTAAGTAAGTTATAGGAGAAAATAGAAATAGACAGTAAAACTATACTAGTGGAGGACCTCGAAATTACCTTCTCAGAACTAGATAAATCTAACCATAAAATAATCAAAAAAAGTTAAGGAAATAAAAAATTTTTAGAAATGTTAGATATGATAGACCTCTGGAGAAAACTGAGTTAGAAAAAAATAACAGTTCATTTGGAAGAACAAATGGTCAGGAATTTCAAAGAAACTAGGGAGAAAAGATATAAAGGAAGAAGATTCAACAGTACAGACCTTAAACTATATTATAAGGCGAGAGCGTTGTTGAAGTGTAAAATTAATAATTTTGATTATTTTAAATTAAAAATTTCTTGTATAAATAAAAACTAATATAGCCAGGAATAGAAGGAATGCAGAAAGTTGGGAAAAGAACCTTAATAGACAGTCTCCCAGATAGGATGTTATTGTGTTGGAATATTGCTAGGGTGTAGGAAATGATGAGTTGGTTGATTTATCCCACCTGAGGTCGAGACCCCCCAGTTTGGGAAGCGCTGAAGGGATCGAGAGTGGAGGAGGTTTAAGAAGCTGTGAGAGAAACCTGAAGGAAGATGCTATCCACCTTCAGAGAAAGAGATGACAAGTGGAAATATGCATAATACGGTCTTACATAAATGTGTATGAGTGTATATGTGTATATATGTGTATGCATATAGATATCTGTGTGTATATGTATACATACATACCTTTAATTGTAGCTTTCTTTAGGGTGTGGGGTGGGGGTGGGGAGTAGGAAAAAAAAAAGCACAGTAGAGAACAAAAGAAAACCTGGATTGAGGCAAAGAAAAACTGGATAGCTTTGAAAACAATGTGTATAGTATTTATTATATAGGTTTTCTTGAAATGAAAATTTATTGTTTTACATTGAATCCTCTTATATTCTGCTGTATGCATGGAATTTTTTTTTCCTTTTTTAGTTTTGTTTTAAGTTTAAAATGAATAAAAAATTTACAAAGAAAAAGAAAAAAATTTTCCATGTAATTGAGAAAAAAATTAAATTAAAAATTTTTTTTAATAGTCCAGATCAAAGGTGATGAGGATCATAGCTAGGGGACCCTGTGTGAATTGAGGGAAGGAGACAAATGAGAAGCTTATTATTCAGGGAGAATTGACCAGACATGGCAGCTAATTGGATATATAGAGAATGAAAGAGAGAAAAGAGTTGAATCAAATAACTTTTGAGGTTGTAAATTTGGGTGACTGGGAGAATGGTGATATTCTCAACTCAGGATAGCCAAGTTTTGAAGATGGTAACAGGTTTGGGGGGAAGATAATTTACTTAGATTTTAGATGTGTTGTATGTGAGATGCCGCTAGGACATCAAGTATAGATATCTAGCAATTAACTGGTAAGGTTGGACTACAGTTACAGAGAGTAGGGCTGGATGTATAGATTTGAGAGTCATCTGCCGCTGGATGACAGTTGAAACTATGAGTGAGGTCTGATGGATTACTAAGAGGAAGAAAAAGAGGGACTAGGGTAGAGGTGCCCACGTTTAGTAGATGGAACACAAATGATGACCTAGCCATGAAGCCATGCAGGAGTAGTCAAAGAGGGAGGAAAGAGCAGTGGTATGGAAGTCAAGGGAGGAGAGAGTGTCTCGGAGCTGAGGATGGTCAGCAGCAACAAAAACCATGCAGGGAATCAAGAGGGAAGAGGACTACGAAAAGCCATCATATTTAGCCATTGAGATCATACATAACCTTGGAGATAGAAGTTTCAGTACAATGGTATGGTTGAAAACCAGATTACAAGGGGTCAAGAAGTGAGTAGGAGGTGAAGACATCAAGACAAGATGAGTTTAAAACACTATTTGTAGGAAATTAGCTGTGAAAGTAAAAAGTGGTATAATATCTTGAGGGGATGACAGGGTCAAGTGAAAGGCTTTTAAAGGTTGAGAGAGACCTAGATGAATATGTTTGTATAGCAGCAGGGAAGGAGACAGTAGAAATGGGGAGATTGAAGATGAGATGGATTCTTTTAAGTGGAAGGGAAACAAGGGGGATGAGATCTAAGGTTTAGGATTATTGATTTAGAGCTGGAAAGAACAACAGGCTGTGTAGTCCCATCCTCTTATCTTATAGATGAGAAAATGAGAACCTGGGCAGGTTGAGGAATTTGCCCACTTTGACACAGGAAGGAAATATCAGAGATGGGATTGTATCCTAGGTCCTCTAGTTCCAGAGCAAGTATTTTTTCCACTATACCTCACTAGCACAAGAGGATGAGCTGGTGGGTGGCCTTTGCACAGAAAAGGGACTTTGTCAGAGACTGAGACAAAATAAGAGAGAATATGAGGATTTTGAGGAGTAAAATAGAAAAGAGGGGGGTCATGTATTCATTTTTCTTCTCAAAGTAGAAGGTGAGGTCTTGTCTCACCTCTTGGAGGAGAAAAAAAGGAACTGCCATTACTGTTGCTTATGTCAGTGCCATAGACAACGATGGAAGATTAAAAGGAAGGCCTTCCAGCACTAAGGACTTAATTGACGTTAGGTAACAAATTTTACTTTCTGTAGTCTTTCAGCAGGTCATGAATACCAGTAGGAGTAAGAGTTAGAGATACTAGGATTCAGGATAGTGTGTATGGTTGAGCTGGTCAGCTGTAGGGTCAGGATTGTGAAGGGAGCAGAGTCAAGGCAGAGCAAACATGATAGATTAGAAAAACAGGAAAAGGTAAAAGGATTTGAGGACAAAATGAGAGAACAGATTTGGGGAGGAATGAAGCACAGAGGGAGATAGAAAAGTAGGAATTAATGGTCAGAGGAAGAAATTTCAGAGTTCAGGATTATTATGGAGGCATTTTGGTATGGGTAATAATGAGAATTAAGATATGGCAATATTTGATGTGGAGTAAGTTAAAAGTTGTAGGAATTGAGACCATGATATTTGAGGAATTATCAGTGTCATAGTTCAAATGGACAAATATTACCAGAATTTGTTAAGGTGGGCTGGAGAGATCCTGTCTTGATTTTGCAAACATGGGCATTGGTGAAATCAAATCAATTCCATGTTTTCCTGATTTTCAACTCTGGAAAACATTCCCATTTTCTGAAGACTTTGCAATCCTTGTATATTCTCAATTGTAGACATAAATGAATAGACAAAGTTGATTGTATTCAATATTGTTGATAAACTTTCATATGGCTAATATATTCATAAAATCTTGTGAAATGGTAATTTAAACATCTAGGTGGAGCTTGAGAGAGCCAAGACACAACTTATGTCCATGCTCATGATGAACCTAGAATCCAGACCTGTAATTTTTGAGGATGTAGGGAGGCAGGTGCTGGCAACAAACTCCAGAAAACTACCTCATGAATTGTGTGCTCTTATTCGTAAGTATTACATCTATAGTTGTATGTTATAGTTGTAGCTATGCTAGCCCAAAGGATTATAACAGAGCCATTTTTGTCATACTCATTTCTCATTTGGCCTTCAAAAAAGGTACTTGTATGATTTTTCATCCTAACCCTCTAACATAAAACATTAGTGGAGCACCCACTATATGCAGAACTCATTGCCAGAGATCTTTATATCCTTTAAGTAGTTTATTAAGGAGACTGTTATCAGCCCATTTGTCACTGAAGGCATTGAAGGTTGTTGCTTCAAGATGTTAAAAAACTTCCTAAAGTATGTTTTGGCTTGATGCTAGGAATGGGATAGATGTGGTTGTTGAGTCATTTCAGGGCAACCAGGATTAAGTGATTTGCTTGGAGTCAAACAGCTAGTAAGAGTCTGAAGCCAGATTTGAAGTCAGGAAGATGAGTCTGTCTTCCTGACTTCAGGCCTGGCACTGTATCAGGCCTAGCTGACATGGGGTAGGGGTAGGGTATTTTAATTAGAGCAGATACCAAGCCACCAAGAAAGAGCTCAAGCTGTCCCAACTGGCCTAACCCTTCCTTACGATTCCCTCTAGCACAAACAACTTTTAACTGCCTCTTAAATTCTCTCTTCTAGTTAGGTCTTTGTGAACTCTCTCTTAATTTGTTTATTGTCCTCAAAATGAATTTAATTTTTAAAATAGCAGCTCTAGTTTAAGCAAAAGTACATTCAGAGCAAAGTAGTTTTCAAAATTCCTGTTTTCCTCTGTCCTAGGTAATGTGAAATCAGATGATATCAAGAGGGTGGCTACTAAAATGCTTCGGGGGAATCCTTCAGTAGCAGCTCTGGGAGACTTGACAGACCTGCCAACATATGAGCACATTCAAGCAGCACTAGCCAGTAAAGATGGACGACTGCCCAGAATGTATAGGCTTTTCCGATAAGGAACTGATAAAGCTTAAACCACCCTGAGAATCTGGGGGAGCATGTTTTTTATGTATTATTCTTGAGATTGTTGTAATTTAGTGCAAAAAAAAGATGTTTAATTATATGGAATAAAACATATGGGACTCTTCTCCAGAATTAAATGAACTCTTAACTTAAACCTTTCCAGACCACACAACTCCATTTTAACTCCCTCAAGTATGATGGCCACTGGAATACATGTTTAACCACCTAAGTGCATAATGCTTCCTCTCTTTAAAGCAAAGAAGAGGTTGCTAACAACTAAATAATCTCCAGTGTTAGAGATGGATCTTGTTCTTTTAAATGGTATGCAGGATCCATTTTTGAGATTGATGTCCTAAATCAGGTAAGAAGAATGTGGGTTTTGTTCATTCTAATGGATCTATGTAATGATAATATGAAGTAGTTTTTCCTTCCACCTCACTGGGGATCCATACATACCTTTGATACTTACATGCATAATATACCAACAAATCCTGCTTACTTGACTTGAAGTTCCCAAAGATAATACTAAATTAAACGCGTACTCAGATCTTATTTTGAACTGGATAGCAAGTTCAAAATTACATGGGAAACGTTCACTTGTTCCTTCTAAATAAAGTATTGTTTTAAGTAAAGTAAGTATACTTTTTCCTTGCACCCTTCCACATTCATTAGATTTGCCCGTTGCTAGGAAAGACGTCTTCCCTTGGAGGCAGCTAACCCAGAAGAGCACATAGCTTTCCTAGGAGTTAGTAGGTAGTGAGTAAGTGAAGACTTTCTCCTTCAAGTCTCCTTGAAACTGCCCTGCTTGACCCAAGCATTAGTAAATATGTTCTAGATAATTTAAGCCTGGATAGAATAACAGTATCAGGGTTTGTTAAAAAAAAAAAAAAAGACTTGGGGAGCTGTAGGAATAATTTGTTATATATTACCAGGAGTAAGAAAGATGTAAATGTTTGTGTAAACTTTACATGTGAAATATCTTAAGCCAGAGTGGCTGATTGAAACAGCAATCACTGTTGTGTGCTAATCCCTCATACACACACCCCGCAAAATGAAATGGGGATCCCCATTTCTATTGTTCCATGGAAAGGTGTGGATCCTCAAACCTTTATTAATAATTACAAACCAGTCCTCTTTGAAAGGTTTCTGAACTGAAATAGCCATACTGCTATCATTTGTGGGTGACATTTCAAGGAAATCAAATAAAGATTTTTTTAAATGACTAATGCTAGGTATTTCATATTTTGTTAGAAATTATCCTTTGAGTCACACATTCTAGTTATCCCACTTACCCCTTAAGAAAAGGGTACAGATTGCTTATATCTATATAAAATTCTAACTTACATACATTAAAACTTAGTAGTGTTCTCTCTATATTGGGTTTTATGCTGCACATAATAGGAAGCAAAACTTTAAATCAAATAGTAGATACCCACAATGTGTGGATTTCACAGTTGCTAGAAATGTTTGTATATATAATTAGACTTGATTTAAAAAAAAAAAAAAACGGATTGTTTTTGTTCTTTACTGTGAGTTTGCCCTTTTGATTATTCATTATCATCTGGCTCCTCCATGGTTACAAATATATCCAGCCAAGACTTTCTTACCTAAAAAATTTCCACTTGATCATGCTATCCACTCAAGCTATCATTCTGTAGCTTAATTTTTTATTTACTTTTTCTTTTTAAGGCAATTAGGGTTAAGTGGCTTTCCCAGGGTCACAAAGCTAGTAAGTGTCAAGTTTCTGAGGTCATATTTGAATTCAGGTCCTCCTGACTCCAAGGCCAGAGCTCTATTCACTGTCCACCTAGCTGCCCCCGGCATTGTTATTCTTAATATTGACTCCTTCCCCCACCCCAAACTGAGGTAAAAGGGGGGAAAATTCTTATAATAAACATAGTCAAGCAAAGTTAATCTATAGTGGCCATATCTAAAAATGTCACTTTCTGTACCTTGAGATCATTACCTGTCACATTCATACACCTCAATTTGTTCAGCCTTTTCCCAGTTTTCTAAGAGACAGTCTAAGATGCCCCCTTGATTTTTATCCCTAAGTCCCCGCCCCCATTTCTAATCTCTTAGGATCAAGAAGTTTGTTTTGCTTCTGACTATTGCCTCTCCAGTATTATCCTCCCTCTTAGTTTAACTCCCACCCCCAGCTTGTTTTCTCTGTTAAACAATTTGGTGTATTTCTACATCAAACTTTTGTGTTCAACCATCCTTAAACCTTTTCAGAAAAGTGAGGATCATCTGATGCCCACTCTCCCCATACCTTCCTCTGTTTATTCTCATGCACCTCAATTATGAAAAATAAGTTCTATCACACATCCCCCTTTCCTCATTATTACACTAATATATTCCTCCTTTTACTGCCTCCCACCCCTTCTCTTTCCCCTTTTCAAACCCTTACAATCAGTCTACCTCCAGGACCCTTATCACAACCCTTTGATTTGATTTGATTTTTTTTGGTGAGGCAATTGGGGTTAAGTGACTTGCCCAGAGTCACACAAGCTAGTAAGTGTCAAGTGTCTGAGGTCACATTTGAACTCAGGTCCTCCTGACTCCAAGGCCAGAGCTCTGTCCACTGTGCCACCTAGCTGCCCCCTAATCACTGTCCTTTGAGGACAGAGAGGTTCTCTCCTGTTAGAATGTTGACACTGTATCAGATAGCTCCTTCTAATTGGATCTTCAGGGCCCTCTCTGGTGGTGCCTTGGGCTAGAACATTAGGGACCTCAGCGCCCCTAGGTCTGGGCTGCCTCAGTCCTAGCACTGTGGTGCTGCCTTGGTCTGCACATTGCTCACTGCCTGCTACCCTTGGGGTTTAGAAGCTCACCCCCATGGGGCTTTATCAAGGGAGCCTTCCACTCTTGGTGCTTCTGGACACAGAGGCTTATAGGCAACATGTCCCATAGGGGATTGCCTATGGGCTTCTGGCTGACTATGCATTTCTGGTGTGGAAGAAATTACTTAATGGATTTTCATTGGATTTCTTTATCATTCAGTAGGGAGTGAACTTAGGGTTTTGCTGAAGTATGTGGAGCTGGGTTGCCTGCCTCTCTCATTCAGGTAGGCATCTTAGCAGGAAGTCCAAATTATATCTTCTTTCTTCTGCTCATAGCTAAAATCCTAAGAAAAGTGGTCTACAGTCATTTTGCTGTCATTTTTTCACCTTCAACTCACTTCCTAACCCCTTGCAACATGGCTTCCAACCCACCACTGGAATGAAATTTCTATTTCCAAAGTTATAAATGATCTCAACTATTAAACCTGATGGCCTTTTCTCAGATCCTCCTTCCCTCTTGATCTCTCTGAAGCTTGTGATACTGTTCACCATCTTCTGCTCCTATCTACCCTCTCCTTCCTTGGTATCTGTGCCACTGCTTTTATCCTCCTACATGTGGCAACATGGCTTCCTTAGATCATCATTCACCTACCCTCTTAAGCATGGAAGTACCTAAGACTGACCTCTTCTCTGTACTTATAGTGATCTCAACAGCATGAATGACTTTATCATCTGGCTACAGATAATACCCAGATCTATATGTCCAGCCCTACTCTTTGGAATTCCAGTCCCATACCAATAACTGTTGGGCTTCTTCAACTGTTAGCCTATTCAAAATGTCCAAAATGGAATTTATTTCCCCCAAAATCCTATTCCCCTCCTCAAAACTTACCTGTTTCAGTTGAGACAACCATCCTTCTGGTTACTCAGGTTCACAAACGGAGTCAGTCTCCATTCTTTCCTATCCCTTACACCCCTACTGCCAATCAATTGTGGAGTCTAGTCAATTGTACTTTCACATTTTTTATTGGTCCTACGCACATTCCTTCCTACTTTAGGCACTCAGCACCTTTGGCCAGCCTCCTAAATGGCTTTGTTTCCAGTCTGCCCTTTTTCAATACAGCCTTTCATGCAGCTGCCAAATTATTTCTAAGTCACAGTTCTCCGTCACCAGGTTACTAAAAAAAAAATTATAAGAAAAGATACAAACTCTAAAGCTTGACATTTAAGTTCCTCACAATTTGGTCTCAACCTACCTTTCCAGACCTCTTTTCATATTATTCCTCTTCATACTACTTTCCAATTGAACAGGCCTGCTAGTGGTCCCTACACTTAACATTCCAAATCCTGCATTCCTGCTTTTTGCACAGCTTGGAATGCACTCCTTCCTCATGTTTGACTCTCTTTCTTCTTTAAAGGTTCATCTCAAGCCTTTCCTGATCTCAACTGATGTTTTCTCTTCAAATTACTGCATATATGTACAAGTTATGTCTCCTTGGTAGAATCTTTGCTTGGCAGCAAAAATTTTCTATATTCACTGCTTAGCCCATGGTGGGTATTTGATTGACCTCAATATAGATTAAGTCTCTAGTATGTACAAGGAACACGCTAATGCTGAATATTAGATTTACTAGACAGCTTAGGAAAGAATAGTTCAGAAGCTTAAGCATCTACTATGTGTCTTAATAAATTTCTGGGCTCAGATTCTTATAATCTAGCCAATAGCTCACTAATGTTCAGACTCCTTAAGAGTCTGCCCACTATGATGAATGTTCTAATAAACCTTGTCTTTGGCTGAAAAAAAAAATAAATTTCTGATGTTAAGATGGAGTATTTCATAAAGAAAACAAAATGTTCTTAGCTTTGTGTAGACCCCTTATGTCACATTCACAAGTCAGTTCTTGATGTAATAGAGGCTTCTGTGCAGTTTTGGCATGCTTGCTTAATTAGCATCCACCTTTCTGAAAACTTCTTTTGAAAATTACAGTACCTTACTAGCAATCTACTTGAAATCCAAAGAGAAGCAATTGATGAATGGTCAAATGTTCTAAACACTAATAATTATAGAAATGCAAATTAAAATAACTCTCAAGTTTCATTTCATACCTAACAGATTAACCAACTTAACGAAAAAAGGAAACGGGTTGGAGGGGCTGCAGGAAAACAGGCACATTGATGCACTGTAGCATCTACAATGCTATAAACTCCGGCCAATCTGGAAAGGAATTTGGCACCATGCCCCAAAAGTTATTAAACTGTGCATATATATTGAGCCAGAGATAGGACTACTAGGCCAGTGCCCCAAAGAGATCAAAGAAGGAAGTAAGGAACTCATATACACAAGTATTTATAGCAGCTCTTTTTGTAGTGGTACAGAATTGGAAACTGAGGGGGGAGTGCCCATCAATTAGGGAATGGTTGAACAAATTATGGTATATGAATAAAATAGAATACAACCGTACTGTAAGAAATGAAAGGGATAGTTTCAATGAATTCTTGGAAAGCCTATATAAACTATTAACAGAGTGAAATAGAACAATTGATACAATAACATTATAAAGACAAACAACCTTGAAATACTTAAGAAATCGGATTACTACAGGGACCAACCAGAGGACCTGTGATGCAGCATGCTATCTTAACTTCATGACAAAGAAGTGATAAATTCAAGATGCAAATCAGACTTACTTTTTTGGGTATATTCAATGTGGGAATCTCTTCAGCTTGACTATGAATATTTTTTTAGTAGCATTTTGAAGGATTTTTTTGGGGAGGGAAGATAAATGGGAAGGCTGAAGGGAAACAAAGGAGATTTTTGTTAATTGGGAAAAAAATAACAAGAGAAGATTAGGAAACCACAGACCACATTTTGGGTTTGTTTCTTGGCAATTTAGTTTTAATTGTGTAAGTCCAAAAAAATGTATAGCTTAAGTAAAAGTAAATCAAGATGAAAACAATTTATCAGAGACCTGAACACAAAAATCTTTTAAATAAGCAACTCAGACTAATCAAACCAAAATTTTAAGCAGATTTGATTACTGCTTGGGAAATTGCAAATAATTTACTTTTCATAATTTTTACAATTCTAATTTGTGCTCCATCAAAATTACTTTAACTAAAATTTTCCAGGAATGAATTAATTTCATAAAGAATCTGAATGTAAGGGGCAGCTAGGTGGCGCTGCGGATAGAACACCAGGCCTGGAGTCAGGAGGACCTGAGTTCAAATGTGACCTCAGACCAAACACTTGATACTTACTAGCTGTGTGACCCTAGGCAAGTCACTTAATCCCAATTGCCTAAAAAAAACAAAAAAGAATCTGAATGTTCATGGTTAAGTAATTTACTCAACACAGAATTAGTGATTTTAAAAATCAGATTTATATAGAAGTCGGGACGCCGACCACTCAGGGATCCCAAGTTCTTAATCACAAACTAAGTGAATTCATGTATTAATTACTTGAAGAAAGAAAATTATTCCTCCTCATTTGGGAATAAAAAAAACATTTTTGGATTTAATCTGTAAAAATTTGCTCAGGTCAAATTTTATTACAACAAAAATCAACATAATGATTTTTAAGTGAAATATATGGCCCACTTACTTATTTAAGCAATATTTTATACAACATTCCAGTAAAATGAAACAAATTGAACAGCTTCTTGGAATTCTTCCTAATAGCATCTTACCTATAAGACAAAATAGCATTTCTATAAATGTCTTAAAGGCTGAATTTTGTTTTTAAAATGTTCTTTGTTGACTCAAACACAAGTTTATATCTGGAAATTCAAATTTTGTAGTCTGTTCCTATGGCAGAAATTAGGAGCCTCCTTAAATGTGCTCAATTTTCTGATGTATTTGCAATAAATTTTACTTATAGAAAATAGAAATCATGTAATTGAAATTCAGAAAGATTCTGGTCAGTTGTTTTTTAGTCTTAACTTTTCAACTTCCAATGTTACATATACATATATTTTTTCCGTTAGAACTCTAAAGTCACTAAGGAAACACACCTATAAATTTTAATATATATTTATTTTAAAATATAAATAAGAAAAATAAATATTAATTTAGACATCTAGATTGAATCCACTTTGCCACATATTCAAGGCATAATATTTTTTGGATATAAGACAAGAACGAAAACACCAGTAATGAGTTATAAACCCTCTTAAAAATCTGTAGTTGTTTCTCCAGGATTAGTGCAAAATAATAACACTCCAAATATCCAGACCATTAGGCAAGTAAATGAAAAGGATTTTAAATGATGCTATTCTGTGGCTGATTCTTAAAAAAAAAAAAAAAAAAAGCAAATGACCTGAAGAGAACAAAACACGACCATCTGTAAATGTAGCCTTTCTACAATGTTTCCTTGTTTCTCAAAAATCTTGGAACTAGTTCCATAAAATGACACTTGGGGATGACCTCCACAGGAATCTGTGTAGCTGATAAAATTCTTAAGGATGAATGATGAAGTTCTGTGATAACACTGAATGTATTGCATCAATCCTGGAGAATCACCTCATGCACTCCCCCTCCCTGGTGTCAAGTTGACTTTCGGTCATTTCTCACATTGGTAAGGACAACCAGATTGTTCGACACGGCCTCTTTTCCTCTTAATGGTGACTCTTGGGTTTAGGGTTCATATCCCAAGGACAACGCTAAGTGTACTTAAGCCACAAGGTTAGTCTTTAAAACTTCCCCAAGCACAACTGACAAACTACCTACTCTACTCCCATGACCTAATGCCCTGGGTGAGGGAGACGTGGGCCATTAATAGTAACTAGGGGAATGATGTATACAGGAAAGGGTATACATTTATATATGGGGGTTGGATATATCTTTGGAGGCTAAATGTAGGAAAAACAAAGATGTACCTACAAGAGTTAAGATGCACTAGCTATGGGGCATATGGTCAAATATTTTTTTTTAAAGTGAAATTTAGTCAGGTATTAAAGGGCTCTTTGACAGAAAATATTAAGGAAATAAAATACTGCCTTAGATCATATAAGCTGTTCAGAGCAAACTGTACAGGTGTTTGCCAAAACACAGTGCCAATGATTGTTATTAATATACTACTGGAGGAACACAATGGAGGAACTCTGAAAAAGGCTAGAATTACCTGAAATGTCAATAAGGATAATTTGCCTTGCTCATAATGGAAGCACTGCAAATAGAAGAGTGATTTATTTATTTACAAGAAATCCAAATGGTTCTCAGGATACTGTCCTTCCTGGGACAATAATAATTTAGGTACTACACCATTATTGAATTTTCACAGCCAGTGTGTTACAGTTTTTTTTTGTAAGATACAGAGAACAGAAGAGTTCTTTTAAGGTAGTCTTTGTGGGTTGTTAAAGATGGAATAGGTGATTACACACAAAACCACTTTAGTCTTTTTCAGTGAGTTCTCTTCATACACAGAGTGGAGTATTCATTTGGCCTGCTGGGGTGATCTTCCCTTAACGATGGCTCGTCAGGTTCTTGCAAGGCCAGCTTTCTCAGGAAACAGTACAAATCATACTGGATTTTTGATCTTTAAGTGCTTGCTGTTTCTGAAGTTCCCTTGAAATGCGTCTTTTAATTCCTAATAAATAGAGGTCTCGATCAAATTTGCCAGCAGCTAGAGGAATGCTGTAAAGGAAAAACAAACTGTGATACAGATATTGCTTCTTAACTGCAAAACCAAGCAACAATTTGGACTGTGTAAGAGCTACAACAAAGTGAGATTTCTTTCCCTTTGGCACATGCATACAGTTTGTCGGTGTCTTTATAAAGGACTCTTTGTGGCTGAGAATAAGAGTGGCTTTGGGCAGTGGTCTCCAAACACCTCCAACTAGGTATGTATATTTACTTATTATATACATGTACTGCTATACTAATAATTATGTATACCATAAAACTTACATGAAAATAGAAATTAAAAAGGATAAAATAAAGATGAAATAACCTTTGTTATTGTGGATGTAATTGGGGGCCTCTGGAATTTAATGAGAACCCAACTGATATTGCCAGTTGTGTGGAAGAAGGGAGAGGCCTGAGGGAAGGCAACCTATAAAGAGGCCTTTATTATAATACAGCATGCGAGAGGTTTTAAGGACCTTAACCAGAGTTGTGGTAGTGTAAGTAGAGAAAAGGTGACAGAAACGAAAAACGTGTAGGTAGAAATAAGATTCAGGAAATAACTGGATCTGTTTGTGTGATGAGGGAAAGTGAGGAGTCTTGTGAACCTGGATGACTAGAAGACTGGTGGTACCCTTAATAGTAATAGGGAAGTTTGGGAAAAGGAATGATATTGAGGGGAAAAATAACGTAATGAGATCTTTTATTCAGTTTTCAATCCATCTGCGTCTGCTTGTTCTGTGCAACCACTATGTCCCACTCAAAATACAAAACCAGGAGGCAGGGCTCTTACATACTGGTCACTGTCATGGAATGTAGAGCCTACTTTCCAAGGGGAAACTTAGAGCCACAAGGTGATGTTGGGGCAGGGGACAGGTACATTGTTTTTGTTTTTTTCAGAGTCAATTGGGATTATGTGACCTGCTCAGGGTCACATAGCTAGTAAGTATCTGAGTCTGTATTTGAACTCAGGTCCTCCTGACTCTAGGTATCCACTATGCCACCTAGCTACCTTGGATTTGAGTATATTGAAACAAGATGGGTTGATTACATACCTCAAAGAGGCCCCAGTTTGGAGACCAGTGTCTTGGAGAACACACCAAGAGCTTTTCTTTTTGGTCTTAGCTACTCTAACTTTCTAATGTTCAAGGAAAGCCTGATTCATCAAAATGTTTATTAAGTGTATACTGTGTTCAAGGCATTAGATATACAAAACCAAAAGAACAGCCCCCAATCTAAAGATTATATTCTCCTGACTCAAAAGTTGATTTGCCATCTAACTTTGAATGTCCCACTCAGATCTGTATCAAAAAACTTGTTTTTAAGAGGAAAAACAATATGAAAGCAAGCTTTAAATTGGGCCTATTTTCAATGAGTTATCTCAGAGATGATTTTTAAGTTGACCTTTTGCCCTCCTGAGATAAAAATGAAGATCACACACACACATATATTCTTAGAAAATTATAATCCATCAGATTCAAATGCAACTTAGAATTTAAAAAAAAAAACAAGACTTCTGAGTGGAACAAAAAAAAAAGATCTGCATTTTTTTTTGGCGGGGAGGGGTATTACACAAATACAATTCAAACAAATCAATACAAAATAATCACTTTAAGGTGAGCTATTGGCCCATGGTACTGGTATCTCTGATTTATACAGCTCCAAAATGTGAAGATATGAGGTTGAACTTAAATCAAGTCAAATTCCAAATTCAAACACCACCACCTCAGCACCTGACAAGAATCAGTGAACTCTGGAAGTCCTAACCCTAAGATGAGCTGATGTGACCCTTGTAAAAAGAGATGCATGAATGGGACACTAACTTGTCTCTCCCAGGTCTCACTTTTACTCGGAACAGACCATACACTGGGCGATGATCAGAAGTCTTGATTCCAGGACAGGAAGAATACTTGACTGGATAGATGTCATCTTTTTGACGGCTTTTATATACAACTCGGTCCTATAGGGAGAGATTACAAAAGGCAGGGAAATTAAGCTGAATTCCACAGGAACACACGGTCTGCTCACCTTTCATTTCTTTTTAAAAATTTTCATAGATTTTTTTTTACTTCACCTACATTCCCCAATACATCATTCTTCCTCACCTTCCTAGCCAGCTATCCTTCGACAAATAAGAGGAAAAAAACAGTTCAGCACATCAACTAAGTCTGACATTATATGCAATATTCCACATCTATAGTGTTTCCACCTCTATAAAGAAGGGAGTGGGGTGCATTCTTCTATCTTTTCTTCAGGACTAAGCTGGATCATTATAATTTCACAGCATTCAGTTTTTATTGTTTGTTCTTCTTCTTTACATTTACATTGTTGTGGTCACTGTGTTACACTGGTTTCCTGGTTTTTTTTTTTTTAACTTCACTTTACATCAGTTCATATAAGTCTTCCTATGCTTCTCTGTATTCATATTTTCTTATACTACTGTAATATTCCATTATGCTCATGGATTTTAACTTGTTTAGCAATTCTCCAATCAATGGATATATATTTTGTTCCTAGCTCTTTGCTACTATAAAAAGTGCTAAAAGTAATATTTTTATATATATGGGAACTTTCTTTTTTTTTTATCTCCTTGGGGTATATATACCTAGTTGTGACATCTGTCATTGAAAAAGCATGGACATTTTAGTCATTTCCTTACTATATTCTAAACTGCTTTCCAGAATGATTGCATTAACCGTCCATTGGTGTGCCTCTCTTTCCACAACCTTTCCAACACTGACTATTATCACCTTTTATCATCTTTGTCAGTAATTAAGTTTGAGATGAAACCTCAGAGTTGTTCTGATTTGCAAGTCTCTATCAGTGATTTTGGAGTGATCTTTGCTATGATTGTTAATATTTTAACAATTTTTTCAAATGTTGTTTATACCCTTTGACTACTTATACAAAGGAAATGGATTTTGGTCTTATAATAAATTTGTATCAGGTTCCCTATATACCTTTATTAGAGATAATTGCTGCAAAGATTTTTTTTGCCCAATCAATCACTTCCCCTTCTTATCCTAGTTAAGCTGATTTGGCTTGTGCAAAAGTATCAATTTCACATAACTGAAATGATCTATTTTATCTTTTGTGATCATTTTTTTGTTTGTCTGGTTAAGAATTTCCCTCCTATAATACTACTAGGTCTTTATCCCAAAAGAGATAAAAGAGAAAAAAGAAAAGGACTTATATGTACAAAAATATTTATAGAAGCCCTTTTCGGGAAGTAAAGAATTGGAAATTGAGAGGATGACCATCAGTTGGGCGATGTCTGAAGAAGTTGTGGTATATGATTATGACGGGATAATATTGTACTGTAAGAAATGATGAGCAGGATGCTCTCAGAAAAACCTGGAAAAGGTTTGCATGGGCTGATGCAAAGTGAAATGTGCTGTGTACAAAGTAACACCAATAGTGTGAGAGATGATCAACCGTGATGACTTAGCTATTCTGAGCAATACAACGATCCAAGACAACTCTGAAGCACTTATGATGAAAAAATGTTACCCATCTCCAGAGAAAGAACTGACGGCGTCTGAATATAGATTGAAGCATACTTTTTTTTTACTTTCTTTATTGAGGTTTTTTTTGTCTATGTTTTCTTTCACAACATGACTATTATGGATATGTTTTGCATGACTACACATGTATAACCTATATCAAATTGCTTGCCTTCTCAATGCAGGGGAGAAGGAGGGAGGAAGGGAGAGAATTTGGAACTCAAAGTTTTAAAAACAAATAAATGTTAGAGGCTGTTTTTAACCTGTAACTGGGGAAAAATAAAATACTAAATAATACTGATCTGGTTCTTTTCTAATTTTGTTATTCCCCTTTCACTTCTTATGTTCTACTGTTTAAAACAAATTATCACTCATCTCAACCCATTTCAGGACTCGCTTCACTTCGAAAACTCATTTCATTTGAAAATTATCTGTGCTCACAGCTGTTTGTTTTTTTTGGGGGGGGAGGGTGGGATTGTATTCAAAGATTATTTAGGACATTAGACTATAGAGCTGTCTTAAAGTATACCTTAGAATAAAAAAACATCCATTTCTTTACGAATGTTCATTGGTGACTCTATTCAATGAATCCTTGACAAGTAGGATGCGTATTTTCTCATGTGTTACGAAAGTAATAAGAAGATAGCTAAATGCACAGAATCTATGTGTTCCATTACCTAAGCTTTCGTAGTATACAATACATCCATTGGTTTCTTAACCTTTGCCCTCTCAAGAAGCATTACCACTATGAGGGAGAGTTTGACAGCAAACTCACAACATAGGAAGGAAAGGTCCTAAAGCTGAGGTAGAATGGGAGCCTCAGGAAATATGTGGGATTCTTCTCTTAGTATTTACAGCTAACAGTTATAATTAATCAGATGATATATTCTTTATCATAACATTACCCCCTTCCCCAAAGTCCATTGAAATCAAATCTGATTCTATGGCATCAATAAAAAATATCACTAACTCTGGTTAGTGTAGAAACTGTAGGCAGTTTCTACATAGTGGCATTTTTTCTTATAATGACTGTGACAACCAAGAGTCCACGTGTACAAATTTTCCAGCTGGATATCAATTTTGGAATTAAATGGGCTAAGCAAGGTCCGGGTTTCTTCAAACAATAAGTATTTGTTTTGGCAGATGGCCCTAGGTAGTGAGATCCAATGTGTCATGCGCAGAAAGAAGACTACGTCAATGAAGATGCACGTATAGCCATGCACAACAGGAACTTTGCGAGCTGCAGCTACGCTCTCAGGAAAACGTGAGCCTACACCTCAAAATGGAGAAAAAGGCACTGCCTCCCTACTAGGAAAGGGAAGGAATGAAGACCTCTTACTGTATAAGAAGGCGTCCTCTGCTTGGAAGTGCTGTCATAGCTGTCCTTTCCAACATCAAATTTATATGAAGGGAAAAAGTGAATGTCTGCTTCCCTGAACCCCTTGAAGATAGATCCTGCAAGGCAGAAAGACAAAGCAAGGATGATGAGGATTCTCTGTCCCAACGTTCCACCTCTGTTTTCACAAAGTCCATCGGGCTAAAATAACTCAGCCTTCCAAAATTTAAAAATGAGTAAGAAAAAATAGCAATACCACTTACCTTTCTTCATTTCTTTAATAAGCTGGTCATGCTGAAGTAGCTCTGACATGTTCATCTCCAGATTCTGTTTCAGGATTGATTCTACTGCCATCCGTCCACCATTCAGTCGAAAATTGAAATCTCCAAACCAGAACACTTCATCAAACCGACTTGTGACATCCACTGAAGCAAATGTCAGAAGGTTCATTAGTGTCATATTTCCTAGTTGAGCACCATAACACAAGCAGTTTCAGATCCTGGCTTTTAGCTATGGATTAAAAACAAAACTAGTAGTGATACACACTGTATATAAAGCCCTGAAGAGCCTAGCAAAGACTCTCAACAGGTACTCATTAAATTCTGAGGACTGGCTATCTAGACAAAAAGAAGACCAGTTCTGGAATAGACAGAGAAGCTTGTCTAGATCTGTAGCAAAGTGGTAAGGAGGAACATTTGCTTAGCTATGCAATGGCCCACTATTTTGTAGAGTTCTCTTGAAATTCAAATGCAAAGAAAAATTCACACTAATAAAAAGACAAGGGTTATGAAGAGACAGTTTCAAAACAGAAAACATAAGTTTCTAATAATCAAGTAAAACATTATTTTTAACAAATATTCAAAAAGATGCAAATTAAGATAATTTTGAGATATCACACCTCATACCCATTACGTTAGCAAAAATAATTAAAAGCAACAAAAATAAATGCTGGTAGGGTTGTGAAGGAACAAGCATAATCATTCAAGCTAAATGTTGTTTTTAGAATGGCGAGTTTATGTGAATGAGACTAGTTAGCCAGAAGTTATTTCTACAGTTTTTTAAAATTTTTACAGTTGTTGATCTTGAATTTACCTCCCCATGTGCTCCTCCTTGTTCTGCACATATATATATGTAATATAATATTACATTATATAATAGTATATAGAAATATTACTATTACCCCTTGTGCCCACAGTAGACTCTAAGGGCAGGAACCATGACTCATATAAACTATGTATCACTTCTGGAGCCCTGCAAAAGGCTATGCACACAACAGACAGTTAATAAATGCTTACTGTATTGTATTTTAATTAAAATTTTTTAATCTTTCTATAACATAACTCCCTAAGGCATAACAGAAAATATGCTTTCTGTTGAAGCGACTAAGTAATTCATTACAAATTATAGAGAAAAATGTCTATGTCAGTATTTTTTTTAAAATGTGCATTTAGATTTGAATACTCACAAGAACTAGAATGATATGGGTTTGTATCTGGGACATTCTTAGGAAGTGTAAGTGCTTGGATAGTTTTACTGTAGTCTAACAGTCGATCAGATACTTTCCCATCACCAGCTGAAATAAAAGAAAGAATTAAAGAATGTCTGTGACACATAAATTTATACATTCAAACAAGTCTAGATACTCTTTGGGCATTTCAAGTATGATGCACTTAAAGAAGACAAAAACTCCTGGGTCACAATGATTCTATTTTCAGAATTCGATCTAATTTAGCCAAATGTACAAAGTTTGGGGATTTAAACCAGAACATATTCCCTATCTCCCCTGAAAAAATTAATTGTCCACTGTGCAGAATTGACCACTGAGTTTAAACTAACAGACTCAAATCTGGGGTCCAGTATTTGACTCTTGTTTTACAAGTCTGCAGAAACTTTGATACAAGTCATAAAATCACAGAATTTCAGATGTGTCACAAATTAAAGACATTATTTATGAAGGGTCTAAACCCCTCATTTTACGTATGAAGAAACTAAGGCCAAAAAGGCAAGTGATTCATCTAAGGTCATAAGTGGCAGAGCTGAGGACATAATCCAAATCATGTGACTCTCATACTTTGGTGTTCTTTCTGCTATAGTTGTCTTGTGCCATTCAACTATATTGAGAAGATTGTCTTCACCAAAGTTATCGTTTTATCTTCAAAGACACCAAAAACAAAACTCCAGACCAGGGGAGAGGAACCTGTGGCCTTGAGGCCACATGTGGACTTCTAGGTTCTTCGATTCAGCCTTTTGACTGAATCCAACAGAACAAATCCTTTTATTAAGGGGACTTGTTATGTGAAGTTTGGATTTAGTCAAAAGGCCTCACTTGAGGATCTAGAGGGCCATATATGGCCTAGAGGCTGCAGGTTCCCCACCCCTGCTCCAGAACTTCCCTTATGCAAGCATTTACCGAGTGATGTTTCAGGTGAATGGAAGGAGACAGAAGAAGAAGATTATGAAGGGTTGAGCTTTGATGGTTTACACATCCCAATTATTTAATTTTTTGGAAAATAGCACAATTTCTTTAAGGTCTTAAGAAGCCAAAATTATTATTTATAGCTTTCTGAAGGGTTAAAAAAAATTAGTGATGCAAGGAAGTTTCAACAAAGATCCCCGCTATGCTATGCTACGCTATAGTGTATTAGGTAACCATTCAAAAAATTCAGTCCTTACTACTCTGGTCCCTCAAGAACTAGTTTCCCAAATCTAGAGAAAACTGATAGCTTAGATTGAGTTGCCAAGTGTACACAAAAGTTAATATGATTTTTTTTGGGGGGGTGGGGTGGTGAGGAGGAGGGAGGAAAGGTAATGTCTGTTCTAAAAAGCTAAGTTGCACAGTATATGGAGTGTCAAGCCTGTAGTCAGGAAGACTTGAATTCAAATCCTACCTTAGACACTTACTAGCTGTGTGACCCTAGACAAGTCATAACTTCTGTCTGTTTCAGTTTCTTCATGTGTAAAATGGAGTAAAAACAGAATCTATCTCACAGGGTTGTTGTGAGGATAAAGTAACAAAATATTTATAAAGTGCTTTATAATGCTATACAAATGCTAGCTATTATTAAATTATCAAACTTTGTAAATTTAGCTATATTAGATCTAATACTGAAGATGAAATCACTATTATGACACAGTAATTCACATCCACTTTAAGTCCATCACACTTTACTTTAAAAAGTATCTAGAACTGGTCTGAATAAGAAAGTTAAGGTTTCTTCTCATTCCCTACCATGGGGCCCTCTAGGCATTATATACTTTTGGCAGTGAGAGTAGAAGGAAAATCTTAGTTCTCTTCCTCACGTTGAAAAAAAAAAAAGATATATCTGAAATATGGAGTCTGGAACAATTATAATATGTTGCACAAATTAACTGTATGCATTTTTACATATTTGGAGTTAGGCTTTTATGAATTCATAAGCCGCATTTATTCAGTTTATGAAGTTTCTACTATGTGTGAGGCACAATGCCAAGATCTGAGGATACAAAAACAAAACACGTTCACTCCTCAAAGAGTTGACAAATACATTACGTATTTAAACAAGTAAATATGACTTCTCTGCAGGGTCAGGAGATCATCAACCACTGAGGGATCAGAAAGGCTTTGTAATGTATTGAAGATGGTGCCTAAGCCACTCCTTGAAGGAGGCGTCTTCATTTAATGACTGAGGAATCCATTGATTAATATAAAAACATCCAGTAGTTTTATGAATATCAAGCATGAATAACTAAGTGGTACTTTACATAAGTTACATAAGTATGTATTATACATAATAAGTATATCTATGTATGTGTGTGTGTATATATATATATACACACATATTTTTTTTTAACCTAAGTATAGAGATGAAAGCAGTGAGAAGTTTTTTAAAATAGAACAATTTAATTCGGAAAGTAAGTGACTTACAAGTGAAGTGAGATGTGATGAAGAGAAAGGAGGTGCCAAAAAAGGTGAAGCTGACTCCCAATGACCCTTTGGTTTTTATCTGAGACACAATTCGAGTTGTTACTGTTGAATATTCTACTTCTGTATGTGGGAAGGAGAAAAAAAGAACACAGAATTACTTTCCTACTTAGACTTATTTAGTTTATAATACTGTTGCCTTTTCAATCTTTTCCAAACAGGCATGTCTAACAAGTTTATCAGAAGAGATTTACTTCTTCTTTCCAGGGGGCAGGGGCTATCTGCCCCAACACTAAATCACCATAGATTGCTATGTTTGATAATTGTGTTTACTTTTTAGAATTCTCCTGCCTCTATCCTCATTGGCAGGATATCACTTACTGGGATTCCCTCCTTTAAGAGCCTCCCCCACAAACATAATTTGCTGTATCCATGCCACTTTTACTTAGGCAAGGAGAACACTGAGCAAGCCAAGATTTTCTGTGAAATAAACTTAGGGTTTCAATAAGTAGACTGAGTGACGTCCCCAGGACCTCTCTTTTAGACTAAAGTATGTCAATTTCAGTTACTGCCATTTTGGCAAATTAGGGGCTTTTTTTGCTTTAGTTTCCACAACTATGTTTCCAAATGGCTGAAGCTGCCCCAAATCTGACCACTAAAGAACTAGGACATTATTGCAAAAACAACATAAAGTTAAGTATTTAAGGGACCTCTAAAGTAGTAACCTGGGATGAAAATCTGTAATAGGTATTGACTTTTCTTATATGACCTTGTTTTTCTAAATGAAATCCCTTCTGGGGCCTAATAGTAAAAGAAATTAATCTGTTACACTCCTGTGTTTCTATGTTTAAGCAATCCATTATAAACAGATGTACTGTAACAAGAACAAGTATATAAATGCTGTCCTTTAATGTTAACAAAAAGGTCAGTTGTTTTTAGAGGTACTGTTGTTATTTTCAATTCTACTAATAGTAGTATTACTACTCCTACCTTCTGTAATTCCTATCTTCTTTCACCACATATTTCATACCTGAACAGAACCAGATGAGGTCCCTTCTTATAAATACTGACATGTATAGTACACCGTGGGCAGCTGAGTACAGCATTACATAGTGGGGTCCCAATGTTTCCTGTAGCCGGATCTCCCACTCCCGCCTGTGGGAAAGAAAACAAAAGAAACAAATCTACACTTCAGCTCTGAAATGACATGAACAAAACAGCTAAAGATGAGACTTTACATTCTGTTTTCATGATAGGAGAACAAACTGGCAAAATACTGGCAAAGTTAAGAATCAAACTACTGAGTTTCTTCATCAAGTCATTGTGGGAGAAAAAAAAATCGAAGAAAAACAATAACAACAAAATCTAAGCTATTTTTAACCAAAGGAAAACACGGCAACTAAAATCCTAGTAATAAACATGTTGTGATACATTTAATGAGCCATTTTGAGTCTCATGAAAAGGTCAAAGCAGCTTCCTATTATAAAACAAAAAGGATTAACCTTCTGTGAAAAGGATGGCCCATGATAAAAAAGAAGGATCTCTGTTCTAGGGCCTTCTGTGTACGGAGATTACCAATTTCTAAACTCTTCTTTGATGACATAGTAACCTGGCAAAAATGTCAACAATCAGGAAAATACAATAAAAAAATCTAAGTCTACCCAAACCAGATAGACTTCTCAGTCGATCTTAAAATGAATGCATCAGGATCTGACACATATCCGTAACAGAGTACTTATCTACATAACATGAAAACTTCAACCCAGAAACGAGACAAATATCTGGAAATTACACAGGAAAATCAAGAATAAAGTTCAGAAATCAAAAGTCAAAAGTTGAGAAACGACACACTAGGGCTTCTAATTGAATACTCAATATATTTTCCCTTTAGCCCTTAGTAATTTTTAAAAAATTATTTAATAATTACTTCCTTAAGAAAAAATGGGAGGGGAAGGAAGTAGAACAAGAACAATTTGCTTTTAATATCAGTTTGGCCATTACAGAAAAGGAAGTAAAACTGGATATGCCCAGCACCTAACACAGAACCTTTCACATAGTAGATGCCCTCCCAAATTCTTGTTGATGATAATAATTTCCATTAGTGGCATCTATGTACTATCTCAGATAGTATTAGGTGCAGACAGAAAGGTTGAGCTTAAAGCAAGATCTTTTAGTTGTAGGAATCTGTTTGTAACTAACAGTTCTGGCTTTTATTTTGGCAAATACAAAATATGGTGAGAACTGGAAAAGTGAGAAGAAAAAAATGTGGGAAGAGGAGAAGCACATGAAATAAAGATATAATTTAACAAGGTCTTATTTACACTGGCTATAATACCTGTCTGAACAGCCTTCTTGCACTCCTAAAACATACATGTCCTGGACATAGTCAGCTTCAGAAGGTAATAAAAAGTCATCCAGGTTATTTGGAAGTTCCTGTGCAAAAGTTGAACAAACTGGTTAGATCAAAGGATAAGATGACAAGCAGCAACATACAGACTTGTAAAATATAAACAAGACAATCAGAAACGCAGAGTAAGGTACAAGAAGTATATAACAACACAATTTACCTTTCATTAGAAGATCACAAACACCCCATTTCTATTGAGATGTGAGTACTGGGATATCCTATTTATTTTTAGCCAAAGGTGGCCCCAAGAAGATAAATGACTTGTTCCAGGTCAAAGAGCAAATGCTTAGTGAAGCTTATAAAATAATATAATTTTATCTTTCTAAATATTCAATTACATTTAATCAAGCAAATTTCCAGCTGGGGGCCTCAGTTCCCTCACCTGTGAAACAAGGGAGGGGTTTGGACTAATCTACAAGGTCTCTTTATGCTCTAACATTCTATGTTCTATGTTTTCAAACATAGGCAATGCGTTCCACAAGTTTTCAGGGTAATCACTTTAAACTAAACCTTGTGAAGAGAAAATGTGCTAACTACAACTGTGTACCTGGCAAATAGCAATACCACCATTGCTGCTCTCTCAAAACTGTTCTTTTCAACTTACTTATGGAAATATTTACTATATTTCTGACCTGAATTGGATTTAGGTAGTAAGGGTAATCCTGGCTTACAAACGTCATGGTCATAGCCAGCTGAACAGAAGGTAGATCTGTTTCAGTGAGAGCCATCAGACCTCTCATTTTTAAGGTATAAACCATTCTGAGATTAAGTACTATTACAATAGACCCTGCTTTAACAAAGGAGACCCCTGCATTGATGCAAGTCATTCATTTCAGAAGGAAACGTGTGGGACAACAAACTCTAAAAAACACCGTATCAAAAAAAAAAGAAGAAGAAAAAATTTTCATGTACAAAACTACCAAACTGCCTCCTGCTTTCTGAAAATGTTTTGTTCCTGGTGGGAAATTGATCTAGATGATAAGTGGTTTTACCAAGTCTCATAATGAAACTTTAGAATAAAATATTTTTCCAATTGGATTAAATCTGTGACAGTAGCAAATTTTCTGTCATTGATCTGTTACAAATGGATATGATAGGGAAAATAATACTTTCTTTGTTCTACTTTACACAAGCCAGCACTTTTGTTATTTATTAACACTAAATCATCAATCCCTGCAGCACGCTACCTAGGTAAATGTCCAGGCTGCTAGTACACTATTCATTTTCCATGTAGGGCTAACTAATTAAAAAGACAACAGGATTCCATTACACCATATTGCTTACCCATGGTAGAGTAATCAAGTAGCAGGTCATAGAGAGAATTAACAAATTTCCACTTGTAGTCACATTCTATAACTGTAATTCTACCCAACAAAAGAGTTCACTATGTATGGATATTCCTTCTGTTCTGATCTTCCCCCCACCACTTGTACAAGCTGCAAAATCCCTGAGATCAAATACAGTTATCCAACCTTCTGGCCCTGCATGTTCCATGTGGCCACAAAGAGTCCCAAGTTTCCATCTGGAAAGTATCGGGTTAGTTCATCCGCTCCCAACAAGGCACCACTAGCTAAGAGGCTTCCTTCCATATAGCTCCTATAAAAAGAATAAAATAGACTAGGTTCAAAATAATAGTGAATTCCAGAATCAGGCTACCAAGTACTTAGAAATGGTACAGGTCTTCAAAAGAGAAATACAGCAAAAGCATCCAACTATGTATACTCTCTGAAGAGATGTAGCCAAACTATTAGCTAAGATAAACTCAGACTAATATAATTTCTTCTGAAAAGGATTAAAAAGCTTTAATATTAAGACACCAATTTTCTTTCTTTTTTTTTCCTTTTTTTGGTGAGGCAATCAGGGTTAAGTGACTTGCCCAAGGTCACACAGCTAGTAAGTGTTAAGTGTCTGAGATTGGATTTGAACTCAGGTCCTCCTGACTCCAAGGCCAGAGCTCTATTCACTGAGCCACCTAGCTGCCCCCACCAATTTTCTTGAATCAAATCTGTTAATGGAAACTGCCTACAAAATAGGAGTCACTAGACACTGATCTGAAAAAGAATTGGCATAATTTTTTTCCACTTTCAGCTTTTAGTCACCATACTATGACTAATAAATACGGATTTGTCCTGACTTTATGAAAATCTCATATCTAAAGCTCTAAATTTAACACAATATATGCTAGCAAATGATTTTTTGCACATTACAAAATTCTTCACTTTACCAAATAATTCACCACAATGTTCCTTTGAATATTCTGTTCCTTTTGTAAATTTAAAATAAGATTTGATTTCCAAAAAAAATCAACTCACCTTCAAAGTTTTTTTTTCCTCTCAAAGTAAGGCCTACTATATAAAACTTGTTTCTTGAGTCATTTTTTAGACAACCAGAAAACAATAGTTTAGTAAGCATCACTATACTACTCTCTCACATCAATCCTCCTGACATGTCCTTCGTACATTTCTGCCACCCAAAGGCACTTTCCAAATCTAACTCTGTAAGCCTGGTCACAGATAAAAGATTGCTTTTGACGTCTAAGATATAAGATAAAAAAGCTGTTCAATTCCCCTTTATTTTAAAGCACAGGGGAAGACCCATGATAATTCATTCTTGGGTATTTCTTTTGCTTGTTACTTTGTGGCTTATGTCAGTAAGGTGGGAAGAGCACTGGCCTGGGAGTCATGTTCTAGTCCTAGTTCTGCTACTAATTCACTGAGTGACCTTCAGCCAGTCACAGTCAACAAGCATTTATTTAAGTGCTTATTCTCTGTTACGCACTGTGCTAAACATTGGGGAAATGAAAGGAAAAAAAACAAAACCTGGTGCCTGCCCTCAAGGATCTCACATTCTAATGGAGTTTACATTCTACTGTGGCAATTCAATTTAGATAAGACCTTTCTGATCACTAGGCTTCAGTTTACAATGGGATGTTTAGACTAGCTTTCTCTAAGATCCCTACTCGTTCTAAGTTTCAAAGATGTGATAGAATTTCCTGGGAAACTAATACAATACCTAAACACAAAAGGTTCTTTAACTCTGACAGAGGGAATGGAATGGAATCATTGAGTAAAGGGGAACTAGTTTTCAGTTTTTAATTCACACATCAACATAGTTTTTCCTCACTGCTTTGGTTCTGCAGGTGAAATTCCAACGAGGACAAAGATAATTCAATGCGGTGCTTATCAAATGCCTGATATATTTAATTTCATTCAAAAAAAAATAGACTTCTTGAGAGCAGGGTCTTTTATTTTTGTCCTTGTATCCCTAACACCTGGCACATAGTAGGCACTTAATAAAAACTGTCTGCTGGGTTGATTGAAACAGCAGCTAAAGGGAAAACCCTGTAATTCACCTAAGGGCAAATTACATAATATGCAATGTTGGCATTATTAGTCCTTAGCTAATTCTTTTCACTGAGGAAAAAAGCAGACACATTTGTAGGTATAACTTTTTGAGATGATTATTCATCCTGGAACCTCTAGCCAAGGAAAACATTAACCACCCTGTCTTCAGCTTCTCTCACGCTTACTAATTATATCTCTTTTAATTCACAACAAATAGAAAAGGACCCAATTTAATCATAGTTGCCTGTCGTAGTTCTATAAAAATTAAAATAAACGAAAATTTTTTCAACCAGTCTTCTCTTGAGGGAAAAAAAAAAGAATTTAATCTAGATGTTTTTGCTTAACTGTTATGAGAGAGTTCAATCTAGGGGGAATGAAATGACTATAAAATAAAGACAAAAGTATTTTATTGATAAAAGATTTAAACTATTAAACTAAGGTTTCTGCTAAAAACAACGTAGGAATTCTCGTAATTTTTAAATCACTCCATTGTAAGGTGACATGCTAATTTTAAATGATAAATGGCCTATAAAATGTCCTGGCAGGGAACCATTATACATACTGGAGGCACGCTCCAGTCCTCTGGAGAATCCTCTCAGGTCATAAAAAGTCAATATTAATTAAATATTAAAGCTACATCCTGCCAAACTATGGGAAATCATTACCCCTTAAAAGCATTTTTTAATGTAAAGATAACTTGCACCCAGCCCAGTATTCTGCAGTAAAACTAACAGAGCTGGTAGCTCACATAGTCTGTGTAAAGATGAAGAATCAGTAATAGCAGTTATCTTCAAGAAACTGTGATGTCATCTGTCTGGGCAACCCTCCACTGATACAGATTTCAACCTTTCTGCAATTTAGTAGATGGTGTTTGAAAGCTCCTGGTGCAAAAAAATAAAAAATAAAAAATTATCACTTCATGGTCAACCTAGTGACAAGGTTCTCCAAATTTTGCAAGGTTAGGTCCTTGGACCACAGATAGAAAAACTGTCATTAGGCCTATAATCTTTGTATGCTTTCTAAGTAAATAAAACATGACAACACAACATTCTAACCTCATCTATCTTTGGCCCACCTCTCCCCAGAGAAATGGGATTCCAGCTGTCACTTACATAAAATCAACAGGATGAAATTTCAAAGCAGGGCACCTACCTGCTTCTGACATTCTTTGAGTGAATGGGTGTAAGAAGGCTGAATGAGGACTTCAAAGAGGTTGTGGAACAGTTATCACAAACCATACAGCTTTGTAATCTACCATCACTCAGGCTACTATCAGGCCGGAGCAATTTACTTTGAGTGTGATGCTTATAATTTACATAATCTGGGTCAATTTTATTAGTTGTCCTTAGGGTTTCAGATGCTACATTCAATTCCAAAGGGGGAAGTGCTAATGGTGGCGATACTTTGGAAAGTCTAAGTTTGTTCCATGAAGCTGTAACCCCATGCAGAAGCTCCAGGGAACCACTTGTCACAGTAGGAGGAATAATTTCCAAGGAGGAAGGGGGATCTGTACTATTTCCTATGTCTCCTGGTTCAGGAATATCCTGCAAAGAGGTGCTCTGTAGGCTGTTGAAATTGTGAGGAGTATGACTGCCATCATGAGCTAATGTAGTCAAAGTTGGAGGACTTGTAGTCACCTCCCGCAGGGAGCCAGATGATGAACCTGTCTCATTAGGGTCTGTCAGGCTTTCTTGGCTTGTTTTCAAACGCCTTCTCCTCCAGCCTTTCTCATCTAAGGAAAATGTTCGCTCCAGCTTTGGTTTTCTGGGTGGTTTGGGGGTGATGGATTTGACCTTCATGTTAAATTTCATTTCCTCCGTTGTAAGTCTTAAGAGTCTATTGAAAGGAAACTCTGAGGTGTTCCCACAAGGCTCATTCCTTTCAGGCAACTCATTCTTCAGCCCTGCTTCTTTTAGCATTGTATCAGATTGTGGACTCACACAGGCTACTGGCTGCTGGGAAACTGAATGCTTAGGATCCATTATCACTGGCTTGGTTGGCATCTTCTGAGAGTGTCCATACCCCCACCAAGCCTGGGAGCTTGATCTTCCTGAGAAAACTCACCTTGTTAATTCACCACTTATCCCTTTGAATATACTGGATATGCATTTGGGTTTGGAAAGCCCAAATACCAAAGTCAAAGACCCTATAGATACCTTACTTTGGGGCCTGGGACAGTATAAAATGGTCACAGTCAACTGGTGCATGGTTGGAAATCTTGAAGTCATGGAGCCACACAGAAATTTCTGAATGGAAGGGAAATAACATATCATTAGAATTTATTAAATTATACTAATTAATGTCAAATTTAACACAAAGGATTTTATAAAGATACAAGGGCATAGCATATAGTCACCAAATGCATGGGCAATGCTATGGTACCTATGTATAACTATATTTGTAACTAGCTTTTGTAAATATATATGTTTAGATACATACATACATGCATACATATGTATATGTATATACATATACACATATATTTGTAAACAGCACTACACTAAAGTGTAAGATAAGACCCCATGTTACTACCACTTTAATGACAGCCCAACGCCACCACTGAATGAGCTGGTTGTATCACTTGGCATGCTGAGGGCAAAAGAGATAAAAATTCACAAGTTGACTTTTCAAACCTGCTCTCAAGTTACACTCTGCTCTGACAGTACCCACCTAAGGAGCTAGATGGCTTAGTGGATAGATTGCTGGATATGGAGGCAGGAAGGCTTCAGTTCAAATCCTTTTTCAGACACTTACTAACTGTGGGGTACTGGACAAGTCACTTATACTCTCTCAGTCTTAGATTCTTCAACTCTACAACAGGGATAATAATAGCACCCACCTCCCAGAGTTGTTGTGAGGACCAAATGAGGTAACAGATGTAAATTGTTTTGCAAAGCTTTAAGTACTATATAAAATGCCACTTATTATTATTCAATGTCAACTACTATACCTAAATACGAAGAGTAGAATTTACATATAAATCTGAAATCTTAATTTTCTCCTTCTTGATTATGCAAGTGACCAAAATGTCCGTATCCTTCGATTCTAAGATTCTATTGTTGAGCATATACCCCAAGGAAATCACTAACAAAAAGGTTCCATGTACACCAAAATATTTATAGCAGCACTTTTTGTGGTAGTAAAGAAAGAATTGGAAACAAATTGGTTGTTCGTTGATTGAAAAATGGTCAAACTGTGGTACATGAATGTAATGGATTATTACTGTCATAAGAAGTGACAAAAATGACTATGGGTAGAAATGGGAAGACTTCATGGACTAATGTAAAATGAAGTAAAGCAGAGCCAGGAAAACAACATACACAAAAATTATAAAAATGGAAATGAAAATAGAACCACTACCTTATAGATTGAATGTTATGAAGTGATAAAGAATAAGTTTATTATCAAAGAAGAGATATGACACCTCCTTCCATTCCTTCACAGAGGATAAGGCCAGCAGGCATGAAACTCTGCATCTAATATCAGATTTTTTGAATGTATGGATTGTTTTAGAAAATTTCTCTTCCTTTCCTTTAAAAAAAAAAATCCAATTCTTGCTCTTTGCTCATCAATAATTATTTCGAGCTCCTACTCTAATTCTCTATCTCTATCCTTCCCGTGGCCTTAAAACCAGTGGTATTCTCTATCTCAGGGAATCCACACATAAAGCAGAGGAGATCACGGGAGATGCTCCCGTGTGAGAGACACTGCTCCAGACAGGGACTGCGGAAGCAAGGGCAAGTTTCCATCCCATGGTCTTTGCGTGATATCCCGTAAGCCACTGACCCTTTCTGGGCCCAGGGCGATGACTTTCTCCTACTTCTTGGCCTGACAGAAATATTGGGAGTCCACATGCACCCACAAAAGTGAGCCAGAAAAGGCCCAAGTTTAAAAAAAAAAAAGCAGTAGTGGATAAGAAGGGAAAAGATCACAGCGACCTTGACACTGTGGGCATGATAACCCAAATGCGCAAATGTAATACTCTGCTGACTATAAATCACGATTACCCTCACACGTTTCCTCTTTCCCCGAATTCAATTGCCCAGACATACTTACCCCCTCACGAATACTGCTTAGATTAAGGGAGGGAGCAAGGAAGGAGGGGACGATGATGGGGCTGGGGGATCATGGGGGGAGAAGCAGGAAGAAGCGGGGGGGCGGCCGGGGCGAGGACAAGGGTGGCCCCAGGGCGCTGGGGACCCACGGATGCCGGGGTGGGGAAGGGAGAGAGATCCTGGAGGTGTCCTGGAGGGAGGGAGGGAGAAAGGAGAGGGGCTGGGGAGGTTACGACACGGGGCGCGAGGGGAAGGTCGAGGAGAAGGAGGAAGAGGAGGAGAAGGAGGAAGAGGAGACCGGGAATGGGCTAGGAGGGAGGCTGGAGGGGATGAAGAGGAGGGCGGTGTCGGGGCAGGACGTGGAAGGGACAGGCGGGGGGGGGCGGGTCAAGGAGGGGACAACTGGGGAGACCTCGAGCGATTCGCCGATGGGGCCCGGAGGGAACCCCGCCGAGGCTGTGGAAGGGCCGATTCAGGAAGCGTCGGCGCTCACCTGCCCGGACCCCGCGCCGGGGCCTCGCTCCCCGGGCCGCGCTCCCAGCTCAGCTTCTTAGCAACCGCGCCACTGAGGCGGGAGAAAGGCTGGCCCCGGCTGCGGGACGGGGTCGGGGCAGCGCCCCCTGGCGTCTGGAGGACCCGCACCGCCGTGCAGCCGCCTGCCCGCCGGCCGCCCCCTTCCCGCCCCCGCCCGTCCGACCCATCAGTCCAAGGGCAGGATTCCCCAATGAAAGCTTCCTGCATCCCTCCCCTTCCTCCTTTCAGGGCCACGAGTTGGAAAACCAGCCTTTCCTCCCAAGGTGCTGGGGGAGGTTTGCTTTGTGAGCCTCTCGCTGAAGGCTCATGGGCCAGAGGAAGCATTTCAATTTCCTGGGCTCTCTAGGTAATGCTTTGGGTAAAAATCCAACCCTCCTGCCTCCCCCCAGGGGTCGGAAGGGTCCCTGGATCTGACTCAGCCTCCCCAAACCCCAGGGGAAAAAATTTCTTGTGTGCTCCTGACGGGAGTCTGTGAGAGGGGAGAGGGAAGCAGTTAAAGGACAGAGGGCGGTCAGTGGTCAGCCACTGGGCAGCTCCCATTTACTTCTAAAGTTCCAAAGTCCCTGGAGCTCCAAGTCCAAGGGGGAGAGGTCCTGAAAGGTATTAGTGCACTGGAGACCTGGCCCTACATGATAAGTGTCACCTGGGCCTTAGTCTCCTTGTCTGTAAAGTGAAGGGCTCAGAATAAGTTCTTTCTCAAAGTCCCTTCTGGCTCAAAAAGGCCCATGAACCTATAAATTTCCCTTATTCTGAGAAGCAGTCTGACAGCTGTGTTATTTCATAACGCACTGCCTATAAACAAGCATTAGAATACCCCTCATGGTTGCCTTTTAGGTAATCTCAAATAGAATAACTAGGGTTTATATATGGCTTTAAGGTCTGCTAAGCACTTTACATACACTCTCATTTGATCATCATAACAACCATATGAGTAGGTGCTCTTATCCCTATTTTACAGATGAGAAAACTGAGGCTCAGGGGAGTTGTGACTTGCCTAGGGTCACACAGTTACTAAGGGTCTGAGGCAGGATTTGAACTCGAGTACTGATTACAAGTCTAGTGCTCTAGCTTAGGCCACCTAGCTGCCTAAACACTTTGTGTTTTACTTCAGTGCGTAGTAGTTCAAACTGACCAGGGAATTTCAGGAGTCAAGTGATCCCTTGCTTTTTCTTTACCTCCAGTTAAAACATGTTATATGTAGCCTGTGTTTTTTCACAGGATTCAAATGTGTTTTACTATGTATCTCTAATGAATGGCAAAATGTAATTCCTACTTTGGTAATACCCCATAGATTGTAATGAAGGTCTACTCTTTAAAAATTTGGATGTGGTCAAGACTTTTTATACGTTGACATGGAAAACCCATCTATGCCAGGATAATCATTTCACTTAATTTAGTTTGTTACCAATAACGACAAGCAAAGTAAAATATGAAAGTGCTCCAGAGCGCAAAATATTTTATTTAAGAATTTACAGTGTCAAATCTAACACTTTTAGGAAAAATAGCAGCTCCCAGATCAGAGGAAGCCTTCTTGAATTAAAAGGTGTTTGGCAGTCTACGCGGAAAGAACAATCAGCAGCAGGGCTGAACTGTAGGAAGCCAACGATCCAAACAAAGTTTTGAAGACCAAAAAAAATCACATTGACTGCTGATGAGAAAGTCCAGGAGTTAAGATTATGGACCATTAAACAAAAGACTATTTCCACCAGGACTTGCCTTTTTATAAGTTGAAATAAATGAATTCTACATTTAATTGTACAACCCTGCAAAACATTTTGGAATTTAAGTTTCTCTCTCCCATTTAATCCAAATGTTAGCTAGATAAAAAGGAAGGACCAGTGCTAATTCCACATTTACATCATTTCTACTCTTAGAAGTTCAAATACCAAAGTAACAAATTATTCATCTTCCCCCAGCAAAACCTAAAGAAAGTATGACCTATTGATTTTATAAATATTAAATCTTCTCTCTCATTGGGCCTCTTCAGACTTAACCAGTATGAATAGTATTGAAAATATTCTAAATTAAACCTAAAAGATTTTCAAGTTCATTAGGTAGAGGTCTATATTTGCAGTTTAGCATGACTGATATTCAACATATAAGCTACTTAAGACCTTAATATGGAAACTGTTTTGGGGGCAGTAATAACAGATTCCAGGATTTCAGACAGTATTCTATTGTTTAACCATTTTCAAGATGTGACCATTGGAATGAAACTGTGCCAATAGTATGAGAGAAAAAAAAGCAACTTAACCATATTGCACTGTAAAAAAAAAAATCACTCCTCAGAAGAGTACGGCACTGACTATTATACAAGAGCTTTTTTACTATACAATTTCTTTTACAATGAGCCTAAACACAAGCTACATACATACTAGGTAAAATCCAAACCAAATTTATTACAGTCACAGTTTTCATTTCACAATGGTTAATTTGGATCAGCTGTGGCCCCCAAGATCGGTATGCGCCAGTCATAGCTTAAAATACACGTTCTTTTGCTGATGCTCTCTTAATAACTGAACACCCTTCATATATAGACAAACATCACTGTAACTTTATGTGCATTAAAATTAGTCATGGTCCTAGTAAGGCCACAGAGAGTTAAGTAAAAATGAAAACATACTTGCTACAGGAAAGGAAATGCACTTCTGTAACTAGGGCAAAAACTAACTTTGCATTCTTAAATCACTCTACTAGGTTCCAAAATTATGATGAGGGAACTGCCTTTGGTTGCAGATCTGAAGTTGGTATGAGTAACAGACATCAACTATTTCCCTCTAAAGCTTCATAGATTCAGCCTTTCCAACGAGGATCTTAAAGAAAATGTGGAATTATTTTTGACCATAATTCACACATGGACTGCAAGAAAAGGAAACCAGAAGAAAAATCAGTATTAAATTACTGCTATGTCAATTTCAGAACAGAGTAGCTCTACCATGTGCAATAAATCTGAATTATCAGTATATCAGAAGAATTTCAAGTGTTCCAATAACTAATTCAAAAGACAAAACAGTCTACTTCAGTGTTGGATACTTCCTCTGACCAATTCTTCCCAGCCTGGAGCTTCCAGTGATGGCAGATGGCTGAAATGAAATAAATTGCATTAAGTCACAGACTTTACTGTCTCAATTACATGGAGAAGTAAGAAGTTTTCTTGTAATATATAACTACATAGCTTATGGGGCTGGGTGGGGGGCGGGGAAAGAGAGAATGGAGGCATGTTGATAAAAATTAAATAGGCCATTACAACCCAAAGAAAAACAAGTATATTTTTCTAAGTGAATAGAGATTCTTTACTATATAACCACTGTAACTAGTTTAATTGTTGGAATTTTGAAAATTTATAAGGTACCTGATGTCTACTAGAAAAAGTTTAAATTTAAGTGCATTTCTATGGTCAAAAGATATAAAGAGAACATTTTTCAAAAGAGGAAACTCAAATTGTTAACAATTACTAGAAAAGATGTTCAACCTCACTAATAATCAAAGAAGTGCAAATTAAAACTACTTGGAGATACCAACTTGGGACTTGACAAAATGGCAAAAATAATTAAAAGCAACAAAATCCAGCCTCCAGGAGCGGATGTAGGGAAACAAGGAATATTGAATCATTGCTCATGAAATTACAAACTTGTGGAATATTTTTGGAAAGCAATATAGCAGTACACAGTAAAAGTTACCAAAAAATACTGATGGAGATTTAGAGGGAATGATTGAAAAGTTAAGATATTTATTGAACCTAATTTAAATTAAAGACTTAACTAAACAAGATTAACTTGCTGAACTGATTGTTCAATGTTAAATTAGAAAAAGTCATCTAATTTTAAAATTTCATTTCCTTTACAATAGTTGAATTTTCTCTTTCAAAAGCTTTAGGTTTGATTGCCTAACAGTAAAAAACAATTAAGTTTTAATAATCTGATGATGGGGGAGGAATAGAGAGAGCATGTCCTGCAACCAAATCTGTTGCAAATTTAACAAAAATAAATGATATGCTATCAAGGTAAGGCTCTGTATATAAAAAGAAAAGGAAGTTTAAAAATAGTAAAGAAGAAGGGAGAGGGAAGAAGGGAGGGAAAAATGGAGGAAGGGAAGGAGGATTTATTAAGTATTTACTATACACCAGGCACTGTGCTAAGCACTTTATAAACGTTCTTATTTGGTCCTCACAACAACCCTGGGTTGTTGTTGTTGAGTTGTTTCAGTCATGTCTGATTGATCATGACCCCATTTGGGGTTTTCTTGGCAAAGATACTGGAGTGGTTTGCCATTTCCATCTCCAGCCCATTTTACAGATGAGGAAACTAAAGCTAACAGGGTTAAGTGACTTACCCAAGCTTACACAGCTAATAAGTGTCTGAGGATGGATTTGAACTCATGAAGATGAGTCTTCCTGAGTCTAAGCCCAGGGTTCTATCCACTATGCCACCTAGCTGCCCACAATCCTGGGAAACAGCTGCTATTATTATTTCCATTTTATAACTGAGAAAACTGATACATACAGAAGTGAAGTACTTGCTAAGTAACAGAGTTACACAGTTAATAAGTGTCTGAAGCTACATTTGACCTCAGGTCTTTCTAACACCAGGTCTGGCACTTTACTCTATCATACCTAGCTGCCTCTAGATCTAGGTAGTGAAAGCAGAGTTATGCCAAAAAGTAAGAAAAAGATGAAGAACAGATAAGTTGCTCCAAGAATTTTTACTGGTGACGCTTTGGGGGACAGTGGCAGAGAGAATGAAGTACGGGAGGGGAAGAATCATTAAACATATATATCATAAACAACAGTGAAGAAGAAAATTATATCACCTACTTGTGCAAATTGAGAAGGATTATAAAATGGTACTGTTCCCACTGTAGCTCCTCCTGATGATGGCAGATTGGGAGGCTGTAAACCATGAATAATCCACTTCATTAACACCATATTAAACAATAAAATTTACTTTACTCATTTGTAGAATACAGCTATCATTTCAAAAATATATGTAATTTTTAGGGAGAAATGATTACAATCTCACATGGAAACAACAGATCTTAGGCATTTCTTGCAACTCTGGGGTTATTTAATGGCCCACCGAAAATGGTAAAAACATACTGCAGCATGCATAATCAAAAAAGCTTTGAACCAAAGCATGCACAAATTAGGAGAGCCCAGCACCAATACAGTGTTATTAAATTAGTACTCTGTAGCAGCTAGTAGAGCTTATGTTATACAAGACATTAAAAGGGTCCAATAACAACACCATTTTAATATAAATATAAAAAGCCATGACTAACTTTTCTAGTGGCCCCAACATAAACAAAACTTAAGTCTATGATACACATAAAGATGAAGCATTCCTTTACTGCCTAAAAAGGATGGTCATAGGGTTATTATTGTTACTCCCCTCTTTTGCTACAAACACATCTTCATGTCCTCAATCACAGAATCTAACTTGATTTCCAAAGTGTAGCACCTTGTTTTGAGCCTTCTGAATCATACCTCACATTGGTAAAGTGAAACATTTCACTAAATTTAGACATTAAGAAAATGAACCCAAATAATATGCTCCTAAACAATGAATATTTTAAAATAAGTTTTCTCTTTTTTGTATCAGTATATCAAAAATTAAAACCCTTAAGACCAAATTCAGCAAGGAACACTGCATCCTTAGTTAACTTACATTTAGTAAAATAATAGGATGACAAATGTTAGAAAGTGAACACATCCAGACCCCTACCCACCAAACCTTCTCCCCTCCACAAAAAAAGGGGGGAAATGGAATGAAACCAAAAATAAAAGCTTCCATGTTAACTGAAAACTGCCAGCCACATGTACCTGATTAAAATGCTGGCTTACTTCACGTGATAATGAACTCATTGAACTACAGCGCGAAAGCTACAAAATAGCAAGAACACACACAAAACACACACAAATAAAAAAATCATCATGCATGTCACTGCCCCAAGCCATAAATTTTATTTTCAAAAAGTTTTATTTTGCCATTAGAGTCAACCAGATATCAAATTTTAAAAAGCCAGTTAGTTTAAAATTCACTTTTAAATAAGTAATTTTATTTAGTAAGAAATAAATTAGAGTTGATAATAATTAGTTTGGGGAGGAAGGAATTCATTTAACTTAATTAAGCCAGCTTCTCCCCTTTACAGCAGCACTTACTTAAGAGATTAAAAGAATTATTACATGCTAGGATGAAGAAGGAGAAAATAACTAAAACCTAAACTTTAAAACTCTTCATTTTGGAACATTTAAAGACCCATTTAAAATAGAAAAAAGTGTTCCTAACAGAAAAATTAACATACTTGATATTTTTTTTTGCATTTAATTCTTTGTTTTTTAGCCTTTAATTTGTACTTCATAAATCAAAAATATATATATTGAAGACAAAGCTCACTAAACATCCTATTTCAAAAACTCAAACCAATACAAAAGACTTTGAGATATCATTACAGTTCCATTTTTGGGGGGGGGGGAGGGAGAGGGAATATCCTACCTCTCCTGATTGGCGACCATCCATATTCGAAGATGAGTTTTCTGAACCAGGTAGCAATGTGGCAGAGTTTAACAACTAATCAGAAAGAATTAAAAAAAGGTCATGGGTGTTCAGATTAAATGATGTTCAAATCCTTGGTATCAGACAGAACAGCAATGGATGTAGAATGAATTTTCTCCTACTCATAGAAATAATTTTTTTTCTAATAGGTTCCTAAGGTCAAAACTACCTTTGTTTTATTGGTACTATTAACAGAAAATTATCCATTTTAGAATAGAATTTTAAGTGAATTTCCTTTACTTATTATAACTCACTAGGGTAAAATCACTAAATTATGAAACACAAGCACACAATTTCCAACCTTTCTATTCTCACGTTTATGTTAAATGAGAAAAGACAACCTTAAGTATAACTGAATTTTTCAAGAGCTCAGCAAAACATTCATTTCCTAAAGTTAACTGTAAATATTTTTCTACCCCACTATTTACCTGTGGTTCAGTAGCAGGCTCTGGATCAGGTTGGTATGCATCTGGTGTCTGCCCCTCTAGGCCACTGTTTTCCAAAGGCTGCTCCTCTGCATTAGGTTTAAAAAGAGAAAGAGAGAGAGAGAAAGAGAGAGAGAGAGAGAGAGAGAACCATTTTGCCATCATTCAAACTAAAATCTCTTAGGTAAATTAAGTTATAATCACTTAAAAAAATTCATGATGTTCCTTCCAATGGTGGGATCATTCTGAAAGCGATTACAACTATCAAATGTGTAGACGAGACCCTGGCTTTTTAATTTTTTAAAACTTTAAAATCTTTATCAAAGCTCTTTACAGAGAAGCAACAGAGGATTTAACTCTTCTCCCTGTTATCCTTGGGGCAAGAAACAAAAAATCAGAATTTAGAAATAAGGTTTGTGGTTAAGGGCAAGGCTTTCATGGGGGTATTACCTGGCATACCTGAATTTGGTACAAACAAGTTTGAAGGAATAGGAAGTGGTGCTAGTGGAGCAAATAAATCTGAGGGTGCAGGAACAGGTGCACTTTGTTTTGTTCCACTTGGGTTTAAAACATCAACATAACGAGCTCTTGTTTCTGCTGTGAAGAAAGGAATCCTAATTAATTCCAACATAATCAGGCATTTTTTGAATATCAAAAATTCAAACTGTTACGGAAGAAATGACAAGAATGAATTTTAAAGTTGCATGCAGTACCTTTAATATTTTGTATACTCATGTGTACCTCACTTTAGATACTATGTATACTTTTTGTCTAGTTTTTCTTTCTGGGGGGAAAACGGATGGTAAAAAGACTGTCCCACTGCTTTCTATCTACATTATTTTCTCGCGTCCTATTCTGATGCCTCATTGTTTCACAGAGGTGATCCTAATTCTAGAAATAAGGTTTCCAGAGGCCAGAGCAATGCAAATTCTGGCAAGTTCTACCAAGTTTTATAAACTTTGATTTGTAGCTGCTCACAGATGGTGCATCTGCTGGCCAAGTACCAAACTAGCTATGCTCCGAGAGACGAAGCCGGTAGGCTGACTGCAAGGTCACAGATTTTTCGTCACATAGGGAAGATAATTTACTAAGATACAGAGGACTGAGGAGTTGGTTCAGTGCAATATTCAAATCAATGAAATTATATATCCCAGATACTTAAGTTTTTATTCCTTCACATTTTCTATTAATTTTAAATTTCTCTGCACCCAAGCCAGGAAAGTATAGTATCTGACAATTCACAAACAACTTGGAGCCAAAGGATCTATGCCCCAGTCTTGGCCTGAGTTTTCTGACCTGTACATGAGGGAGCTGGACAATACAATCTCTAAGCTCTCTGCCAGCTCTAGATTCTAAGATTCTAAGATCCTACATATACTAAAGGAATTGGGTTTTTCTACACACACACACACACACACACACACACACACACACACACACACACACACACACGCACGCACACACACACACACAGACACTCACACACATTTAAAAGTCTTTTAAAATACTTTTAAAATGAGGTGAAAAACCATTTAATTTGCCAATCATGTTTCACAGTTCTTAGATTCAAAACATTTGTTTAATGAATAAAATTTGTGTTCTTTATTCCAGTTTGACACTGTTACCTGCTTTTCTGGAAAACATGTTAACAGAGGTATTGGGGGAGCCACCAGGACCTGGAGGAGCAGCAACCTGAGAAAACTTAGGAAATGCTGTTGGAGGTGGAGGCGGTGGTTTGTTCTGCAAAGAAAAAAAAATAGCTTACTTCAGGAACAAACTAAAATACAATCTGATAAAAACTGAACATTGCAGTTAGTGAGTTTCTAGAGATGAAGATAAAATTTCCAAATATAGCTAGAAAACAAGCTCTTTTTTGTTCTTACAAAGCCTTTTCCCAATGGGAAAAGAGTTTGGAAGAAATAGGTTTACTTCAACATCTTGCACCACATACCACAAAAAACTCAAAATAAGAAAATGACATGAATTACTAAAGGCTATAGTACAAAGTATTAGAAAAGAAAGAGATGAGGTACCTTTCATGGCTATGGCCAGAGGAGGGGGAATTAATAACCAAAAAAGTATGATGGAGGAAATCCAAAAAATTAAAAAGATAATTTTGATTACATGAAAAGGAAAAGCTTCTGCATTAACAAAACCACAACTAGGGTAAGGTGAGCAGTCCTTTAGGAAAAAAATCTTTGCACATTATCTCTGCTAGAACTAATGAAAATATATTATGCCAAAAGCCATTCTTCCATGAATAAATGATCAAAGGATATGAACCAACAGTTCTCCCAAGAACTGTATCAACTGTTAATTACCATATGAAAGACTGGTCTGACACCACTAAAGAAAGATCAATGCAAATTAAAACTACTCTGAAGTATCATAGCAAATTAATAAAAATGACCAAAAAAATAGAAATAGTCCATGTTGAGAGGCTGTCAAAAGATGGGCACACTGATGAACTGTTAGTGCAGCTGAGAAGTGGTCCAATCATTCCGGAAAGCAAACTGGAATTAAGCTAAGGAAGTAACTAAAATGTCCATATCCCGCTGCTATAAATATACTGTCAAAGAAATAAATGATAAAAAGAAACTTCTCAAAAATACTCTAAAATAACTAAAGCAGCACTTTTTTTTTTGTAGTTGAAAGAATCGAAAATAAAGTAGATGCTAATCTATTGGGGAATAGCTAAACAAACTAGGGTACCTGACTGTAATGGAATATTACTTCACTGCAAGAAATAATCAACATGGTAAATACAGAGAAATACAGAAAGACTTATATGAATTGATGCAAAGTGAAATAAAACTGGGAGACCAATATATACAATGACCACAAGACTATAAATGACAAGAATAGCAGTAAAGAAAACCAAATCGAATTCCATTAAAGTATAAAGATGGAAAAAGTCCTCAAGGGATATAAGAATACACCTCCCTCCCTGCTTTGCAGAGAGGGGTGACTATGGGTGTGGAACAATGCATACAATGTCAGATTTGGTTAACACGTAGGCTAGATTTGAACTTTTGTCCCCCTCTTTCTTTTCTATTCTTTACCTTTTTTTTTTTTTTCAATTTTTATTGCTTTTTGGTGAGGCAATTGGGGTTAGGTGACTTGCCAAGGGTCATACAGCCAGTATATTCTTTATCATAAAGAAAGGCTCTATAGGAGAAGGGAAGGCATATTGGGAAATAAATATGGAAATACAAAAAGGTAATAATAAAAACTAAAAGAGGAAAAAAAGACTCTTCTTTTCTAGTTAAAGCAAATGTTTACCTCTTCTTCTGGCTCATCTAAATTCACCCAGCGCTGTTTCTTTCCATCCCAAACAATCTGTAAAGATTTAAAATTAAAAAAACAGCATAAAGAGGTTAATTTATGACATTTTAATTTTCATAACTGACAGAACTGCTCTTAGAGGATTCCACATCACTGAAATTATTTTATACTTATTTTGTTATTATTTAGTCATGTCCAACTCTTTGTGACCTTGTCAAAAAACTCATGGACCATATCACACTAATGCTGTCCATGGGATTTTCTTGGCAAAGATACAGGAGTAGTTTGTCATTTCCTTCTCCAGTGGATTAATGTAAACAGAGGTTAAGTGACTTTCCCAGGGTCACACAGCTAATAAGTGTCTGAGGCTGGATTAAAATTCAGATCTTTCTGACTAAAGACCCAGTGAACCCTAGTTGCCTCCATTTTACACATATACTTAATATCAACTGTTGATATATTTCTTATTTTTATTAAAACTTCTACACTTCCCTTTAGCCTGGTTTTAAATGTATTTGTGGACTAAAAAAGATATAAGCAAATTAGTTGGTCATATAAACACTTACTGATTTGTTTGTGTCATCTGGCAGATAAGCTTCTGTCTTCTTTTTCCCATGTAGCCAACGAGAAAACCAAGACTCACCACTCTACACATTTAAAAAAAAAGGCAAAATAAAAACAAGTGCTTGTGATGCTTTTCTTCTTCAAAATACCAATAAGCTAATGAAGGTATTATGAATATCATTCCTAAGAATAACCCTATTTTATAAGTTAGGGAGATGAGGAAGAGAGAGCCAGTAACAGGGCCAAAAATACAGAACCATGTGTCCCTTAGTCTTTTTTCTTTTTTTGGAAGGGAGAATGGAGATGAGGTGAGACTGAGTCTCCCTGACTCTGAGACTGCAAGTGCAGAGGCCACTAATGAACCTGATCGATCATCACAGGAACTTTTGACCTGCCCAGTTTCTGACTTAGGCCAGTTCATCCCTTCTTGGGCAACTTGGTGGTCCCCAGCTTTCTGGAGCTTACTACTCCAGCTCATGCCCAGAATTAGTACACTGCAGCAGAGAACCCCCGAACTCTACTGTTCCAACAGCTTCAGTTTTCCCAGGAGCAGGATTTATAAGCATGTGCCACAATGCCAGATTTCATATTCTAAATTTTAAAATATTCTCTCAAATTCCTTATTTATCTTCACATACCAAAGACTTTACACTAGAGTTGATACTGTTTTTTCTAAAAGTCACCCTTAGAGATATCATGTGCTTTTACCTTTTTAGGTTCCTTGGGCTCTTTTTTGACCTCTTTGGTTGGTCTCTTTACTTCAGCAGCAAAAGTTGAAGGGGGAGAAGGCTGCTGCCCAGCAGAATTAGAACGCTCTCGTCCTTTATAGGATTCAGTGTTCTGACACTTTCTGGAATACTCCTATTCCCAAACACGGTGAATACAGGGTTTATATCCATGCTACTTTACATATTAACTTAAAAGAAAGATTAGAAATCACTTCTGTATGAACCCTTAAAAACATTACTGAGATGGCAAAATAACAAAACGATTCAAACAGAAAAAGATGAGATAGTGAAAGCAGCACAGATGTACTATACCATGTGTGCTGAAGACTGGGAGGTAGTTCTGGATCTTCGTCCTGACGCCTGGTTAGATAAAGCGAGCACATGCTTATTAGTAAGCAACTAAATAATGTCTCTTTGCAAATATTAAAGTTTTTGGGTAAACATTTAAATAAATTCTGATGCACAATGAGAAGCATACATTTACTCTCCAATTCTTGCAGAAATGAAAATGCTATTTATTATACTTGTGAATTATGTACTGATTTTAAACAATTTTAATAAAAGTTTCTGTTAAGTTAGACTTTAAATCCCCATTTTTAATTTTTCTAAGGACAAGTTCATTTTAACCCCTTTTCTGTGCCTGAGGCAGCTCTCTCCAGTGTTTCACAACAACCAAGCCCAAGAAGAGCAGCCAGAGTTTCTGGCTTTTGCAGAGATGGTAACAATCTCCATTGGTTTAGAAAAAGTCCCTCACTAGGAGTTCCTACATCTATGAAATCACAGGTCTGGTTTAAAAAAAGTAGGATCAAATCAATTGATAACAATTAAAACTAAGATAGAGCTTACTGTACTTTTAATAAGTGAAAACAATGAAGTTTGTAAACCCAGGGAAGGTATTTGTTATGGACATTTCTTAACTTGGGTAACCGTGTCCCGCTCCCCATTAGTTTAGCCATCATCCCCAAACGATATTTCTAAAGGTATTAAATGCTCATTAACATCTTGCATAGGGAGAGCGAGGCATTTTTTTTTGACAAGAGAAACAAAAGTAACTTATTTCAGCATTTTGCTTGCTTTCTTAAAATTAGCAAGTTTTAGCCTTATAAAGTTTTATATGTGACCAAAGAAACTGCACTTAAATTTGGTCCTCTAAGTTCGTTGAATTTATTCTGCATTTGTACATTATATAAAAACTGTCACAAAGTATTTGTGTTTTCTGTGGTTTATGTTAATGGCACCCTAAATTGGTACATTAAGGTACTGAATTAAAATGCAGTGTCTTAATGGCACCCTAAATTGGTACATTAAGGTACTGAATTAAAATGCAGTGTCTTCCAATTTGGTTTGTGTATTATCAAACTCTTCCAGATTATTTTTTATTCTCTCCCTACCCTCAACACCCTATTTTGGTTATGATGTTCATAATGAACTCCTTCACCTAAGATCAAGCAGAGAAAATACTTCCTCCAACTATCACGTCATACACTACTACATATCCTTGCAGTACTTGGAGTGGTAAGTTTCTTTTGTCTTGTGTTTCTATTATACAGAAAATGATATTTGCTCACAGTTTAAATGGATTTTACTTGTTAAAACGTATAAAAATGGCATTTAAATGGAAACAGATAAAACAATTTGAGTATTTAATCGAGCCATAGCATTACCCTTCCTGTATTAAACTGAATAGAAGAGTTGGCAGCATAATTTCTAATATGTGAAAGCAAAATCAAGATGTGAAAATGTTTGGTATTACAAAGTTTGTTTAGATGAGTACGGCATTTCTTAAAGAAGATGTTATATTAACAGCTCATATAAGAAATTCTGGCTGCTCTTCTTGACTAGTTTGTTGTGAAACACTGAAAATATATATTTCTAAGAAATAAGTCCACATTACTGATGCGAGTGAAGTGAGCAGAACCAGGGGAGCACTGTACACAGTAATAGCACTGTGCGATGATCAACTAAAAATGACTAGGTTCTTCTCAGCAACACAATGATCCAAGACAATTCCAAAAGTCTCATGATGGAAAATGCTATCCAAAACCAGAGAAAGAACTGATGGAGTCTGAATGCAGACCAAAGCATTCTATTTTTACTTTCTTTGTTTTTTTCTACGTTTTTTTCCTTTTTGACTGGTTTCTTCTTTCACAACATGACTAATGTGGAAATATGTTTAACACTGATTGCACAGGTATAAGCAATATCAGATTATTTGCTGTCTTGGGGAAGGGGAGGGGAGGGAGAATAATCTAGAGCTTAAACTCTTATAAAAAATGAATGCTGAAAACTATCTTTATATGTAATTGGAAAAAAATGAAATGCTATTTATATAAAAAAAGGAAAAAAAATAAATCACATTATGGGAAATGTAGTGAAAATTTCAGGGACTCTGAACAGAGCCTCTGGGAAGGCAGGAGTATAAATACTAAAAGCTATGTAATAATGATAAGTATTTATATAAATATCCACATATATGTAAATATAAATCATAAATAAGCAATTTTATATATCTAAGTATTCTTTTACTTAGTTAAGGTAATTGCCTTCATCTCAATATGAAAAGGTCTACCTCTCTTCTCTTTCTCAACTTGCATTAGCCTAAAGGTAATTTATCTTTCTCCCATAACTTTAATCATTTTATTAGGAGTTCCTTTTAAAAAACTAAAGTTTAGGATTGCATCCTCATGTAAGCATTTAAAAGTTGATTTGACACCAAACTCCTTTCTCAACTGCAGTTGTTTTTCTTTCCAAATATAGTGGAAGAAGTATCAACAGTGAATATCATTGGCATAGAGGTGACTATATAAAGAAATACAGGTTGGTTGAGTACCATATTGGCAAATTTCCCACCAAAATCCTCTTCTCTTTGTTCTGAAATAGAGTTCCTAATGGATGATTCTTGTGGCACTCTTCCTATTGATTAAAAAGATAAATATTGGAGTTTTAGTATTGATGAACATTTAATGAAAGCAAATATGAATAACAGTGATATAGTATGCAACTTTAGGAACATACTTAGCCATCTGATGGAGTACTTTCAAAAATCAAGACTTAAGCTTTACCTGAACTATTTTCAACTCACTTTAATGCTGCATTTGAATTTTGACTTAAAAACAAAACAAAACAAAACAAAACAAAAATAAGTCAAACACATATCAGGGCACAGAAATGGCAGGAACTACACAAGATTTAGTTTTTAAATCCATGATACCATTTACTGTGACCTCAGGACAAAAGTGATGATCCTCTAATAATGAGTCTCAAGCGGAAATTCATCAGTTCCATCTAAAAGATGATATCCTAAAGTTACTTTCATAGAAATGTTCACTATTATTTATATTCTGCATTATGATTTAAACTTTACATAAGAGCACTATTCTGATATCTTTTCAGGGTAGAGCTGATCCTGGGTTCTTGAAGGCTAAGACTGAAGAACATAAAAGCAGACAATTCCTGCTACGCTAGAAAGGCTTCCCAAACGCAAGGATGGACTTTCATCTGAGCACTGGCTAGTTTGAAAAGAACGGATGTTTGGCCACCACGTGATGAATCTGCTTTTTGACCACAGCAACTCATAAAGATGGTCTCTCTACTGAGGCACGGAAGGGTTGGGGATATTACGTTTATGAATGTACATACTGGAATCAGCAGAGGAAATCTCCATACTGATAAAATCAGAGATGTCTGAGAAGTACTAAAGTATCTAGTGTTTAACATTCAAGTAATTTTAAACGATCTGCTAAGTTTTCATCATGCCATCTCATTTAAAAAGAAAATCAAACCCTTAAGTTAAACACAAGTTGCTTGAGCAGACCAACCTGTGTCCTGGTTCCTAGACTCTTCTGGCAGCTGATCTGTCAACTGGAGAGGTTGCCCACCTGGTGACACATTAGGCCCTGGATACACAGTTGTATGCTCAGGACCATATGGATCTGAAAACCCAGGTACAGACACTAGTGGTCCATATACAGGGGTATGCCCAATAGGTCCAGGAGGCACTGGATAGAAGGGTACGTTGTCAGGTTTTTCTTGTTGGAAGGAGGCAGGCATACTGCCTGAATTTTCAAGGATAGTCTGAGGAGCTATACAATAAAAGAAGAAAAACATCCTAGATTTTGCATTGCAAAAAATTTAACTTAACAACAGGAAAGTAGTGCATTTTCTACTAAACACAAATCTATTCATGATTGCAATGGATTTTGTTTTTCTTCATATTCTTAATTTAGGGAGGAGGGGGGAAGTGGGAGTTGGGATGGGAGGGTAAGGAGGTAAATCTTAGCTGATTAAAACAAATTTTTTAAAAATTAGGGGGATTAAAATCTATCTAAAGCTGTAGTAAAATGACTGAACCAGAACAATATATACAATATTAACTACAACTTTACTTACTTTTTTTTAAAGAAAAGAAAACAAAAGAAGGAAAACTGAAAGATAAAGGAACATCACTGAAGGCCAGGAAGGGAACATAAAATAAAAGCATTTTTTTTTTTGCTTACTGTTTGGCTAATTTCTTTGGTTCTGACTTGTTATAGGCTAGGGGTTTGATTATATTACCCCTTTTCTGAATGTTTATTTGTTTTTGTTGTGAGGTAAGTTTATCATTAAAAATAAATTTTTAACATGAGATATTTGGTCTATGCCAAAATGAAAAAGAATGAATAAAAGGCATAAAGTGAAATGAACTTGAGGAAAAATAGAGAAGGGAAAAAAACATAAATGGTGGGGGGGAAGTGAGGGATGTAAAGAAAGGATGGAGACAGATTCAAAGTGTCAGAACAATAGGATAAGAGAAAGCCAGGCTCCTCTCAACAACAAACACAAAAGAAAAGAGATAATGAAAACCAAGAAAATAAAAATCTATCAAAATAAAAATGATCAAAGGAAAAGATGTAGTTATGAACACAAATTACAGTAAAATTTCCTCATTAAAATATCAGAAGCAATGGAGACAGAAAAAGAAACTAACCAAGACCTTAATACATGTCCATGATGGATAACAAGCACAACTGACAATGCTAAGAAAATCATAATACAAAGTAAAAAAAGGGCTCGTCTTATTTATCTCCTCTAAGGACTCCCACAGTGCACTGCACAAAGTAAATGCATAATCAATGTTTAATTTTTGGAAGAAATGAATGATGAGTAAGACAGAATGAGTAAGTAGAAAAGTTATCAAAAAAGGTCCTGGTCAAAAATTGAATATCAAGAGGAAATATCACAAAATGAGCACCTGTGACAAGTAAACGAGCTGTACAACCTTACATGGCTCAAAATAAATGAAGATACAACTCTCTTGGAAGAAGCAAAAACTGTACTGACCACCCATATGTAAAGGTTTCAAAGGGAACTATGAAAGTACTTAAAATTTTTTCAACATAATTTCCACTAAAACTACTATTGAACAGCAGGCAGGTTGTATCATTTCAGCTTCTTACAATGTTATAGGAGCAGAAAGCCCTACATGTACTAATCAATGTATAATAATTTTATGCATATCTGTGCTAATGTAAATTACTTTTAATCTTCTTTGCAACAAATAACTGGCAATTCAAAACTCCATACCAAATATGTCTAACTTTCCTTCTTATAGACTTGTGTTAAAATGAGTGATTTGAAATTTGATATTTAGTGATTAAGCAATAAGAAAATTGATGAAAATTGGTAGGGTAGGAGTTTTTTAATTAAAGTAACATGTATTGTAGATCTCCTTAATGGTGCTAGTAGAAGAGTAGAAGAAGAATGTTTGCTTTACAGGTTTTTTTATTTTTATTTTTTTTTGGTGAGGCAATTGAGGTTAAGTGACTTGCCCAGGGTCACCCAGCTAGTACGTGTCAAGTGTCTGAGGCCACATTTGAACTCAGGTCCTCCTGACTCCAAGGATGGAGCTTATCCACTGTGCCACCTAGCTGCCCCAAAAGGTTAATTCGTTTTTTATTTTATTTTATTTTTTTTTGTGAGGTAATCAGGGTTAAGTGACTTGCCCAGAGTCACACAGCTAGTGAGTGTTATGTGTCTGAGGCCAGATTTGAACTCTGGTCCTCCTGATTACAGGGCTGGGGCTCTATCCACTGTGCCACCTAGATGCCCCACTTTACAGGTTTATTGTGGTGAAGAATAGCACTCAATCTATAACATAATCAGATGCAAGGCAAACAAAAGCCATCATGCAAAACGGTTATAATATATTCAGAAACAATTCATAAAAGATCAAAATAGCTCCCTCAAAGTGACGGTAACTGTGTTCATCTTTTCCCTTAATTGCCTGTTATCCCTTTGTTTTCCTGGCATTAAAATTTGAAAAATTCAAAGCTTTCATTTTCAGAACAATTTCTGTTAAGAAATTCCTATTACATATACTATTATTTATTTCTCAAACAGAGAATATAAAGCACTCACCTGAAGGCATAAGGCGAATGTTTTGGTTAGACTGCTCTGTATTAGGCAACAATGATGCTAATAATGGGTTGTCAGTTCCTGGGCCAATTTCTTGACCATGTCCTGTGCCATCATATTGCTCCAGTTCAGAGCTTGGTGTACTTGGGTACTGACGTGGCGTTGCTCTGTCCTGATTCCAAATTATATCACCCTCCTATAGGAGAAATATTTCAGCCATTTTTCAAGAAGGTAAAAATTTCAGGAAGCATAATCTGCATTATAACAACCTGAATCGAGCATAAAATATTAATTATTAGTGCTTCTTATTTACTCTCTCTTCTTCACAAAAGTAACAAAAAATCCAAAGTGCTTCTGTTTTTGTTAATTAGAAATTCTTACAAACAAAATCATTAAACAATTACATCTGAAATCTCCAAGATGTAAATAAATGAGGAAACAACTTTCTCAAACATAAAATCAGCAAACTGTCTTATAATTAAAATGAATTCTATACCTCTATCTGCCTCTTCAATTGCTGGAGCTGTATTAACCAAGTAGGTTCAATAAATGATTCCTGTTCTGGTTTCTCTTTTATTTGAGGATCAAAGAGTCGTAACTGGGAGGCTATCTAGAAAAACATGAAAAAATAAACAGCTGTTACTATTGTAAGATCTGCCAAACTAAAATCACTTTTCAAAACAGTAAAATCTAGAACAACTGCATCTTCAACACTACTATTGAAAGTTTTCAATGAACTCAACAGGTCTTTCAGAAATCTTATTCATTTAAACTTAGTTTACAGCATGGCACAGTAAACAGAGCCAGCCCTGAACCTAATAAAACCTGAGTTCATGTCCCACCTTTTAAATACACTGAATCAATGACCCTGGGCAAGTCACCTCTTAGCACTCTTTCCTCACCAGGGCCTTCTCTATACCAATGAAATCACAGGTCCAGACTTCATCCCTTTCAGGCCTATAATTTGACTAATTTTTAAAAAAATGTATTTAAATTTAATCAAAAAGATTAACAAGTATTTATTTTTTTCTTCCTCCTACCTTACTCTTGTTGATTAAAAAAAGAAAGCTCACAGGAAAAATCAGAGAAAGAAAATTATCATAACAAATATGCATAGTCAAACACGTCACCTGCTTAATTTCAAAAGCTCAACTTAAATTCATCTTTATACATTAGTTACCAGTAATACACAGTAAATATGTAGTTCTGCTTTAAAATATCACTAACACAAGTACATTTATACACAACAAAAACTACTGGGTGGGCAGAGATGCATTTTAAAGTTCCACACTTCATATGAAAGTTATATAATATTTCATTCCAATAAATTAAGTTTTTAATGTGCTGATGAACAAAGGCCATCACTATTTTCAGTGAACTAAGATCATCAATAAATATATGAATCAGCACAAGCCATTATATGAACCACTTTATTAACAGATGAATATTAAAATAATTAAGGGAAGAAAATTTATGGCTATTAATGTTTGCTTAATAATCAGTTATTATAAAAAGGAGGCTTAATTTTTAAAAGTTAGTATTTCATCTCTCTAAACATATCATAATTTTTATGCAATCAGACAACCTGAAGAAGCCTCAGTAAAGACAACAAGTACCTGAATGAGCTGGCTAATCAGCACCGGTGAATACTGGCGCGGTTGTTTGAGAATGGTTTTAGAAATGACTTCACAGTAATGAAAGGCCTGTGCAGCAAGTCCCATTTCAGCCAGTCGACAAGCATAGATGAATTTGAATACCTAAAGGAATCAAATAAGGATGTATTATATGCCTTTCAATTACTATCTGGCCACTGCTCACTAATGTTCATGTTTACTCTATGCTAGAAAGTAATTCATCATATCTGAATTGGTGCATGGTTGCAGGCAGATATCTGGCATTAGTGCACTGGCACTAGTAAGCATAATCCTTTTCAAATTCCTCCCTCCCTACAGAGATATATCAAATACAAAGTCAGACAATACCCATGTACCACAACCCACACCCCCCAAAAAAGACATTCTAATATTTTAGCTTTTGTTTCTTCTTCAGAATAACCTTTGGCTTTGGAATTTTATAATGCTAAAGATGGTCATGACTCACTTAAAAGTGACTGAGATTCAGGAAACTAAGTCTTTAGCTTAGAAACAAACCAGAAGAGTAGGGACTGTTCTAACATAGCTCATTATAACAACAATTACTTGTGCTGTAGTTTAAATTGTGTCCCCTAAACATACTTAAACTCTGATGCAACATTTCCTGTGATGGTACAGAATGAAGGGATTTCATGGCATGATTCATAAACAGATCCAACTTTGAGAAATTAGACATTTTAGGAACTAAAAGGTTTTGAAGATCAAAATACAAATAATTTTGATATCCTTAAAGCAAATTGTTTCTAATTTACAAGAGAAAGCTTTCCTGTAGGATTATTTTCTGTCTCCTACCCATGGCTTAAATCTCTCATGCTGACAATCTACCTTCTACTCAATGGTCAAAATAACATTCCTCAAAGACAAGTCTGGCTATGCCATTCATCTCCATGTTCCCAATGAAGGAAAGTACTCCATTCTCCCCTCTGCCTCTCATCAGAATCCCTAGTTTTCCTTCAAAATTCAATTCAAACACCATCTTCAATATGAGGCCTTTATTTTTCTCCCCACAGATGCTAGTGCTTCCACTCCAAAAAAATTATCTTGTGCAGGATGTCCCAAAAGTCTTAGTACAGTCATCAGCTTTAATACCTTAGTGCAGTTTTAAACTATTAAAGCTTAAAACTGCACTAAGATTTTTGGGACACTGTATGTTTTATTAAAAATATATTTTGGACATACTGATATATGTTCATGTTATATCCCACTATAGAACATAAGCTCCTTGAAGACAGAGGTTATTTCATTTTTGTCTTTGGAAAAGCAAGAACCTAGCATAGTGACTGGCACATAATACAAGTTTAATACAATGCTTGTTGATTGATTCTAAGTATTTCATGTCAAAAATTTCCTTGAAAAGATTGTTTTTTTTTTAAATTTTAATCATTAACTAAAAAACAAGGAAAGACTAACCACAAAAAAATTTCCTCAATTCTAATCACTCAAATTCATAAATTGTAGATTCAAAAATATATCATCAATTCTAACCTGGAAATTAGGCAAGAAGCATGGCTGGGTTCCCAGTGACTGTGCATATTCATAAGCTTCTGTTCTGTGAATAGCTTCATTGGTTGCAAATTTTAAAAATGGCAAACTATTAAGAGAAGGATAATTACATTAATTTGAAAAAAGGAAAGAACTTCTGATCAACAATAGTATGTGACTCAAATACATGCCTAAGGTGAGTCACCTGGAACTTTACTACATATAGGGGAAGACTTTTTTTTACTGGCACAAATATAAAAGTCATTTGATGAAAAAATGATTCTGATTTTACTAAAAGAGCAAACGTTAAGTGAAAAATAACCAGAAACTGCCATCTGAAGCTTTGACCAAAAGGTCAGAGTTTTTCTTCAAAACAAAACAAAACAAAACAAAACAGAACAGTATAATCATTTGCTTCCCTACCTGTGATTTGATCCAATTAGGACAAGTTTTGTAGTTTTCTTAGCATAAACCCCAAATCCAATCTGGGCCATCAGATAGCAAAAGTGTGCAGCATCTAAGAGGCCTTTAGAAGCTAAAGAAACAGAAAGGCAGTCTCAGCTATTATTGATCATTTTTGAAAAGAGGAAAAAGTTACAAGGTTCCTGAAATCTACAGAAGCAAAATAAACAAAACTTTATTGTAAATATTTCTGATAACATTAAGTAAACTTAAAACAACTTGTTTACATTAGACAAATGCTATACTTTTAACCTCAATAACTAACTTACCAAGAGTATCACCCATGGTGGCTATTGTCCTTGACTCTACATCCATATTATTATTCAAGTTGGACAAAACCATAGCAAGATGAGGCCTCCAATCTCCCCATTTCTCATCTCCACAACACTAAAAATAGAAGAATCATTGTAATACATGGGAAAGGAAAGCTATTTTAAATTCTATACAGAACGGTATTAGTAAATACAATAAAGCAATCTAGGTCAGCAAAATGTGAATCCATGAGTAATTCCTAATAAACCAGGTAAGAGTCTGGAGTGCAGCTCCCTCTTCTGAGGGTCAATACTTACTGTGGATGCAGCAGGCATTCTTCCAGACATGAGCTGGTAAACAGTTTGTAAGGGATCATTAATTGGAAGGCTGTTGGCAAACCTGTAATTACGTAAAAACAAAAAGATACAATACAAGCTTAGCTTCTGGGAGATCACAATTAATCAGTCAACTAACAAGTATCTATTCAGTGCCTATTATATGCCAGGTACTGTGCTAGGAAGTTGGGGAAACAAAGACAAAAACAAAACTCTTTCTGCTCTCAAGGGGCTTACATTCTACTCGAAGGCCAACATATTTAAGTACACATGGAAGTAAATACAAAGTATATCCAAGATAATGTCTTTTTTCTTTTTTTTTTGGTGAGGCAACTGGGGCTAAGTGACTTGCCTAGGGTCACACAGCTAGTGTCACGTATCTGAGGCTGAATTTGAACTCAGGTCCTCCTGGCTCCAGCGCCAGTGCTCTATCCACTGCACCAACTAGCTGCCCCTATCCAAGATAATTTCAAGAAGACACAAACAGCCGGAGGGGTGGAAATCAGGAAAGGCCTCATTTTAAAGGGAGCTAGGGATTCTAGGAAGCAGATGTTGGAAGGAAGTATACTATAGGAAAGGAGGGGTGGTGGGGGCAGGATGGTGGTCAAACTACACAAAGGCATGGAGAGACAGAAGATGGAAAGTTGTATATCAGGAAACAGCAAGTGAGCCAACTGGGCTAGAACACAGAATGCATGAAAGAGAGTAATGTTTAATAAGCCTGAAAAGGTAGTCTGAAGTTAAGTCTGTGATGGGCTTTAAATGCCAAAGTTGTATGAATTTTATCTTAGAGGCAACTGAGAAATGCCATGGTCAGACCTTTACTTTAGGAATGCCTTTTTAGTAGTTGCATGGATGACAAATCAGAGAGGAGAGAGATGTGAAAAAGTCTTCCTGCCTCAAATCTCTGTCCTATTTGATCCAACCATAACAATAGCGTAGGTAATAAGTAATGGAAGCCTAAACTAGGATGGCAGTGGAGAGAAGACAACAGATGTGAGAGATGTTACGTACATAGAATATACAAGTCTTGGCAGCTGGCTGGAATATGCAGAGAAGGAGAGTGAAAGGTCTGGATTAGATTTAGCCTGAAGCAACAAAGTACATTTTGATGGAAAAAAATGTGACAAGCATGGATCCTGAGGTGAAATTAAGGAATCCACTAAAGTGTTTTCTGTAAGAATTAACTGAAAGCGTCCAAAAATAAATGCAGTAACAACAACCCTGAAAGAATAGCACAACTCCAGTAGAATTTCCATCAGCACATCATTCCACGAACATAACCTGTTGCTTCAAAAGAGCTAAATGAATAGTGAATTAATTCTAGAAGTACATGAGAAGTCACTCCCAAATTAAAACCCCTTACCTGGTCATAACTCTTGCATGTGTTCGGCTGTCCATTTTACTAGCGAGTAACAGAGCATGTCCCCATAAGCCATGTTTCATAGCAGATTCCAAAGCATCCTATTGACAGTTAAAGCAACCCAAATAAAAAAAAGCCAGCAGAGAAGCAAATTTTTATCTTATATAATACTAAATGTTACAACTTATTAACATACAAACTTAAATAACCATACTCTAATGCATTACATGCAAATTATTTAAAATAGAATGCTTTAATGATGAATCACAAAAACAAACCCCTAATATGTACTACTTTCAAGAATTTAAGTTTCCAATTAGTCTCTTCAATCTTGAAAAAAAAACATGCTTTTTTTCCTAGGATAAAGAATGTAACATCTTAGCAATAAGGCCTACTTTTAAAGAGAGAAGTTTTATCAGCATTCCTAAGCTATTTTCTTTGGACTCTTGGTCGAAAAAAGGGACTAGTCCCACGCTTTTGAATCTTCCAATTAAGGCTAACACCTCTTTCCACAGAATATCCCTCTCACACTCAAATATATATGAACTATAACTCTAGAAAATGATTCATGACTCAAAGATAATCTTTCTGGCTTAGAAGTAGAAATATTCTTTTTTTTTTTTTAAGTAGAAATATTCTTAACAGAAGCAGACACTACTCTGCTAGACAAAGAGCTGATGAATTCATTCACATCAACTGTGTAAGTAAATCATTAACAGTATTATATATCAAATACTAGATCTATTACTAAAGTGTTCCAGGATGTGGTAATACAAAGGAAAACTTGAGCCGGTAACCAAAATTCAGCTCTGACTGAGTTTCCAAGACAAATAAGTCTTCATCACTTGCTGCCCTTAGATGAACTATATACTACTGATAAACATCATGAATATCATTCATTCATCCCTCATCTCATAAGCATCACACCTTAGACCCCGCCTTTACAAGCTGTTACTTTACAACTATTCAACATATAAACCCACTGACCATGTAATACAGCACTCCAGAATGCCAAATATTTCATTTCTTACCAGGATAATGAAATTAGCAACATAATGGATTATCAAGGAACTGCTCACCTTTCTACGCCCATAAAGAAGAAGCTCTCTAAACCTCTCTGTCTCTTTTTCAAGACTATCAATAGTGGTTATCAAACTGTCAGTGAGAAATGAGAGCTGAGCTTCACCAGACTCCTCCTCCTCCACCTGCTCCACAGCCTCATTAGTAAAATCAATCAGGTTTGCCTCATTGGGTGACTTTCCGGGAAGCCATACTGTTTTGTGATCTCGTAGCAAGAGCTCTGCAATGTCTGTTCCCACGACAGTCTGTGGAGGTCATGAGAGAAGAAAAGAGAACTGTAAGATGTTTCAAGAAGCCAATGCTACTCAGCCAGACCAAAATGCCTGACTCACATTTGAGAGACACCAGGCAGTGAGAGAGACTCTCAATATCTAGAAATGAAACAGGCATTTTATGAAAAGGAATGTAAGTAAAAAAAACAATATCAAATTAGTTAGGTGAAGATTCCTTAAAGATCTACTCAGATGAATTTAGGTCAGGACACATTAGTCCATAGTCATTATCAGTCTAGAGCCAGCCAGAAACACCTACAAAATGAGAGGCTGAAATCATGTGTCTAAATTATTCATATCCCTCCTCCCCAAGTCCCCTTCCCCACGCAGCCAAAGGAATTCCTCATCCCATAAGCATCACACCTTAACACTCTTTTCACAAGCTGTTATTTTATGTTACAACAATTCAATGTATAAACTAATGATCAAGGGTTCAAAATTCTTTAAACACTTTTCAAAGTAAAAGCTAACAGAAAGATACATACCCCATTCTGTCTGCATAACAGTACAATAAAATCCCAAAGAAGGCTTGCAGATTCTTTATCAATTAGATTTTCATTCCGCAAACATTCTGTTGCTTTATTCTGTGCAAAATTTATAACATCCACTTTATGGGTATCATCTCTGAGAAAAAACAATAAAAAGTCACTGAGCATAACAGAAATAATAGAATCTGAGGGACCAGGCTTAGTAATTACCATTACATAGAGGCATTATGAAAAAACAATACTAAGATACATACTTAGCAAGAGGTCCAGGGAAGGATCTCATTTCTTCCTGTTCAGAAGTATGCTGCAACATAGTCTAAACCAAAACACATCAAGTAGATATCAGTCTGCTGTCTATATGATGTGGAAATGCATATTTTGAATAAAGATGACATTCATTTTGACTAAAAATATATTTTAATTAAATTGGAAATACTATCTTTTCCTCCACATTTTATTAGTGAGGAAGGTAATACATTATTGCTTTTAGACACAATGTAAAACTGTGACAGAATTAAAAGTAGCATTACATTATTTAGTACAATGGTAAGGAAGAAGAGTACAAGTCCTATCTGGTACCACCTCCCATATTTGTAAATACTTAAAACCAATCTCTAATAGCAAAGGCACAAAGAGCAGAAGATAAAAGTCTAAAAACTGAAGGTGCAGGGAAATATATTTTCCCTAGTTTCCTATTTCATGGCAATAATTCATTGGCTATATTTTTCCTATGATGTGCAGACACCAAATTCTCATGCATGTAGTTACCTCCATGCTGTGTATCTCAACCAAAGCTGGCTGTCCTTCAGAAGGCAAGTTTGGAAGCACTTTAATAAGATGGCCTCCAGGGCCAAACCTTGCACAGACATGAGGCACTGAAAACTTCTCAGGTGTAGTTGGTCTTGATGGAACTGTTTTAAAGAAAAGAAAAAGAAAAATGGGTTTGATAAGCATTTATTTTAATGATTTCTCAACTGGATGGATGAACACTTTATATTTCTAGAGTGAACATACAGTTGAAGTCATTGACACTGAATAAAGCACGATCATGGCCAATTTAATTTCAAATACAATATGGGCAAATAGTTCTAAAAGAAGATCTTATTTAAATGAAATAATATTCAAGTACATCTTTTGAAAAAAATTTTTAAATGATTCTTTTCTGAGAACAGAAAAAATTCACTACTGAAATCATACAGGATATCTCTTAAAAATTTTATATAACTTTCTAAGTATTTTCCTGGTCAGTCATTTTAAAATTCCATAATCTACAGATACCATTTTTCACATACATAATCCATTTTTTCATATGGTTAAAGAATCTAACTAAAATATCAAAAATCATTATTGCCTCAAATAATGAAACAAGTTCTTTTGAATAAAATAATCTTAAAAATAAAGAAGACAATGTGCCCTGATATTATCTTACTATTTTGTTAATGTTTTTCATAGTAAACATCAGCTCCAATGTGAAGTATTAGGAAAGGAAGTTTAGCAGTGCTTCATGTTTAGAAATGCTACAGCTGCAAAGAAACAATAGAGTTGACACCCTCAATTTTAAGTGACATAAGTAGTAATGTACCCTCAACTAAAGTGAAAGGTAGGCAGTTATTATTATTTGATAGCTATTTCCTTCTTGTGAGGGAAGCTTAGCTGGGATGAAATTAAATGCAGCACAAAATACAGATTTTTTTTAAGATAAAAAATTCCAGATATTAATTAATCCAAAAGTTTGAACAAAATGGCAAGGTAGTAGTGTGGTAGAAGGGAGAGATATATACAAAGGGAGTAGTACACTGGTCTAAAAGACAAAGTTTATGACATACCTTGTTCTGAAGTTGGCCATCCTGTTTCTGTAGGGTAGCCATACTCTGTAAAACCCTGTGCACCATTGAAATTATTACCATAAACACCATAGGAATAATCTCCAGGAAGTGAGGCTGGTGCAGCCGGGCGTTCATATGAATTAGCAGTTACATCATTGTTTCTATAAACCTGGCTCTGTTGGATTTTTTTGTTTGTTTTAAAGAGAAGAGGAGAAAAGTATGATGTCACAAAATTTGCGATCAACTATGTATTACTTTTATAAAATAGCATATACTTAGAAATGTTATAAATTACTGGAACTATAATAATAACTGTTCTCAACAAAACTGATATTGTTTCTGTGAGGTCCTTTAAAAATATACATATAGACATACAAATCAGTTCAAAAATCTTGCTGAAAAGTCAAGATTTGTTCAACAGTAGCTAACTTCAGAATGAAATTTTTTTAAAAGGACTTAAATTTGGCAATTCATTATAACTTAGTTACTTTATATATAGGACTACATAGTAAATAATGCCTAAAATTGGAAATATTAAACTTATTGTGATAAGAAATAGGAATGTTTTAGCAGAAAAGAGACATCAAAGGTTCATTCAATGTTAAGCTACATCAGTGGGAACAAATGCTTATGTGCTAAGTTAAGGAGTAACGAAGCTATCAAAACACAAAATCTTAATCAAAACTCACTTGATGAGAACGTGAGCTGAAGCTGCTCTGGCGGCTCTGTAGACTGTGGGTGCTATGGAGACTGTGGGCAGAATGTTCACTGTGGATACTACGCCTATCATCATCATAAGCATCTCTGTGAGGTTCTGGTTCATCATCAAAGCTCCCAGCAAAACGAGGGTCATACCTCCAGTGATCATCATATTTTTCATGTCTGGGGGGAGCAATGAAGTAGCACGTATATCACTTTGAAGCAATGCAAAGTAGATGTTGGAAATTAAAATAAGTCAGGGAGAAGGATCCTATTACAGGAAAAACACCAAAAGAAAGATCTAGGATATCTGAAATATACCAAAATATTCAGAGCAATCAATCAAGCAACAAGAATTTATTAAGCACCTATCTGACATACAATGCTAAGTTCTAGGGATAAAACAACATAAAATCACTTTTTCTGTCACACTGGAAACAAAGTGGATACTTTTTTGGGGGGGGGGATTCTAAGCAACAGGGTTAAATGACTTGCCCAGGATCACACAGCTAGTATGTGTCAAGTGTCTGAGGCTGGATTGAACTCAGGTCCTCCTGACTCCAGGGCTGGTGCTCTATCCACTGCACCACCTAGTTACCCTAAAGTGGATACTTATTGAGTGCGGAATGACTAAACAACTCATGTTATATGAATGTAATGAACATATTCATAGCATAAGAAACAAGGAATATGAAGACTTCAGAGAAACCTGGTAAAACTTATAAGAACTGATGCAGAATGAAGAAAGCAAAAGAACAAAGACAATGACTATAATACTGTAAAAAAAAAAAAAAAAAGGACAGCTGAACTCATCAAATGCAATGATGAATCTTGGTCCCCGAGAAAAGAAGATTAAATATAATTCCTTGCTCTCAGTAGAGGTGGGACATTATAGGTGAGGAATGTTATATATTCTGTCAGAGGTGTATGTGTGTGCAGGTGCGCACATGCTGTCAAACAGTGTCAGTCACTGTAAATCAGTTTGGCTTAACTGCTCTTCTTTGTTACAAGGGAGGGTTCTATTGAGTATACTGGGAAATGATTGGTAAAATACAAAAAACTAACAAAATATTTTTTAAGTACATAAAAGTCTTTAAGATAAAAAGAGAAAGTATGTGACTACTATAGTATGCTGAAGACTACAAAGAACATATTGATATACCCAAATAATCCACAAACTTGTAAGGAAGCATATTTCTTCTATCTAAACTCAAGTTTGAAATAAATACCATCATGACAGCCTCCTGAAGCTGGAAACACTATTAGCAGTAACTGTTTACTTTCTTTCTTCAAACCAATGTTATAACAGCAACCAACTGTTATCTTAAATCCTAAAGACAAGTTTAGCTTTTAAACATATTACAAAAACACTGGAAGAAACAAAACAGATCATTTTTTCTTTTTTTAAACAATGTATATAAAGTTCTATTCCACTGACCTGTCACCATAAGGATATGCTTCTTTCCTGTAATAATCATGTTCAGTATCATACCAATACCTTCGGTCATAGCTCCTGGGGTCTCTAAACCTGTGATCATACTGATACCGTTCCCAGCGATTTGTATCTACATGTACAAAATAAAGATTAGTATAGTAATATGAGCAAGTTATTGATCTATCTATAGCCATTTACAATAAGTATACTAATTAACATCATTTTCATGATTTTTATACAATATATTTTTGCTGTCAGCTTTTATTTTTTTCCTTCTTGCTCGCCACAACCCACAGAGTTTTATAAGACTTTAGATAGAAACAGTAACAAAGAAAAGGGCATATCAACTTTCCTAACAATTCTGAAACCACAGACAAGGAACTAAAGACCTTCAGAGGAGTGCAATTTTCATCACTGCAGTCAGCTGAAAGCAAGTGCTTCAGAAAAGAAAGGCAGATTTGGGAAATGAACAAGGTTTAAGAACAAGATGTCTGAGAACAGGCATTGGAATTCTGGTTGACAGCAAAAGATAGGAGTGACAGGATCTTACGTACCTAATAAGTCAAGTAAAAATATATTTGCCTCAAGTGTTATAGATCTCATGAGAAAGGCTTTGAAAAGCGAAAAGAACTGCCTTTATCCATCCACCCCAAGAGGATAACATAGTAGCTACGATGTAGAAAGAAGAGCAATAAATAGTAAAGATGCTAGAAATTCATAGGAGAAAATGCTTAAGAAAGGAGTCAGCAGCCATGCATATGGCCTCAAATGTCTACATACAAATGAGCATATGGTAACAAATCAACAAGAACTAGAGATACTATCGAAGAGAGAAAATTTGACATTGCTGTGATTTGGTGGAAATGGGGTTGATGACTAGAATATGGTTCCTTAAGGATATATTTCATTCAAAAGGATTAAAATAAGTAAACAAAAAAGGTCGGATAGAATGGTCAGGATAGAAACATTTATTAAGCATCTACTATGTGCCAGACACTGTGCTAGGCATTTTATAATTATCTCATTTAACCCTCACATCAAACCTGGGAGGAAGTATTTTTATTCCCATTTTACAGTTGAGGGAACTGAGCAAAACAAAGGTGAAGTGACTTGCCCAGGGCCATCTAGCTAGTAAGCATGAGACCAAATTTGAATTATGGTTTTCCTGACTCCAGGCCCAGTGAGCTATCCATTGTACCACCAGCTGCCTCTGCTACAGAGTAGCACTGTACATTAAGATGTACTCATGTAAATAAATAAAGAGGGGTAGAACGGATGACTAGACAGGTGGGGAAATGGTACACCCTCCTGACTGGATCTGTAACTCCTATCTTGAAACTGTACCAATTTGAGAGAGCCTAGTTAACTGCCAAGCTCCTGTATATATACTACCAACCTCTACCAAGTCTTGCTTTAGGAAAAGCAATACTACTTTTGCTTCTGAAAAGGATTCAAACTCATCCATGTTCATCATTCTATTATCCCATGGCTCCACTCACAGTCCTAGTGCCTTCAACTACTCCCATGCATGTTGTCTCTCCCTATTAGAATATAAGTTCCTTAGAAGTAGGGACATTATCTCTTTTGTATTTGCATTCCAAATGCTTAGCACAGTGCCTGGCACATAAATGTTAATAGATAACTTTTTCAATAAATTTTGCTATTCTTATCAACACGATGGAAAAATGTGGGCTACAAGATAGTACAGTTAGGCACATTCAAAACTTCTTGAATGTACTTGATCCCAAAAAATAATTATTAATTTCAACTTGGAAAGAAACTTCTACTGGAAAGACTTAAGAGATCTGTGCTTGGCACTGAGCTCTTTAACATTTCTATCAATGACTTAGATAAAGGCACAGATGGCAAGCTTAACAAAATCTCAGATTTTGATACAAGGCTAGGAAGGATAGTTAATGTAATGGATGACAGAGTCAAGATCTAAAGTTATCTAAAGCGGGGGGGGGAATAAGCATTTATATAGAGCCTACTATGTGGCAGGCACTGTGCTAAGCACTTTACATATATTATCTCATTTGATCCTCACAACAACCCTATGAGGTAGGTTTCCCAAACAGGAAAGAAGGTTGGGTCAAATCTAATAAAATTAAACTTAATACTGAGAAATACAAAGACTTAAACCTGGGCTTAAAAAATTAACATTACAAATTTAAAATGATGAAGCCAAAGCTAAATAGCAACTAATCTGAAAAAAGGTCTGGGAATTTTAGTGGACAGCAAGTTGAATATGAATCAGTAAGTGATATATGGCAGCCAAAAAAGCTAATTCTCTATTTATTTGACTAGCTCTGGGATTTCATAAGTATGAGAGTATCTAATAAGGAACTCTCTCTTTCAAATGAAGATCAGTGCCTTCAGTGAAATTTCTAGTCTTAAGAGAGTCACCCTGGCATAGTAAAACCAGAGTCACACAGTCAGCATATGGCAAAGGTGAGACTTGAACCCAGGTTTTTCTGCCTCCAATACTAGTTCTCTATGAACTACACAGACTCTCTCTCAAATTCTATCTTGGGCTGCATTAAAAAAAGGCAAAGTATCTAGGACCAGAGAGGTAACATCCTTCACCCTGCTAGGTCCTGGTCTGATCATTTCTGGAATATTCTGTTCAATTGTGGGCACATCTTAGGAAAGATGTTGGTAAGTGGAGCCTATCCAGAAGATTGCACCTAAGACACTGAAGGGCCTTGAAATCATGCCACATGAAGATCAGATGGAAGAACTAGGAATGTTTAGCCTGAAGAAAAGACTTAAGAAGGACATGATAAATGTCTAAGTATCTCAAGAGATGTCATGAGGAAGAAGAATTAACATGTGTTCTGCTTGCCCTCAAAGAAGATGAATTAGAACAACAGAAGAAAAGGTGCATAAGAATAGATATCAGCTTGATGTAAGTAAAAAACTTCATAACAATTAAAGCTGCACAAAAGTGGAATGGGATACCTAGGAAATGTGTCAAAGATTAAAGGACTACTTATTGGGGTTTTTTTTTGCAGAGTTTATTCTTATTCAGGTATGGGTTGAATTATTTTAAACAGGTGAAATTACTCTGAAATCTTTTCCAATCCTGAAATTCACTGATAGTTTTTTTTTTTAGCATATATATGCATATGTATGTGTGTATGCATGTATGTATGCATGTATTTTCCCCTATAAAACTATACAAAATTAACATTTAAATCCCCCAAACACAATAAACCAACTCCAGATGAGTCTACAGTATTTGGCTGACAGCAAAATATACTAATAATAATAAAAAATCTTTGGGAATCACAGGAAATCCAACCAGAGCTGACTATACTATAGAAGCAATCAAATCTGCAAGTATGAGAGGCATAAGTTAAGAGCCACATCAGCATTTCCCAATGTTTTTAACTGGAACACTCTGAGAACGGATAAACAATTAGGTTTGGGAAAGCAGACGTAAGAGTCCAGAATGTTTACAACTATCAACTGACCACCAAAGATGATTGCTAAAATCACATAAGTACATTAATGCTATATAAAATAAAGTAAAATCATGTATGTGTATATGTTTGTGTGTGTGTGTATGTATAAACCCACACACATTACATATAAAATTTCCCCCATTTTCAGGTAATGAAAGAGGCTTAGCTTGCTGATGGTTATACAATCATTATTTATTACATTCAGGATTTGAACCCAGCCCTTTTCATCACATAACTACTTTCTTCATTTACAAATGTGATTACTTTAAATGAACTCTTCTACTAGATCAAAACCCAAAGAAGAGGATGTAACAAACCGGAAAGTTCCAAACAAAATCATCCCATTAGTATTGCTTAGGATATTATTTATCTTTGGACAATAACTACTCCACCCCCTGCAAAAAGCATCTGTTAAAGACCGTGATAATTTCTAAATATACCTCCATAATCATACTGGCCGGAGTAATAATTTGCATAGTAATCACTATGACTGCTCCATCCACCTTTGGAAGCATAATATCCTTCAGGATACCCCTGTCTGAAAAACATCAAATATGGTACTATTAATATTTTTTTCTTAAAGCATGACAAGATATCAGTTAAAACAACCTGTGCTCACATCAACAAGCCAGAATTATAGCTATTTAAGATGTTAATTATGAAGTAAGGGACAGGAATGCTGATGCAAATTTACTAAATATCCAATACATTACTGATTCAACTTCATCTCAGGTCAAGAATTGTCATGTAACAGCCATTTAATGTGAAAATAATGGTCTTTACCTGTTCTTGGGGCTCACACCATACAAAACAAAGCAAAGACAAGCTCTAACCAGAGTACGTGCTACCAATTCCAGTAAAAGAAAAAAGTAACTGGGCTATTAAAATCAATTTTTAATTACTAAAGATGCCTACTCTTGCTCAAAGTTTAATCATATTTTCAGAGTTTTATCATACTGCTTGCCTTACATCTATGTAAGAGTTATAGCTGTGTTTTATCTTAACCAACTAGATATACAAATCCGAACTTACAAAACAGATAAGACAATTATTTACATCACAAAATAAATCTTGCTTTTCCAAAGATTTTACAACAGCTTTCCTGTAAGTTGTAATTTCCCCTGTTATATTTCTGACAGGATTTAGTTTATCTAAATTTACACAGACCTCTTTAGGACTAAATGTATCCTACCACATAAAAGTGAGTACTCTGGTACATGCAAATACATATGTTGCAGTTAATGTCTAATGTAAACTGAAATGAACAGTTTCATTTAGATTAGATCAAATCATCTAATGAAGGTACATTCACAACCCAAGGTGGTGGTTGAGTTCGGTGCTTGAGTTATAATGAACCTAGAATGCTTCCCAAACTAATATTGGACAGTAATTGTGACATACTCTGTGTGTTTATTTTAAAGAGATGGGGTAAGGGCAGCAGTGGAATCACCCTAAAGAGCTGTCTTCTTCTAGGCTATCACTTAGAAGAATAAGATGAGAGCAAATCACGGTTATAGTTACAAAAGCATTCTACCTTCTCTCACCTTTTCTTTGGCTAGATTGTTTTTTTCAGTGTCATTGCCATCTTCAGCTTCTTGTAATTAATACTTATGTTAATCTGTAGACTGGTAAGCAGAAAGAAAACTGGAAAGGCTAGAAGGACCTTACTTGCCTAACCTTCCTTGTCTCTCCAACCTCTAAGGAATTCAAGAAACAAGTGCTCATTTGCTTCAAATTTCAGCACCCAAGGTTAACCTATGCTTTCTACATGGTAAGGTAGAAATCCATGGAATCTAGAGTACTAATGTCTTAATATTCAAAGCTTCACAAAAAGACTTTTTTTTAAAAGGGAGAATGTAATTGTCATTGTGCTTTATAAAGAATAACTGCCTTTTAAAATATCTAACTGTGTATCTTACAATAACAGATACACAAGGTAGCCAAATAGAGGAAAGGCAAGGAGATAGTTTTTCTCTTCAGAAAAAATATTTAAAAATTCACTATGAAATACATAATTCTGTTGAAATGACTATTAATGCCATTAAAGATTAAGTTTCTCAGCATCATAGAGAACTTTTATAACCAGAAAGCAAAATATAAGTTTAAACACCTTATATAATAATATCTACATGAAGTCCAATAATGTTTCTATTCTGACACTGAACAGTCACAAGTACGGGACTTGACAATGGAAAGACAATTTAAATATAGTTGACAGTATCCATATACTCTTACTACTTTTTTCTCTCTGACCACTAACTATAGTACAAATGAAATAGGAAGAAAAATCGTTCTCCATTTCAAAAGAAACCTGCTCTCTGCAATGTAAAACTGCTTTCATAGATTTTGTAAAATCTAAGTTGAAAAAAATGTGATAAATCACGTAATCCATCCCCCTAATCTTACAGAAGAAGAAGTATCTGGCTTAAAATCTTATTCAGGTGAAAGCATAACAGAGGTAGTTGTAAACAGACACACAATAAAATGTAATAGACTAATGAGATAGATCCTCATTTCAGATTCTATGAGTCTATCCTGATCTCTTGTTATATATAGTGTTACTACCGGATGGCATGGTCCAATCAGCTATCAAAAATTAACAATGCTACTAACTGGCTGAAATCTTATGTCTAATATTCAAGTAAGTTTTCCATAGCCAATGCTACCTTAGTTCAAAAAAGCAAAAGGAGGACTGGCCAGGATGCAGGTTAAATTTATGTGTTAAATGTCGGAAAGAAAGAAAACGGCAAACAAAAAGGCAAAAACAAAAAGGAGCTACAGCAAAGGAAACAAAAGATTCCTCTTTCAAGGACATAATTTCTAAAGGAAATAATTTAAAGAGAAAGATTTTATCTTCTAGTACATATGGGAAGGGGTTTAGAACAGAATCCATGGATGCTATTTTTCCTATGTAAAGTTACAGAATATATATGTGTGTGTATACACACATATGTACAATTACATAATAGGATTTTTGTACTTTTACACTGTCTCAGAGTATGCAAATTAACATTTCATTTTAAGTTGTAACCTTTTTCATAACATATATATAACTAATGTCAACATTATTAGTCTATACAGAGCTACAAGTAATACACAGCAATATTCACTCAGAAAGAATACAACAAAGTCCATGTCCTCAAGAGGGAAATGGAATGGATTACTATAGTTACTAAAATCATTGCCATTTTGAGAAGGAAAGATGTTGGGTTTTTTCTCTATTTAATGTCCCCACCCCACCCCACCCCCCACACAAAAAGGGCTGTAGTTTTCCATACCAACTAAACTTGCTCTTGAGATTTGTTCAGGAGCCCTGGGTGACCAGCTTTGCCAAAAATAAAAGGAAGAGTATTTAAGCACTTCTTTATTTTCTTCCATCATTTTTTCTAAGACTTCTCAACCTTCTCAACTATAGGGGAAATTATTTGCTGGGTTTGTCTGCAACAGGAAGCAGCAGCAGAAGCAATTTCCTTAGTATCTCTCTGAAATGGGGGAAAAAAACCTCTTTAAAAAGAGGGACAGGGGAAGGGAAGTGATAGGAGATTATACACAGATTTCTTCACTGGTCCTGTCCAGGAGCCTGCTCTACCGCAGTTCACAACTTAGAATATGAGGTTAAATTACACTAAAATTGGCCCTACAATTTTTAGTGACTTTTAAGTGAACAGTTAAACATTGTTCTTAACACATTAAAATCAAATATGAGTTAATCCTACAATTTATTTTGAATATTTATAGCAAATTTACATTTGCTGATTTATGACATTTAGACTAGTTGCCTAATGTACATAGTAGACATTGCCCAAATCACTAAATTAGCACCATTTAAAAACAGAATATACTAAACTAGAAGAAATTATATTTCCATACCTGGAAGATGGTCGATCTGAGCAGTGACTAGCTCTGGAACTTGGACGCTCTGGCTCAGCATATCTATAGTTTTCAGCATAAGCAACACTTTTATCATAATGTCTATAACGAGGGTCATATGGGCCATAGGCATCCTCCTAGGAAAGAGGAAGTCTATAAGACTTTTTAAGTTTATAAATTATATTAAATAAATAAATTAGTATGGTTAGTTTGAATAAAAACCTTTTCCTAAAACAGTAGAAGTGAATTTGGTGTTTTGAACAATCACCATAAAAAGTGATACTAATGAAAATATCTAGCAGTAGAACTTTCTCTAATAGCACCAACAACAACTACACATGTTCACTAAATATATAAATCTCGTTCAAAGACCACCAAGAGAAAACACCAATTCTACCTGTGGCTAACTCTGGCATGGAACCATTAGGCCTCTTCCTCAGCTATAAAAGTCTAAGATTCCATGGTTCTAATTATTAGTGACTTCTATTTCACAGACATTCTTCTAGCAATTAAATGAATAATAGTATTTACCTGGATGCTCTAGAACTAAATTAAAAGTTATGAGAGCTGGTTATACATTATTCTGTTCTTATATGGCTTCCTCAAGGCAGGTCAAAGAATCTCAAAGTTCTCTATAAGTAAATCCAATAATAATAACATCTGATTAAGTGTTATAACTCATAGACTGAGGTTCTGAGGCAAGAAAGAAATGAAATGATCTGAAGTGAATCTTAAAGAAAGACCTGTATTAGAAAGTTGGGCTACAAAGAAGTTGGGCCACAAAGACTATTCAACTCAAAAATGCCAAAATCTTCTCTACCTCAAATCCTTTCTTCCTATATAATCAGCCATACATGGTTGTGGAAAGTATACCAGACCATGATCTGAGAAACCTGCATTTGTATTCCAGTCTTGACACCAACTAGCTTTGTGACTTAGAAGTTACTTCATCTGTCTTGAGCTGAGTTTCCTCATCTGTAAAAGGGAAGGTGGGGGAGGAGGAAAAGGGGCTGGTAAAGGAAAAGGTCTTGAACTATATGATCTCTAAGGTCATGGAGCTAAAGTTCTATGATTCTAGGTTTATTTTCTTCATTACGCAAATAAGCTAATTTTTGTGTCTGAACACAAAATCTTCATTACAAATTTCACTTCAGTCTCCACTGAAGGCTAGCTCTAGCACCTCCACAGAAGTAGGCCACAAGTGACCCACAAGGTTCTTGAAGGTTACACTAAGAAAGCGTAAGCTCTGGGTAGGTTTTATTGACCTAGAAAGGCCTCATGTATGCGTCCCCGGGGAACTGTCTAAGAAAAAGAGAAGTCAAGTTCAGAGAAACTTAGCACCATAGTTTTAGCCACTAGGTGAGAAATGTTTTTGACCTTGGCAAATCATCAAGACTACCTACTAAATGTAGAAGAGGCCGTAATCTGCATCCATGGAGAGAACCCACATATGATGAAATCACAGATCTCTGAGGCACTTAAGTAATATTACTAAGCGTAGAAACAGCAATACTTTCTCTTACCTGTTAGTTTTAATTAATATTAAAGAAAAGTTTATACTCATCATTTTTCTTGGCTATGATTCCACTGAGTTTAATAAAATATTTTTCCTAAAGACTTCTACCCTGATGATGTTAAAATGATTCTAAAGTTTCTTACACTGGTCTTTATAGGAAAAATTAGAGCAAAGCTTCATAAGTCTATACATCGGTTATCATCTAATTCAATACAACATATATCTTGATCGTGGATCCAAATATCAAAACAAAAACTATGAACAATAAGATAGTTACGAATACAGATTAGTTAAAAAGCAGTGACACTTACCGGGTAATAAAGGGAAGCTGTTCTAGGATCTGAAGGATAGGGTGGTGGATACTGAGGTTGGTAGGTATCATAAAGATGCCTGTAATAGTAGTAAGCCGACAGGTTCTGAGGCGGACCAAAAGCATTCTGAGGAGTCTGTGATGGTGGCCACTGCTGCTCTTGCTGACTAGCTGGTTGGCTAAAGTGGGCTGAGGTTGCTGGAATACTAGATGACTGTGAGAGCTGTTGCTGCTCCACCTTACCCTGGCTTGGGAGCTGGGGTGAATTTCCTGATGGTAACAAATCAGGTTGCTTTCCAGAGTTTGAAGAATCAGATACTGTCTTGGGCACCTGAGCAGCTGGTGACCCTTGTTGCTGAGGAGGTAAGGCCTCTGGCTGGGATTTATCAAGAGCAATCTGGTGCTGTACATCTTTTGTTACCTGTTGGTAGAAATGTTCTTTATCATGCAATTCAGGCCCAGGCTGACTTTTATGATTAGTGATGGCTTGGTGAGAAAAAGTTGGACCACTAGCATGTGATGTATTATGTGCTTGCACAGAATTGTCTGTACTGTGACTTTCCAGAGTCCGGCTCAGTGTAAAATCAAGTGCTCCAGAGGTTTCCTCCTGATAATTGGTGAGATTTGCTTTATTAGCATGGGGTATTAGGGTGCTGTTCACTGGTGGAACTAACATTACACCGGTGTTTCCAGTAGGGAGATTAGACCCCGGAGAAGCAGACAAATTAACCACTGGTTTAATGGCAAATTCAGAAGGAACACTTTCTGAATTCTGATTTTTTTGATATTCTGGAACCAAGTTAAGTGGCATCTGATGAGATGGTGGTTGAACTAGTAAATTGGGAGATTGATTAGAAACCATTTCAGAAGTGGTACCAGGACTTTGTGAAAAATTAGTATGGGAATGATTGGTAGGTAATGGTGAATTAACAGGAGATGTAGCTTGAGTCCCAGACAAGGGAATGCTTTCCCCAGGTACGCCAACACACAGAGGCTGACTACTTGGGGCAGACTTGTCCCCCACTGCAGGATCTTTGCAAGAACGATTATTTTCATTATGATTTAACTGATTAGACAAGGAAACAGAAAAATTTATGGGCTGGGTCAAATTACAGCTCTGATTAGGCTGGGCAATCAAGATTGGTTGATTTTGTAAAGATTCAGTGGGTGGTGAGGACAATAAACTTGCATAACCAGAACTTGCCTGAGACTGAAGGGCCTCCTCTTCTCCCATTTTGGGAGGGTTCTCAAGATTTTCAGAGGATACATTGCCATCCTGAGGGGTATGCATAGGAATAGAGCCTGGTTTACATGGCTGCAGACTGGATAATCCCTCATCTGGAGGCTGAATAATTTCAGAAGCCTGTGTTTTAGCAGGTACACAAAGTGCAGGAGCAGCTGGTGCGAGGAGGACATTTCCTCCAAAGTTAGGTAGTTCATTCTGTGCCCACAAAGTAGTTGCAGGGCTCTCACACTTTTTAGTGGTAACTTGAGGCCTTGAGGGTCGTTTTTCAGATGCCATGGGCACGTTTTCCAAAAGACCTCCCCCGCCATGAGGAAGCACATTAACAGTTTCATCAGTTGTTGCAAGAGGCAAAGGATGTGCATGTGGGGTAAAGAATGTTTCCATGTTGTCTGGAGGTTGTTCCAGATTACCTGGTGAAGCAGCCGGTACCGTAACAGTTGGTTTACTGTTGTTCCGCTTGGAATGGTTCTTTCTCAGTTCACCTACCACGTTTGCTCGGTCTGCCTCAACAGGTTTTACCCCAACTCCATGGGACCTTACAGGTTCAAAAGAACTATTTGCACTTGTCTGAAATATCCCTGTCGGTTTAGGAGGGCTTGGAGTTGGAGGCTGGGAGAGACTGCTATGATAATTCTTGTTTATATTATCATTTGTCTCTCCTACTAAAGGAGAAGAATCAATCTGCTTAAAGAAACTATCTGAAGTCTCTTCATTAGGCTTCCCAACTTCTTGCTGAATAAATGTGCCCACTGATTCTTGGGGTCTTGTTGAACTAGAAATACTCCTATGACTCACACTACTATAGCTGGAGGATACACTATCAGATCGGACTGGATGAGGTATTGAATCAGGTGCTTCTAGATTTGGTCCTCCTTCAGCATAACTTACAATACTGTGCTTTGAAACAGACTGCCCTGGGAGTGGCCCATATCTGAACTGATCATTTGAAGAGGAAGGATTCAAATTTGGGGGTTCACTTGGTGGAACTTCTTGATTCTGAATGCATTCTAAGTTCTCAACATTTTCATACTGTGAGCCAATGGCACCACAAGTTTTAACAGTACAAGCCTTGTCTTCATTAACATAAATGTCACAGTTTTTAGTGGTTTGTTTATCATGTTGGTTACTTGTAGATTGAGAAAAGTATTGCTGGGCCTCTATTCCCTGTTGAGCAGACTCATTAGCTGAACCTTTATGAACTGATGCCTGAAAAGGGACACTTGCTCCAACCGGCATAGGATGAGGAAGGTGATGGCCTCCATGTCCAGAATCTGGCAGAAAGCCATCAAAGTCAGACTTAACAGTAGTGTCGGCTTTTTCTGAAGAAAGATTTTCCTCATTTTCTGCCTCTTCCCCTTTGAAAAACATTGTGATAGTTCCTGAATTTGCTTCTGGGAGTACATGACTGGTTACAGCCTCAGTTCTATACTGTGGTTGGTTTTCTAAGCTATTTCCCTGAGCAATGGGATTAATTAGAGTAAGGTCTGGTAATTGCTGTTTACTCACTCCTAGATTCTGCCTAAAATCCTGACTGGGCCAACTACTATTAACTCCTGGATTTTGCCTAAACATATTTTCAGGCTGAAAGTTATTTGCTGTGTAGTTGTTACTCTGAGAAGGGACCATCTCATTCCTTTCGTTGCCAACCAAGGGTCCTGATGTAGAAACTAATGGAACATGTTGCTGATGTCCAGGAACTTGATGCATATTTGCTTGAGGAAGAAAATGAGAACTACCAGAAGCAAGAGAAACTGCATTCTGAGAAGGTGGTTCAATGTATGGTGAGTAATTCTGAACTGAAGACTGTGGACTTCCTTGAACTGGTCTCCACTGAACTGGGGTTTGCTGATGAGGTTGAGGAAAGAATGATGCTGTAGTGCCACCATTTGGATCTTGCCGACTTAGTGGCCTACAAGGCAGAGGCACACCACTCTGAAGATGTTCCCCAAAAGAATTTTCAAGTCCTGCTCCAGGATTGTAATGTGAAGGAACAGATGAAGCCTGAATTCCAGGTTCTGCAGTTGGATGAATTTCTGTACTACTATTCATAACATGTCCAGGCAGCACAGCAGGAGCCAATATATTTGTAAACGAGTCAGTATTTACTCCAGGTTGTGATACAGGCCCAGACAAAGATGTATAAGGTCCTTGCGAATTATCCCCTGCATGGGTATGAGGTACATGCATACCAGGTGGCTGAGAAAATATTGGTGGGGAAGGACCTTGCATAACAAGTGAGTTGCCTTTGGACGGATTGCCTAATGCTGTTCCTTGTGGAGTCTGTCTGCCAAATGCGAAAGGATCTGTTACAGGTTGCACTGGGCCAGCTACAGTGGTCACTGGTGCATTAGCCCGCCTGCTAAATGGGCTGTTAGACCAATACATATTACGAGGACCTCCTACCGGAGGTGGTCCACCAGTTCCAGAAGGAACGGTCTGAGGTGGTGGCTGCATCATTCACTTCTTGCCAAGTCAGTCTTGCAAAGTCAGATGCTTTTTGCCCAAAGAAGCTGAAGACAGGTTCTCCTTAAGCTAGAAATAGAAATTTTAAAGAAATACAAAAAGTTAAAATGACTAATGTATATTCAAAGAACACTTTATGAAAAAGTTCTTAAAATTGTTTTAATTCATTTATGGACTTAGAAATACAACAGTGCTAGGAACAAAACTTTTTACACTTGCTTTATTATTATCCCCATACTAGCTTCACGAAAATGACAATCTATTTGACTTGTTTAACAATAGGTTGAGGACCAACAAAACTAAAGTACATCACCATATGGAATGGGATTTTTCTATTTTTAAGAATGATTTTTAAAAGAAATAAACAGAAAACTCTCCATTACTCCAACTTTACAATCAAAAGGAAATGAGGTAAACTTAATTATGTTTTCAACTAAAAGGTCCTTTATACCATGATGTAAAGTGTCTCATTCTCTTAATAACAGCTTTTAACAGCTAGCATTTACACTTTTGCAAATCACTTTACAAATATTATTTCATGTTAACCTTATGACAACCCTAGGAGGAAGGTACTATTTTTTTTTAGGCAATAGGGGTTAAGTGACTTGCGCAGGGTCACACAGCTAGTAAGTGTCAAGTGTTTGGTCTGAGGCTGCATTTGAACTCAGGTCCTCCTGACTTCAGGGCTGGTGCTCTATCCACTTTGCCACCTAGCTGCCCCAAGAAGGTACTATTATTATCCTCATTTTACAAATAAGGAAATAGAAGAAAATTTAGATTAATTAATCTGCCCAAGGTCACACAACTACTAAATCTCTGGGGCATGATTTGAACTCAGGTATTTCTGATGGTAAGTCTAATACACTGTACCATCAGCATAAGTGGATAGCTGATGGTTCTAAATCTACCCTGTAACAAAACAAGCCTTATAATATGTATTGGTCTTAACAGCCAAAATAATTGCAGGCAACACTGCTTAAAATAAAAACCCTTGGCTAAAAAAAAGGTGAAAACTGAACACAATCTTAATGCAGCATCTAAATATCAACCTAAAGTCCCAATTTATAAATTTCCAAAATTGGCAGCATGTCAATAAACTTCCTACAGAAAACAAGAGAGGAGAAAAAAAGTCCATATAATGTGCAACACACTAAGTTCTAACTGGAAGCAATCCATAATTTAAGAAAACTGCTTACATACATAATATTAGTTGCATACTTATCTCAGCTAAGGGTCTTTATTTTTTATTTATTAATTATTAATGCTCTTGTTTTTAAAAAAAAAAACCAGTTTATCTAATCAAATAAATATAGGTACTTTAGTGAAAACCCTCTAAGGAAATATATATATGAAAACCCCCAAACATTATTATTATATAATTTTGACCTTCATAATTTGTCGTACACACTTCAGTCCACGTACTTACTCTACTTTTCCTAAATACTGATTCTGATAAATCCTTTACTCCTTTTATACAGTTCATTTCCCTCCCCCCAGTGTTTAACACTGAGTCTAGCACATAGTAGGAGCTTAATAAATGCCTACTGACTGATTTATTTCAAGGTAAACTAGAACCATATCAAAGCAAATGAGAAAATCGACAACTCGGCTTTATATTGCTTGATGGTAGCACAAACGAAGAACCTTTCTCAGATTTGTGAAATGATGGCTTAGAATTCTATCCAACTCAAACTATAGCCTCATGATTTCAATTAATGAAGATGCATTCCAAAAACAAAATGTGTTAGCAGAAATTTTTGTCAATCAGTCACCTAGCATTTACTAAGTGCCTCCTATGTGCCAGGCACTATGTTTTAAGTGCTGGGGATACAAGGAAAGACAAAACACAACCTTACTCTCAAGGAGCTTACTAGTCTAATTTGTTACTAGAAGTAAATATGACAGAGGGGACAGAGGAAATGTGTTTCGGGACAAGGATTCCCTCACCACCTCTGCCGCTTCAAAACTCTATTCCTATAGTACGGAAGCTAGGGCTTCATCCCACTATCTCTATGCCTAACTTCATTAAGAGGAGCTCTGTCCCCAGAGATTTATTAATCCAAATGAACCATCTGGTGTATCAGAAAGAGCACTAGATTGAAAGTTAAAGACCTGCATTCTATCCTTGTTTCTATCTTAGACCTTCATTTCCCTTCTCTAGGGAGAATAAGGAAGTGAACGGGGGGTGGTTGTCTGAGTCTATAAATCTAAAGATGATCCTCCCTTAAGTTCAGATTCTAAGGTAAGAACCCAAACTATTACCTTATAAAACAAATCTTATCTGAATTCCATTCTGAGGTTTTTATGTTTTCACTTAAATCTTTCCCCTATTTTTAAAAGAAATAAGGGGTCTTCCAAATTTTACAGGCTATGCTAGCTTAGAAATACTTTATAAAGTAAAAAAGAAAACTACTTACCCACAAACGTTTTCCCTCTCAACAGTTTTTTTTTTTAGCACTACGACAGGTGACAATACTCAACTTTACCCCAAACCACCCCCAATTTGAACATTCTACTCTTCTACTGAACATTCCTTCCTCTTTTAAATAGTACAACAATGCACATAAGCATTTAATTTATTACTAATAAGTATGGCACTTTATTTAGTAGGAAATTTTACATTTAATACAATTATTATGCAACTTCAACTCAACTTACCTTTACAAAGGCAAAAAGACTGTTTCAAAGAAACTAACATCTTCTCACAGATAAATTACTCATAAGCTGATCTCTTCAATTAAGCTGAATTATGTCTATGTTAAATACCCTTGCGCTCTATTTTCTGCACAAATGCCTAAACTAAGGCATTCCTTATCACCAAAACTAAGCATTTATAAAATAGGTGCTCTTAAAAATGTTTTAGGCTATGAGAAGCATTTAAATACAAGCGTCAAGGAAACTCCTAAACTCTTACTGTCTGTCTATATCCTACCTTTGTGTTTGTGTGACTACTCTCTTTAAATAACTTCGGCAGTAGGGAAGAATGCAGATATATGGAAACCACACACTAAATTCTACGTTTGGCTGGAAAGAAATCAACCCACCTAAATACGAAAGACTCAAAGATCTTTTTCTATTTCTTTGAAAGGTTTTTACATAGTCAGGGACTAACTTACAAACAACCTTATTTTTAAGGCTTTTCAGTGGAATTTAAAGAAATGCTGTTTATAACACAAAGAATTGCTGAAGTGATTCAGTCAATAATAAAAGACATAAAGCATTACTTTGCCCTCTGACTTCTTTGCAACATGACATTGTCCTCATTACCAAAGATGGAACAATAAAAAATAGTGCACAAAGTCAAGATAAAGTTGGAATGTACAAAAATAATTCTGAAATAATAACCACACACCAAATGACTGTGAGTTGATGTACTTGCTATCCAGCAACATCCCAAGATAAGAAATGTTCTTCCTAACACCCAGGGTCATACATATTTAAAAAGAAAAGTCAACTAGCAACACACATCCAATCTAACAAGCAGTTTAAAATTTTAAAGTATCATACTGCACCAAATGATCTCTAAGTTCAGACACAAAGTTTCTCCTGTAAATGTTTTTGGGAAAAGAGATAACTTAAATTCCTCTTATAATAAACTTGTTAAAAATACAGCTGAAATTTCCCCTGAAGGAATATAATGGCCACCTCTGAAAGGAAAAAAAAACAAAGCACCTGTCATATCCAAGAGTAAATGCCAAAATAAAACCATACCTAAGGAAACCCTTTCTCAAGCAGCAATGGGACAAAACATTCATCTACTGAAGCACCTCAGGGCAGAGACCAAGGAGACTAGAAATCAGAATTCTACAGTTTCTCCTAATAAAAGGTTTCAGGTTTCTTCTAAGAAGTGAATCTAAATCTTTTTTTTTAAAGCAATTTATCAAAAAACTGAATACACAGAAGATTGTCAAAAAGACTACAAGAAATCTTTAGCAAGTTTAACCACTTGTCCAAGAACCTTCAGATACTGTCAATTTAGCCTGTAGCTAAACGAACAGACCAAATTCTTTTAATTTAAACTCAGCTCTGGAGTGTTTTTATGACCGGTGGCCCACATTCAACCAGTCATGACACTACATCTGTTGATGTGAAAAAAATCTCCAGCAGCTCAAACTCCATCAGGCAGTTTGAAAAGTACAAACTATAAGGGTAAGCAAAGTCATGCTAAGATGTACTGTACTAAAATTCCTAAACCTAGTTTTATCTTCAGCAGCACATCCCTCCATTACATGGGCTGGTAATGGAGCCCCCGATATTCAAGTATTGATCCTCAATAATCATGCCAAAATAAAGATCCTAAATGACTTAAAGAAAAATCACCCATCACAGGAATGCTACTGAGTTCCAAGCTTTACACAAAGGAGGTGGGGCAGTTGTAGGGAAGCAATTCAGAATGCATGCCCCGACCCACCCCCCAACCCCTTCCCATCCCTGAAAGAATCTCCCCTTCACTGTTAATAAATTATTGCTAAATTAACTCATACCCCTCCCTCCCTCCCTATTTTTCTTCCCAAAACATTCTCCTCCCTATAATTGTAATCTGCTCCCCACCTCAGTCTGGTGAATTTTCCAACCAGCTACTTCTTCAGTACTATCCTTACCCAAAATGCCTTCCCCTAATTGTTATATCCTAAAGGAACTTTCCTTTGGATCAGCAAAACATCTCAATTCAATTCCACATTTCTTAAGCCCAGAAAGGCACTAAGACAGCAGGCTTCAAAAAAGAACCCTGCGGGGCAGCTAGGTGGTGCGTAGATAGAATACCGGCCCTGGAGTCAGGAGGACCCGAGTTCAAATCTGGCCTCGGACACATAACACTCACTCACCGTGTGACTCTGGGCAAATCACTTAACCCCAACTGCCTCGGTTTAAAAAAAAAAAAAAAAAAAAGCCCTGAACTGGGATTTAGGAGACCTGAGTTCTAGTCTAGGTCTGCTTCTAGCTATGTGACTGTAATTCAATTCAAATTCAGTTCAAATTTGACAGCCAAACATGGCTGTCAAACTCTGAAAATAAATGACCAAAGAGTCACAGGAGTTATGCAACTGCTGTTAACTCTGAGAAATACCAAAGAGCACACAGAGGTAATACCCCAATTGTTAATTCTGAAAAATAAATTAAGTCATTTCAGTTCAAATTCCTTGACCTGGCATTCAAGGTTCTCCATAATTGGGCACCACCTTACTCTTCAGCCCTTATCTCATGTAGTGTGAGCACACGGCCCTCTAACCAAATAAATAGAATCTCTACTAAAATACAGACTTCTCAAGCTTCTATGCAGTTGTTTTATTCCATATACCTAGAATGTGCTCCCTGCCTCTCAACCTCTTAAATTTTTATTCATCCTTTAAAGCTTTCCCTGGTGTCCTAATCAATTACCTCTCTATTTAGTCCTTATTCAGCACTGTTTTGTACCTGTTCATTGTTTATTACCTTATCTGTGCTTGGACTATACTACTACACTATAAATACTATAAATATTATAAGGGCAGGATCCAGGCCTGAACTGTGTATCTTACCTAGGCAACTAGTAGAGTGCTATGTACACAATAGGCTCATCATAGGATTTAGAGTTGTAAGAGATTTTAGGGTCATTAAATGTAATCCCCTCATTTTGGAGAAGAGGAAACCATAAGCCCGGAGTTCCCAAGGGCACATAGTAACAAGTAGCAGGGCCAGTATATCAGCCCAGGTCTTTTTGACTCTAAATCCCCAAAACTCCTTCTCTGGGCTTCAGCTTCCTTATCTTAAAAAAAGAGAATAACATTTGTAGCGCTTCTGGTGGACTTTTTTTGATGAGGCTTGGTTCTCACTCTAAGAAAAGATGAGGGAGGAAAGGGGAGGATAAACCATAATAAAAACTAATAGTAATTAGAAACACTGGAGATAAACCTAGTATAGGAAAATTAAATTAGTGCTGGACTTTTGGAGACCTGAGTCCTGCTTCTGACGCTCACTTACTGTGTGTACATTCTCTCCAATCACACAGTCACCACCCTAGTTACAGGCCTCCATCATCTCTCACCTGACTACTGCAATAGGCTTCTAATTGGCCTCCCTGTTCCAATCCAGCCTCTACTCAGCTGCCAAAAGTGATTTTCCTAAAGCAAATGCACGACCATGTCATACATACCCTCTACTCAATCATTTCCAGTGGCTCCCTCTTACCTTTGAATCAAATTTAAAGTCCTTGGTTGGGCAATCATAGCACTTTACAACCTGGTTCCTTCCTACCTGTCCAGTCTTCTTAAATTTTTCTCCTCTCCTTTCTATGGTCCATCTGCACTGGCCTATTTACATTTCCTTGAACAGGACTCCCTATCTCCTGACTTTGTTCTGGCTGTTTCCCATGTCTTTGCTTCAGCTTCTTAGCTTTCCTGGTTTCCTTCAAGGTTCAGTTTAAACCCCACCTTCTGCAGGAGGCCTTTCGTGGTCCCCCACAGTGCTAAGTACTTTCCTCTGAGATAACATTCCATTTACTCTATTTCTATCTTGTATGTACATAATTATTTGCATGTCATTTCCCTCATTAAAATGTGAGTTCCTTGAGGGAAGGGGCCTTTTTTGTCTTTATTTGTACCCTCAGTGCTTTAGCAGTGTTGGACACAAAGTAAGTGCTTAATTCTTGTTAACCAATGCTGACTGACCATTAGCAAATCTCTTCACCATTGTTTCCTTCTCTTTAAAATGAAGAAACTACAATTTGTACTACCTACTTTAAAGGGTTGTGAAAAAAGCACTTTGTTGTGTTATTAACACTGAGAACTGTGACAACTGTACAGGGAATGAAGATACAAAAAGCATGACTCACTGAAAGAGTAATATTTCGAGAAGAGTAGCATGGGAGTCAAAAGATCTGCATTCTAAACACAGTTCTGTCAGGAATTCTTTGTGACTGTGGGTAAGTCACTTGCTCTCTCAAAGCCTCAGTTCCTCCCTGTCGCAGTAAAATACGAGTTGGTCTGGACGATCTTTGTAGTATTGCAGAATTTGGGAGTTGGAAGGGACCTTACAGATCCCGTATTCCAACCTCCCTCATTTCACAAAAATGGAAACTGAGGCCCCGAGAAAGTACCTTACAAATAGTGTGCACCTATAAATGTTTAATTGAACAAGAACCGACTCAGGGAATACACAGGTGGCAAAAGAACCATGATTCCCACAAAGGTCCTTCTGACTCCAGGATCCAAGGGTCTTTCAACTGCATGAAGCTGCTTCTCCGAAGAAGCGACTCCTCCAGGGTCCCAGAGCTACTGGGTGCTGAGAAAGGGCTGGAATCCAAGCATCCCGGCTGCCCGGCACCCACCGCGCCCCCCTGCCTCCACCGTTGCAAGGACGCTGTTTTCGGGGCTCACGGGGTCGGGGGAAGAAGGAAAGGGGCCCCGAGGGTAGGCAGGGGGAGGGCTTCCCAAGTGTCTCCCGGTTCTAAGGTTAGAATCCTGGAATGTCAATGCTGGAATGCCCCCTAGGAATCATAGGATGTCGAGCTGGAAGGACTCTTGAAGATCATCCAGTTCCAACTCTCTCATTTTACAGACAGAGAAACTGAGGCTCGAAGAGCAGACGAAATTTGCAGAGAGTCCCAGGGCGGATTAACATTCAAGCCACTTAGCTAGAATCAGACCCCTGACCCCAAACCCACTTGAAGGTCCCCTCCGCTCGGCTCTTCCCAAGTCCGGGAAGGCTCCCCACAGGCGGCGGCGCCGGCAGGCTCTGAAGGAAGCGGAGATGCCCGGTGCTCGCGGCGCGTCCCTCCTCCGGGCCGGGGCTGCCCTGTCCCCTCCGGCCCCCATCCTCCACCCGCTGCTTACCTGACAGAGTCCCGGTCAGGCCGGGCTCCCCCGTCCCACAAGCCTTTCGCGGGGAGGCCGCTGCGGCCACACCGCCGTTCCCCGAGCGTTCGCCCGCCCGCTCCTCTCAGCAGCCGCGGGGGAAGGCAGTGGTATTGGCGGTGGCGGTGGTGGCGACAGCGGCTCCGGCTCCCCCCAGCGCAGAGCCCACAGCAGCCGCAGCCATCTTGGCACATCCGGCTCCGGTTGCCTCGGCCGCCGCCGCCGCCGACGTGTCCGACCCTTACGTCACGGCGTGACCCCGCTTCGTCCCGCCCCCCGACGCTGGCGTCCCGGCATTCGCGGAAGTGGGGAGTAATTTCTCGCCGGGGAAAAATTATCCAAGTTCTCTCTGCCGACTGAGGTGCGTGGAGGAGCAAGATTCCTTACCCACAGGTTAATGTGAAAACTCTATCTTGAAGGTTGGGTCCCGTGCCCTTCGCCAGGGAGACTCGGTTATTTCCGTTAATTACGGAGAGAACCGAAGCTGGGGAGGGTTTTAAGTGCGCGTGCGCTGTAGTTCGGCTTTTTTTTTTTTTTTTTTTCCTGTCGAAAGCCGAGGAACTTCTGGACTTAGGAGATGGTGGCCGAATTTTTTGGCACATGCGCAGAACATCCAGCGTCCTAGTCAATAACAATCGAAGGTTTTGGAAACCGAGACTCTCCTAGTTACTTACACAAGCCTGTTATCAGCAGTGTTCGTTTTCCTTGAGTTCAGAAGTTCGAATCCCACTCTCGGGAAACTAGTTTATATTAATTGAATCATAGGTCTGGAGCTATAAGAGACCTCGGAAACCATCTACTCCAAACCTTTATTTTACAGTTTAGGAAATTGAGGAATTTAATTTAAGGGATTTGCCCAATGTCACAGAAGTAGGCAGAGACAGCATTTGAACCCAGGTCTTCTAACTCTAAATGCAGTGCCTCTTGCCTTTAGGATGAGGTCAAGGAGAGCGATAGAACAGATGAAAGGCTATCAAAATAAAATCTGCTCTTGATTTTTGTCAAAGCATTGAAGTGATGCCTTCTATCTATCTTTGCTTTATTATGTTGGACTTAAGAGTTAATGAAGCCATGTGACCTTGATCTAGTACCTTAATCTCTCTAGGCCACAGTGACCTCATGTGTAAAATGAGGGGGTTGGATTAGATGACCTCAGAGGTGCAATGGTCTAGAAAATAGGGATTGAGAAAGGTATGGTAGACTATAACAAGTTCACTGTTGGAGTTTTAGAATAGGAACAGTTTTGCAAGCTGGGCCTCAGTAGGTGATTGCATCACCCACCAAACCTCACATGCTACTAATGCTGTTTAGTTTTTTCTTTAGCAGATTGGCAGAGCACCTCCTACGCTGCAAAAAATGACTCAGAGACCTTGACTGTTGTAAGACATTAAGTGAAAAAAATAGTTTTGTCGTTTGTTCCCCCCTACCCTTTTGAATTAACATGATCAAACAGAACTACTTCACTTCGTTGTGATCTTGAAAGGGGTTTTTCTTGTTTGTTTGTTTTTGGAAAGTTTAAACAGATCTAATGTAGCAAACAGTCATTTCTGGTAAGTTAACATTTACTTTAAGGAATCTTTTCTACTTTAATTCAATAAGTCATTATTTGAACAGGGTGGTGCACAAAACCCTGAGCCAGGTGCCATGAAAACATAGATTAAAAATAAATAGCTCTTTTGTCACAACTTGGGTGAGGTGGACACTGTATTATTATTCCCATTTTACAGATGAGGAAGCTAAGTCTCAAAGTCAAACAGTTAGTAAGTGTGCCAGCACTTGAACCCAAATCTCTTTACTTCTTGCCCAGCCTACTCTTTCCACTATCACAGACTTCTGCTCAGAGATTATGGTCTTGCAAGAGAGGCAAGGCTAACATTCATAGAACAATTTAGATGACAATATAAAACAAAATGTGATATGCTGGCCAGATGTAGTAGGGGGCAATATAAGTACTTTAGAAGTTCAGAGAGGCGAGGAGCAAATGTAAGGAGAAGGCGTCTTGGAGTCCTTGAAGGTAGTGTCAGTTATCAGGAGGTAGCAAACAGAAGTAGAAAACTGATATTGTTTCCTGGTAAAAGCTTCAAGCTTTTGCACAGAATCAAAAATTCTTAGTTTGACAGGGGACTTCCACCTGGTTATAGATCATTCCCAGGTAGATATGAGAATATCTCCTATTGCAGTAACCTTCTGTTTGGTCTCCCTACCTCAGGTCTCTCCCAGCTTCAGTCCAGCCTCCACTCACTTGTTAAATTGATCTTCCTAAAGTACAGATCAGACCTCTCCTTCATCATTCCATTTACTAAACTCAAATGACTCCCTATTTCTTCCCGGATCACATATGAAATTCTCTGTTTGATTCTTAAAACCCTTCATAACATGGCCCTTTCCTGCCTTCCCAGTCGTCTTACAGCTTACCCTCCTCCATGTACTTTACGATCCGTAGACACTGACCTTCTTGCTGTTTCTTACCCATGACACTGAACATTTGAATTGGCTGCCCAGAAAGCTCTCCTTCCTCATCTCTGTCTCCTAGCTTTTCTGCCTTCCTTCAAGTCTCAGCTAAAGCCCTACCTTCTGCAAGAAGCCTTTCCCAGTCCTCCTTAATCTTAGTGCCTATCATCTGAGACTGCCTCCAATTTATCCTATGTATATCTTCTTTGTATATAGTAAGGGCTGTTTTTTTGGGAGGGGGGAGGTGTTGAGGTTGAAGTGGAAGGTTTAGCTTCTTTGTATCCCCAGGGTTAACAATAACAATAACAATAACAATAATAGCTAACATGTAGCACCTGTTATGTTCCAGGCACTGTGCTAAGTGCTTTGCAATTATTATCTCATCCTCACGACAACCTGGGAAGTAGGTACTATTATTATCCCTATTTTACAGATGAAGAAACTGTGGCAAACAGAGGTTAAGTGATTTGTCCAGGGTCACACAGCTAGGAAGTGTCTGAAGCCAGATTTCAGTTCAGGTCTTCCTAACTCCCGGCCTAGTGCTCTATCCATTTTGCCACCTAACACTTAATAGGTACATAGTAAATTCTAGTTGACTTACTACTTGTTTTGAAGGCTCTCCCAAGGGAACTTTGATAATTTATTTACTGTGTAACCTTTGATAAATCACTTCACCTTATCTGGGCCTCATATTCTCCTGTCTCAAAATAAGGGGTTTGGACTAAATGGTTTCCAAGGTCCTTTTCAGCTCTGATTCTATATAGATCTATATTAATTGGTGCTTGAATGAAAGCAGGTTGATTTTCTAATTGAGTATCTAAAGATGACCTCCTACAGTTGCTTTCATGGAACCAGAGTGAGGGGGTGGGAATGAAAGCCATTAGAGACTGACCCTTTTGGTGGAGAGGAATGAAAACCTAGATATAAGCAATAGCCAAGTTGTCTCTGTATGACTTGGTAGCCAAGATACAAGGAGCCCAGGACAGAAGCTTAAAGAGAAAAACCCTCAGTTTATTAAGTTGAAATATCTATTCCTTTATTCCTTAAAAAAAAAAAAAAAAAAGGCAGCTAGGTGGCTCGGTAGATAGAGCACCTGTCAGGAGGACCTGATTTCAAATCTGCCCTCAGATTCTTGACACTTGCTAGCTGCGTGACCCTGGGCAAGTCACTTAAACCCAAGTGCCTCCACCAAAAAAAACAAAAACCTTTTAAACGTGCAAAAAACAAGCTTTGAGTTTGCCATGTCTACCAACAATGAGATCAACTGATTGTTCTCTACCCATGTATATTTGGTAAAGAGTTTAAGATTTCTTTAAATAATCATGACTTTAGAAAAGTATCATGATGTGGTGAATAAAAGACTGCCCTTGAAGCCAGGAAGATCTGGATTCAAGTGCTACTTTTGACTCATACTGGCTGTGCGACCCTGAGCAAGTGACTTAATCTCTCTGTGCCCTAAGGTAGTGGCAGGAAACTCAAATAAAAACAGGGATCACTAAACTGTCCAAAAGGATCCCTGTGAATCAATCAGTGAATCAGTAAACATTTATTAAGTATCTACCAAGTGCCAGGCACTGTGCTAATTGCTGAGGATACAAAAAGAGGCAAAAGACAGTCCCTCCCCTCAATGAGTCTAATTACAGTCTAATGGAGAAGACGTGCAAGTAACTATGTACAAACAAGCTATATATAGGATAAATAGAAAATAATTAAAAGAAAGAAAAGAAAGGAATTAAGAGAGGTTAGGGAAGGCTTCCTACAGAAGGTGGGACTTAAAGGAAGCCAGGGAGGTCAGTGGTTGGACGGGAGAAAGGAGAATGGTCTAGTCTGGGAGGGGGGACAGCCAGAGAGAATGCCCTGAGCCTTGTTCGAGGAACAGAAAGGGGGCTAGTGTCACATATTGACTTAGATAACTACATATTAACATTATCTTTGCTCTGTTGTATTTTTATTCAACTTTGCTAAATAGGTCCCAGTTACGTTTTCATCTGACACAGTCCACATTCAGGAATGTTGCCTCCATGTTTGATCCCTCTGCTCTAAGCCCCTCTCCCAAACCATGAGTTACAGAGAAAATGCAGTATTGTATTGGTAGACTTGGAGTCTCCTCACCCTAGGGTCCCCCTCTTCCAATGCAATCACAGGTCCAGCCCCTATCCCTAATCAAGGTTTTTTTTTTTTGTTGTTGTTGTTGTTGTTGTTCTCAAAGTGTGGGGTCATAGGATTTAGATATAGAGCTGGGAGGGATCCTTGACAGCATCTAGTCTAATTCCCTCATTTTACAAATAGGGAAACCGAGATCTGGAAAGGTTGTGACTTGACCAAGATCACAAAGACAGCAGATGGTGGAACTGAGATTTTACCCTACATGCTCTGATTCCTGTCCAGCACTGGACCAATGTGCATTTGCTTCATGTGAGTCTAGTATATCCATGGGAGTGGGAATACCTTCTGGGAGCTGGGTAATGCTTCAGGCATGAATTGAAATCAGTAACATCTGAGGTCAGTCGATCAACAGGGATTTATTAAACATAGTACCAGGCCCTGAGAATATAGAGAAAAAAATTTAAACAATCTCTGTCATCAAGAACGTTACATATTAGGGGCAGCTAGGTGGCGAAGTGGATAAGACCTAAGTTCAAATCTAGCTTCAGACACTCACTAGCTGTGTGACCTTGGACAAGTCACCAAAAAAAAACCGAGGCAAAGAATGGCCTCTTTTACCTAGTCCTAATATATATATATATATATATATATATATATCAGTCTTGGAGGGGAAGACCCTCAGGGTTCCTGGCCAAAACAGAAACAATTGTTATTTGTACTCACTCTGAGCCATCTGGGCCCAAACAGTGACCAAGTGAGGCTTGGGCTGGAACCTGTTGTTGGCCAATCAGTGAGAGCCAGAGTGATTTGAGTTTACAGCCTGGTCCTTAAGAAAGAAATCTAGCCCATAAACCCCAAGATATCTTGTGAGGGTTCAGCGATCAAAATTTATATTTATTTGGGCAGAGTACCTGCAGGTAAGGGTATGATAACGTCTGTGGACAGAGGGAGAGGAAGGAGGGAGAGAAGGAAGGAAGGAAGGAGCTGTGTTGCCCAACTGGAACTGGCTAGTTGAGTCCCCAGTGGGGCAGCTACTACCACTCACAGGTTTTTGTTTATCCTTCATTCTTGAAGAGGACAATGACATCAAGAAGGTGATGCCATGATTTGCAAGTGGATTGGATTTAAGTGAGGCAGGGCTATGCAAAGTTACCAGCCTCACTTTCTCCTCCAGAGCCATCTGGGTCCAGCGGCTAGATATACATCAGGATGACTGGAGATGGCTCTGATTCAGTGAGAAATCTTGGCCTTTTTAAGCTCAGGTCTTTCCCAGGTCTCAGTTTGTCAGAGGCAATGCCCATTCAGTGAATAAGGCTAGGAAATGACGACTATGACGAATATAGAGAAACTTGGAAAAACTGATATGAACTGATTTAGAGAAGAGCCAAGAAGACAATATAAATCATAACCACAGTAATGCAAATGGACAAAACACCCATCACAAAGCAATAAAAAGTAAATGTTACAAAACTGCAAATAACAGAAGCATGACCCCAAAGAAGAGGAAGGAAAAAGAAGCAAGCTTTTAGAGGAGAGAGCCTCCCCACTCCTTCACAGAGATAGAAAGTCATGGATATGGAACGGTGCATATATTTTCAATCTTTTTATGATGTATTAATTTGTTTTACTGATTTTTTTTTTACTCTTTAAAAAATAATGACTCTCTGGGAGGAAGGAGGGGGAGTAATAATGGGAAAAATTTTGCAATGTAAAAACCAGAAGATCAATAAAAATTTATTTTTTGAGGCAGTTTGGTAATGTAATATATAGCGCATTGAGCCTTGAATCAGGAAGATTCAATTCAGATCTGGCCTCATACTGGTCACTAGCTATTTGACCCTGGGCAAGTTACTTAACCTCTTTGCCTCAGTTTCTTCATCTGTAAAATAGGGATAATAACATAATCCACCATGTAGGGTTGTTGTAAGGATCAAATGAGATAGATCATAAAGCTCTTAGCACAGTGCCTGCCATAAAGTGAATGCTATATAAATTCTAGCTATTGTTATTCGCCAGGTAGCTATTATTATTTTTAAAGTAAAAATTCTAACAGTCAAGGGAAAAAAGACTATCACAGCCCTTTAGACAAGAGGTGATGAAAGTCTGAACTAGGGTGGTAGCTGTGCAAGTGGAGAGAAAAGGGGCAGTTGTGAAGAAAGAATCAACAAAACTTGGCAGCTGACTGGTTATGGGTGGGAAGGGGCTGAGGGAGAATGAGGGATTGAGGATGACACTGAAATTGTGACCCGGGTGACTCAAAAGTTGGTATTGCGTTCATAGAAATAGGGAAATTGAAAAAGGGGATGGATGATGAGGTTTGGATTTGATCAAGTTTGAGATGCCTATAGAACATACTTTTTGAAATGTTTAATTGGTGGTTGATGATGCAAGACTGGTACTCTGGAGAGAGTCTAGAGCTAGGTCTATAGATCTGAGAGTCATCTGCATGGAGATGATAATTAAAATGATGGAAGTTGATGAAATCATCAGGAGAGAAAGAGGAGAGCAGGGCTAAGGACAGAGACCCTTGGGGTATTGGCACAATTAGGGGACATGACATGGAGGATATTCCAGCAAGGGATAAAGAGAAGTGAAACAAGTAGGAGGAGACCCAAGAGAGGTCAGTGTCACAAAAACCTAGAAAAGACAGTGTGCAGGAGGAGAGGGTGGTCAATAGTGTCAAATACTATATAAAGGTCAGGAAGGATAGATTCAGCAATTAAGAAATTATTAGTGCTAGAAGGCTTGCATATAAACAAACATGATAATAACACTGGTGATGGAGCTATAAATTGGGCTGACCATTTTGGAAAGCAGTTTGGAATTATGCCCTGCTAGGCATATACCACTTTTCCCTGCTTCCTGCTCTCCTCTCCCCTCTTCCCCCAAAACCAGGTCATAGAGAGAAAGAAAGGTTCCAGATACACGTAAAATATGTAGAGCAACTTTTGTTGTGGTAGCAAAGAACTGGAAACCAAGAAGATATCCTTCTGCTGGGGCATGACTAAACAAATCATGGTACATAAATATAACAAAACATTACTCTGCTACAAGAGATAGTGAATTTGAAGAATTCAGAAAAGCTTGAGAAAACCTATATGAACTGATATAGAGTGCAGCAAGCAGAACCCCAAAAAAAGTCATACAAAATGACTACAACAATGTAAATGGAAAGAAAAAAAGTGAAATTGAATATTGTACATTCAGCCTGGTCCTAGAGAATAGATGAGAAAATGTACTTCTCTCCCTTCTTTGCAGAGGTGGGGAACTCTGGGTGCAGAACATTGGTTGATGTGTTGGTTAATTTGCTGAAGTTATTTTTTTCTCTTTGCTGCAAGAGATGGCTTGTTGGTCATGGAAAGGAAATATTGTGATGTAAAAACAAAAAATAGCAATGAAAAATTTTTAAATGACAATATAACGAAGTCACTGGTAACTTTGGACAGAGCAATTTCAGTTGGCTGGTAAGGTGGAAGCCAGATTGCAAGTGGTTGAGAATTGAGTATGAGGTTGAGAAGTAGACAGAGAGAAGGGAAATTTTTTTAGGAGTTAGGCTAAGAAAGGAATGGCAGTGTCAACTGAGGGTTTTTTTAATTTTGTTTTGTTTTGTTTTTTAAGATGGAGGACACCTGTGTATGTTTGGAAGCAGCTGGAATTGAGCCATTCTCTTCAGTGTGAGGGATTGCATCAGCCCCTATTACATATGTCTAGGGAATCAGAGATAGAAGATGAGAGGATGAAGGATTAGGAATGAGGTGACAAGATATAGGGTGAAAGGAGGGAATATTGGGGAATAGGGGTTAAGTTATTATCCAAAGAGTCTATAGGTGATGAGAGGCTGATGAGGGGTTGGGGTAGGGTGGGTAGATGAGGATAAGGGAAATGGGTGCATGAAAAATGAGGTTTCTGGGGCACGATGGAGAATTCCAAGCTACTGTAGCCAAGTGGGAAATGAAGGTAGATGTATCTGTTTTACGCTGCCTGGTTTCCACTCCTTGGAAGAAGCTCTTCTATTCTCATCATTATACTGCTGACTCAAGCCTGGATGCCACCTTTCTCAGACTCCTCTCTCTTCTGAATGGAGGGCTGGAGGGTAGAATATGTCCTCTCAAAGCCTTCATTTATGGAGGGCAGAAATTGGATTTTCAAATCACTCCACTTTGCATCAGCTGCTTTGCTGTGTTTCAGTTCCTTGGGACCCGAAGGTTTGTTGGCTCCCCACCCTCTTTCCAGCCTCCTTTATGTTTTGTCTTTTGCCAATAGATTGTAAGCTCCTTGAGGGCAGACACTGTCTTTTTCTTATTTGTATTCCAGTGCCTTGCACATTGCTTGGCACTTTGTAGGCGCTGACCTGGTTATTGAATTGAATTGAATTTCAAAGGAAGGGTACAGCTGGGCTACATTTGGAAGTGACTGATGTAAAATTGAAAGGCATGAATACCACTTTTGAAAGAAAGGACCAAATTCAGGGGCATCCAGCTACTACCATGGCAAGTGAGCTTTAAGTAGCACAGTTGTTAGGCAGGGTAATAATAACCATCCCCATAGAGGAGAATTTGAAAAATAACCCTCAGCACTTGGTGACTGTTATTAAAGCCACATAGATTCAAAGGGCTCAATTTGCTTACCTAAATTATATTATTTGAAGAAAATGAAGCAGTAATGGGAAGTAGATAATCATCATTATCATGTTTGAATGGTCTCACCTAACTTATCCAGGTTTTTCCCCCCGCAAAATTTCCTTTCACTCCTGCCCAGCCAGCAAGGTCTTTTCCACTGTGAGAAATAGCTCATTTTTCATTTCCACAAAAGTCCCACAAAACCTTAGGAATGAAATCTCAGGGTTAGGTGGAAGTTGAACAAAGGAAGTCATAAAGTAGAATAAAAAAATACTATTGGTGAGTGAATAGACTAACCAGCAAAAACCAGTTCTGAATTTAGGTACAGATTTACATATCTGCATACCAAGAAAAGGGGTGTTTGCGCACCCAAATAAGGGCAAAAGAAAATAAGGGCTTGGGTCCCTGAATTGTGGGGAGTGGGAGATAAAAACAGGGGTGGGGATCGTAATAGGGAAATTAGGCGCTTCAGATAGGCTGTAACCTCTGTAGTACCCAGCCAATGGGGAAACAGGGGAGGGAAATTCGAATAGGGAATTGGGAATAAAAAGCTGTGTATCTGGCTTAAATGTGTATGCCCACATGTGGGACATCTGGCCTTGCTAGTCCATTAATAGAAGTTTTTCTGGTTCACCAATAGCTTTGTGGAATTCTTGGTAAGACTTTTTGCTGCTTACAAATAGGCACTTGTCCTCGATCCTGACATTCTGAGTGAGGTACAGCAGTTGCTGATGGACAGGAAGATGCATACCATTGATTTCAATTTTCCCGTATATCCTCGGTGGGTGTCCCAGCTCATGGACTATTTAAGATCCTAGAACCAAGTTAATGAGTCATTGCTGAACCAGGAACAAAAAGGGGAAAGTAGGCAGATGGCAACAAGGCAACCCCGTGCACAGACCAAGGTAAGAAAAGAGGACTATTAAGTATTTGGTGGTTGGGACCAGAATAAGAAAAGAGGACTATTAAGTATTGCTTTGGTGGTACATCTTACTGGGGTCTGGAGACTGAGTGTGTGTGTGTGTGTGAGACTGAGGCCTACTAGAGGAGTACGAAGTGAGTGCAGAGTCCAGATCCACGGTACTGTTGATCCCACGAGGGGCATAGCCAGAGAAGGACAAGCGAGAGTACACTAGAGCACAGGAGGTCTCAGACAAATAAGTAAGATGAGGAATAAGCAAAGGCACCAGGGAAACCAGGGGGAAATAAGGAGACCCCTGTGAATATTCCTTCAGATAGTCCCTTAGGGAGGAGGTGAAAATACTGGGAAGATACAACCTGTACTAGACAGAAAGATAAAAAAAATATCAGCACTGGTGTCACTTCACTAAAGATAGCCCCAAATTATGTTGGCTACAATGGGGTTCTTTTGACTGGTCAAGGTTACTTTATCTTAAAAAACAAACTAAGCCTAAAAAGCCAACAAGAGAATTAGATTCATATGCACTTTGTCTTGTCAAGCTATTTCTGTCTCATGTGTGTGTTTGTAAAATGTTTTATGTTTGTGATGAAGGATTTAAAATGAAGGTTGTAATTAGAAAGAGAACATTGGGAAGGAACTCCCACCCTAGGCTTTCAGTGGGAGATTAAGACTTTTTTTGGGGGGGGGGGTCCCAACACTGGCCAAGTTGGGATACCAGAATAAAGTTAGATAGTGAGTAATGGAATCAAAAAGCAGGGAGAGACTCTCTCAGAAGTTAGTAGAAGGTGCAGCAAGCAGCTTTTACTGATAAGGGTCACAACGCAGCAAGGGCTTAGGGAGGGAAAAGCTAAGGGTTTGAAATCAGGGTTAATGAGATCTCAAAGCTAGAGTTTGTACTTTATATTTAAATTAAATCTAGAGAACTGTCTTTCCATTGTTCTTGCCAATATGTCTGATATCATGGCAATGTGTTTAAAACTGCAAAAATAAGGTTTTTCCTGTCTTTTAAGCATTAACATTATGAAAGTGGCTTGTGAAGGGTATGAGGGAAATACAGTTCTCTTGATTTGTAAGTCATTAGGCATTAACTCCCTCTGGATTCTAACAGGTGAAGAGAAGCAGGACCGAAAGTGGAGTGAGTATAATTTTTTAAATTTGTAATGTAAAGGAAAGTGAAGGTAGTCTGAGTAATGGGTTTGAAAGATTAGGAAAGAGGAATAAAGGTTTGAGCATAAATAGGATAAGTAGGAAAAAAAATGGTTTGGGGGTAGGCGGGGGGGGGGTGAGGTGGTCTGCAGCAAGCTCCTATGCTCTGAGCCCCATCCTTGGATGGTTGTTCTGGGTGCCTTTGTACCAGCTTCAGATGGTTTAAGCATATTGAGAAGATGTGAGGAAGTTTCATTTTGTTTTAAGTAGGATTGAAAATGAAAATTTTGTAGCTTAATTTGAAAACCAATAAGGTTATAGAGGGTTAGAAGACCACCCACTACAGGATAAACCTGTAAGAAGGCCTTGTTAAATCTGACCTTGCATAAATTTTGGCTATGGTAAAGATATTGGTTATTGTAAGTTGAGATTGTTGTATAAAATCTTAAAATGTTTCCCTGTACTGTTCAATTGATTATTGGAACTCTAGAGGTTTTCTGCCTGGGGGAAACTGACCCACCCTGTCAACATTGATTCAAATTCCTCAGGTTGTCTGAGCCAAACTCCTAGCCAACCTGAGTGATTACAGGTAATTTTAAGCCGTTTGTAAAACTTATATGCATCAGCCTGAAACTCCCTGGAAGATGAAATGCTTAGGGTAGTATTTATCTTGATAGGCCTGAAAAAGGAGACTTTTCAGCTCTCTTAAGGAAGTTATCCAGAGCCAGGAATTGTCACCACATATCTTTTTAAGGGAATATATGAATTTGTGGAGAACATTTCCTTTTAAAAGGCCAAGAGTATTGGATTTAAAAACAAAAATGTTTTTAAATGTTCATCATTAGCGATTATAAATCCAGATTTGATTTGATTTAAGTTTGTTTACCTCAGTTTACTGTTCTGTAAAGGGGATAATAGTGGAACCCACTTCCCAGGGATGTTGTAAGGATCACATGATTGTAAAGTGATTGGCATATGGTTGACATGACATTATTATTATCTAATTTAATGTAATTTTTAAAAGTACCAAAAGTAATAAGATCAGTAATTTCTATGTATGATAATTTGAAAATGCAGTTGATGCCATCTGAAGTTTATTGTTTGTGTTTCTAAAATGTATTGTATTTCTAAAACTCTCTTAGATTGTAAAAACTTAAGAGACCCTGATATTTGGGAGAGTTATGCTTATGTAGAAATTTCAAAAGGATGATGTAGCAAGGAAGGATTTTATGACATAGGATAAAGGGGACAAAGGGAATTCTTATGGTTTAAGGATTTAAAGGACAGGTTATGAGGACACATGTTAAAAATTAAAGGACAGGGGGAACATAGGATAAGGGACACAAAAGCAGTTCTTTTGGTGCAGGTTCAAGATAAGGGGGAAAGGACTTTAGGATGCTTTTCAAGTTACAGAATAAGCTGGGGTGACTGGGGAAAGATCCTGGGAAAGTCTTGATGGGAGTGACTGGGAGGTTGAATGGCGTCTAGTCTAGGTAAGATTAAAGATGGGAAGTAACTGGGGGCCACCTGGAGGTAAGACATTAGAGGGCTAGGCCCAAAATTAGAGTAACAAAGAATTAGGAGTTTGGTGAAGGTGATGAGGAAAGGCCAGTTGATAGGATTGTAGCCTCAGGAGACTGCTAGATTTCCTTGACCAGGTAAAAGAGTTGAAGTAAAGTTCAAGGAAGGGTTTTTTTTTTGAGGGGCCTGTCTTGGGGTACCCCATCAGGAGCATGTCTTATTGTGGGGCGACAGCAACTTTGGGGTTAAATTTACTTGAATGGAATAGAAATTGCATTGTTACAGAATTGGGAAAAAAAAAACCCTTGTATTGATAATGGGTTGTTTCAAGTTTTAAATACATTTTAATGTGTAAGGTATCATTACATTTCTAAATTGTGCAATTTGATAAACAATTATATCACCTATTATGTTAGAAAAGCAATTTCTCTTGTAATCCTAATGTTAGATTAAGAATTATACTGTCAAAGAAAAAGAGAAAAATGAATGGGTTAAGAAGCTGTTAGGTCATTCTATCTGATCATGTGTTGTAACATTTTGAAGTACTGTAATTAAGAAATCATAAACTTCCAAGTTTTGTCTATATTTAAAGGGAAGTTTCAGCTAAAATTATTTGGTTCTCC